CTGCATATAATGTTGTGACAACTGCATATACTGTTTTGACAACTGCATCTAATGTTGTAACGATTGCATTTAATGTTGTCACCACTGCATCTAATACTGTGACCACTGTATATAATGTTGTGACCACTGCATATAATGCTGTCACGATTGCATTTAATGCTGTCACAACTGCATACAATGATGCGACAACTGCAAATAATGTTGTGACCACTGCATATAATTAGGATCATTAACACAAGGCAGTCATGGCGTTCCATAATTCACACCAAGATTACTACGTTTATTATAAATTTAACATATGTGTTACGTGTATCATCAATATAATTATGGTATACTATCAATATCCGTATACTCAATTCAATATGTGGTGTTAATAAAAGTAGATATGATGGTTGAAAGTTTATATCCAGTTACCGAGCCCCTTTAGGGAAAACAGGTTACGTTAATTGATATGTGGGATTCACCGTGTCTAATGTCATATATGGGAACTGGGATCCGGGACAGCAAAATTTGTAGCTTCAAACAAGATAGGTCAGTAAAAACTCTTTTGGCCGTTTTATGGAATAAAAAGTATTGCATGGAATGCTCAAATAAAAGAGGTATTCACAGGACCAAGTTTACATCATTACCTAGTAGAACACTCGCGCAATGCATCAGGATTTCCTTCAAATCTGATACTGAAACTCGATTTATGCGTGTTTGAGCTGAAGTCAATGTTGCATAACACAGATTGTCCAATTGATCACTTACAACTAGCACATTGCAAGGAAAATTGTTTTGTGGCCTGAATTTTATGATTTCACAGTTTTCTACATAGATTGGTGACAATTAAGGTGACTGTGATTGATATGTTTAATTTGATCCAAAGTGATCTATAATAGTCGGATTACATTTATTTAATCACCTATTTTAATTTATAAAATACAAAGAAATGGTAAAGTTAAAATGAAAATTTTCCTTTAAAATATATTTTTGTACGAAAATGATGCCTATGAAGATAGAATAAACATTTTGTCAAATACAGCAAAAATATCAATCTAAATTCATCGGTGTTATCACGATGTTATCATCGGTGTTATCCCGGTGTTATCATCGGTGTTATCACAAATGTCGTTTGATTGAAATGCGGCAGAGAAAACGAAAAGATCCTTTACAATATCTGATAACCTTCATCTATTACCCGGGGACATTCGTATGGTAAAGAATAAATGAACTAAGAGGCAAAGACCAGAAATATCTCCCCATCCTATCGAAATCCCCAAAAGAAAGTCAGCGATGGTTGAAGTTGTTAACTGCCAGAAAATGAGTCAAACACGAGCTAGACGAACCCTTACTTGACAGTTCGTCTAAACTGGTCAACGATTATCAATGCTGCATTCAGTAGCGCAATCATCCAAAAGCATGGATGGTCTAAATTTATGAGCACACTGCTAAAAATTTGTTCAAGAAACTAAAGTTTTTGATACTTTATCCTCTATTCATCAGCAATATGTTGTTTTATATAATTGGGAACGGCCAGGTCGTCTTTCTAAAGTTCTTATTGTCATTCTTTCTACAGCCAGAGATGGCCTTCAGAAATATTGGGATGAAGTATAATATTATTCAAGCAGAGGTGTCAATCAGATGTGGATTGTTAGAAGTTCTCAAGATCTACTCCAAAATCTTCAACCCAATCCTTACAATTTTGCAGAAATATCAAAACATTTGATTTTTCTACACTCTACAATACAATTTCATATGCTCAATAGAAACATAGACTAAACTTTCCAATGCGCAATGCCTTGTTTTAAAAAAAATGGGAATCGTAGATACAAATTTCTTTTTTTTAGGTCATCATTAATGTCAAGATCCCCACTGTTTCCAACAAAAATACACCGACTATGACATACAACATATTTGTTGAGTATGGTGGATAGATATTTTAACAGGCAGTATGTATTCCAATGGGCACTAATTGTGAACCCTACTGGTCGACTTATTTTTTTAATTATTTGATGCAAAATTCATTAAGAACCTCAAAAACGAAAAAAAAGCTTCTTGTCAAGTTTTTTATTTCACTTTCAGGTGTATTGGTGATGTCCTGTCACTCAAAACCCACATTTGAGTGAGTGCTTGCATCTCATATATACCCGTGAATATATGTTTAAGGATACTTCCAAAACTTGAAAATCCACTTCATATCTCATTATATGACCAAAGTATAATCGAAAATATCATCATTTGATTTTGAACCAATGGTCAAAAATGAAGAGTTCCTGTTCATTGGAATATTATTTTTTTTTAAATTCAACGCCTCAAAATGGAGATACTAGACGTTCAAACAAGTATAAACAACAAGTTAAATCGAATGAATTGACCAATTATATTACAATGTGGTTCCAAATGCACTCATAGTTCATTATGTCGATTTTTTTCTTATACCAATAGTTCAGAAAGAGTCTACATATATAAAATATAATACACAATTTATTAACATCATTGAACCACTAGCAAAAGCCTAAACAAATTAGAACACACGTTTATAAATCTCCCAAAAACTTTTCTATTAAATGCCGTTGTTAGGGTAAATGTTACCAAATCAAACGACAAAATTGATGCACCGTCAATCAATGTACTAATACAAGTACATCTGCTGAAAATCTTTACAGACATCAATGTATTTTAATTCGATTAGATGATATATACATTAACTTACTGAGCATACCATTGTATCATTAGTTATTAGGTTTTTCCCCGTTGACACACCTCTAGAAATTGTGTTTTTTTTTTCTTTCCGCCACATTTTTTGTAGTGCTGTATTTGGTTTTGTGAGATGTAGACAAGATATCTAGAATATAATAGTATACAGTTAGTATGCTTTTGAAATTCGCACCTTATGACCGAACACTTTTCTGTTTGGTAGTCATCTCCCCTAACGCTGTTATTTTGTCATCTCACCTCCTTAGTAACCACAAAAGTTATAGACAACTCTTTTTGTTTTACATTGTTTGAATCCCCAGAAGACTTCGGTGATTTTTAACCAAAACGATCCAGTGACACCTTAGTAGTAATCTCCTCTTCACTATTTTCACTTTACCGTGTGTTGATGAAACCACGGGGGGTCTCTTCCTACATGAAGGTATATACATATGTGCCGCTGGAATGGGTCCCTTTTTTGATACGTCAAATATATCGTGGGGTGCAATTTTAACGAGGAAATATATCAATAGGTAGTAATTGACAAATTGTGATATATCAATGGGTCTTAATTTTTCAGTTTGTTGTACAACGATCTTCACTGAATTTCCAAAACTCTTTGTCATTAAAATTTCCACATCTGCTGAAACTTATTGACACAAGTTTTGAGCTGATAAATATATCAATGGGTTATGATTTCGCTGTGAAAAATATGTATAGGTAGGGATTTCACAATTATTTAATATATGAATGGGGGTGTTTTTTAAATACAAGCTGCACAACTGTACCCAAAATCCCATGTTGAGATCCACCCCCCGTGGATGAAACTCATAAACCGTACCCAATACACACTTGTAGTCTTTTAGTTTGAGGTCCTTGGTCCATAACTAAGAAATTAATGCCTCGTTCACACGTACATTTAATTCGAATTGAATTCGAATCGAATGCGAATCGAATTCGCTAATCGCGATCACACACTCTTCTTTTTTAATTGGAATTGATTCGAATTGGCTAAATCGCATTATCCAATTCGCATTAGAAATGCGTTTTTGTTAATACGAATTAAAAGTTAACGTCGTTCGGACAGTAAAGCTAATTTGACGCGCAGTGCAATTCGAATTAGAATTTACGTTTGAACGTAAAACGTTTCGAATGCGAATTAAACTAATTCGAATTAGTTAATGCGAATCGAATTCGAATTACGTGTGAACGCAGCATTAGGTCAATGTCAAAGGTAAAAGTCATGTTTAACTTTTTTACGCTTGTGATCGCATCTCCTTTAAACTTATAAAAAGACGAATATAAAAAACATTGGTACGAAACGTTTTGAGTTATTAAACGGCAGATTTGGCAGATTTGGTCCGAAGCACTTCTAAGACTTCTTCTGTGAGTTATTGTCCCCGATGTTCAAATTGATTAAATAATTGACTATAACTTTTAATTAACCTGGTAAACAATTAAGCATCCAAAGGAGAATTCCAAGTAAGACCCCTTTTTGGCCCCAAAATATAGCATTTTTTCAAATTTGTTAAAAATGTAAACATTTAGCTATTTATTGGAAAGTAGAATACTTCTGTTACATAAATATGGGCTATAGTTTTGACAATGCAATGTGCATGCATCAGGTACTAGGCATCATTAAATCATGCAAAATCACTGAAATCTTCACAATTTTAGCATTTGTGCTAATATTTAGACGGTTTTTGTCTAAAATGGAAGTGGCCGCACTTAATATTTAAACTATGTTGTATTTGATGATAATACAAGACATATATAAAGGTTGAGACTGAAATTTTATGTTTTTGCAGGAAACATGCAAATTTCAAACTGAAATATCTCGAAAAGTAATTCATGAAGGTATATTTTTCTAAGCATATTTCGAAAGTGCATATCAAATTGACAGTGTGAAAATTTTAAGAAAAAATCAACAAGACATTTTTTCTGCATCGTATGTCCTTAAGTCAGTCTCTAGACACAAAAGGCAAAATTCATCTAGAGGTCAACACATGGTCTTTAGCGACAGAGACCAACAATAAATCAATCTCTAAAGCGCAAAAATAGAAAGAAAAACAAAAATACTAATAGTCAAAAATAATAGATGAAAATCTGGATATACGCAATTGATTAGGCTAAGCTGCCAAATATATTCACAGACCAACGAAGATAATGAAACTATTTGTCCAGGTTACCTATTTCTAGAATAGATACTGGTATGAAGTTTTTACATACCCTTGTTTTTCGTGACTTTTTATGATCTGTAACCAGTGTCTCGGCTTTAACATAATTTAAACATACATAATTACATAATGTTAACGTTTAAAACGTACTGTGAATTAATTTTTATTCGTGAGGTACCAATTTTCTTGTATTTCGTATGTATAGGTTAACCACACAAGGGTTTACATGTTCAACAAAGTATAAGTTTTCTAAAGGTTTGTATGCAGACTTTGGCAAAACCAGGAAATCATACATCAATGAATAATAAATTTTTCTCAATCCACAAATATTGGTATCCACGAAAATAATTGATTCCATAATTATAGAACTGAAACTAAGTAATCCTGAAGGCAAATTTGAGGTTCTGGTGAGGCCCGTTCTAAGTTTAAATGATCTCCAACGTTTTATGGATCTATATTTTAAATAATCAATTGATTTTTTAATGCTAAGTGCATTTGGTTTTTTTTCTTCTGTCTAACTGTGATGTGGACTTTCAGGTTGTACAACTCCTTTAGCCAATAAAGGTCCATTCTCTTTGTTTTTGCGACACAGATAAAGAGCAGGCCAAACTACGTATTCGATTACAGTTCCTGACTTTGTATATTCTTTATGAGTGTCTTTATTTAATTTTTCTCCTTCTAAAGGCGATACGTCCAGGTATAGTGGCGGATCCTGAATCACAAATTGCCAACATATTTTCAAACATGTCTCAAAATATGAACTTTTTTGCAAGATACAAAGTATGTCCCCATTAAGACCTGGACTTAAATCTTTTAGTTTCTTCTTGTATATGTCATCCTTTACTACAGTCTGGAAAAAAAGCAATACAAATTGATGACAGATTTGGAAAACCATATTATGGATACATAGTGATATATTGACACAAACACGATTAAGATAACTCAGAAGATAAACTATGTGATTTTATCCAAAAAATAATATCAATATCGAGTGTTACTGTTGAGTAACTGTTTTGAATATTTCTTACATTTGCAATACTTTACATGCTGGAGATTTTCATTAATAAAATACTTAATATTTTTTTTTCAAAAAACTTTGTAAGGAATTGAAAGATAGTTGTCAAGACAAAGGCTCTTCCCCTGCGTAGGATTTATACAAAATGGAATACAAAATGGGCGGTTTAAAACAAGCGTTTATGGAAACATGGATTTTTTTTATCTTTTTGTTTTACTTTCCTAGGATATAAAATGCACAAGCTTTTCTAAACGGTCGAACTTTATCTATATTTGTAAAAGCAGGACAAAACTATTAATTAAAACTGACAGTTTCATAAGCCAGCTAATGCTAAATATATTTTGTGTTTTTTTTTTACCTCTGTGAGAATCTTAATATTTGCCTCTGCCATCCTTTTCCTGCTGTCAGTAAAATTTTGCCGTTCTGTCGCTGGAATTTGTGACCACAAGTCATTTACCTATAATTAAAATATGCGTCATCAATTTTTCTTATTCGATGGTCATAAAATGTTGAATTTTGTGACTTCATAGTCACTTGGAAAACGATTTTTAGATTAGTGCTTCCCAATTCATACTTACAATTGCAACATCAACCATTATTGAGCATCTGACTGACAGAATAGAATGGGATTTAGTGACAAAAGTAATACATTGACTTATTTATAAATTAATCTTCTATACTGATGACCAAATTTCGCAAACATTATTCAAATAGCTGATAACAGCTGACCAAATTTTTTCGTGTTTTGTTGATTTAAAATATATTTCGTATATTCTTAGCTTCGACCTTCAGGAAGATGGGGTTTTAATACCTTACGGAATTCTGTCCTTCCATCTGATTAATATTGACGTACACTACTTGTGCTTTTAACTATTTAACTCGCGTACTGTATAAAAACTTATCATAGATACCAGGATTAAAATTCTGTACGCCAGATGCGCGTTTCGTGTATGTGCGAATAGCTCTTGATGTCATTTAAAAGCGTATTGTATCACTGTAATCAAAACTTTGTAAAGGTCATCAATGGATTCATAAGTGTAAGAATGTTCTTAGAGTGCTTGGTTTATATTGTGATTTATATTCCCTGTTTTGTCCCAAATGAAATATTGAGTCTAGTATATCAATATGAAAATGTTTCAAGTTGTTGCATAAACTCCTGAGAAAGTAAAACTGAATTATATTTTTCCCCTATTAAGCATTGACAATAAATATCCAAATACGGCTAGACTAGAGATTGTTGGTGAGAGTTGACAAGATTTAGATATTTCAGTTTCTCACGGGAAACTCTACACAAAAATTTATGACAAAAGGGACGATTTCTCGTTCAATATTGTTAATTTATTTTTTTTGGAGGAAGATATTCCTTTGGCACAATCTTACGGTGTTTATATATCCATACTTGTTCGATATGCCTGTGTCTGTTGTGATGTTTTGGATTTTAATGAACGTAATCTATGTATTACTTGTAAAATCATTAAGTCAAGAATTTCGTTACCACAAATTACTTTGATACCTTTTGATATAGTCTTTCATATATACAAAGATATGGTTTGGAAATTTGTTGTAACTGTAGAAAACAAACGGGAAAGAACATCCTAAATTTTACGGTGATGTTGTTAACCGAGTCCCTAAATCAAAGTAAACTTATCGAGTCTTTAATTAAACTTATTCTAAAAGGTTACCAATTTAATACTTTAATTAGATCTTTGAATATTGTTTCTATCGGTATAAATACTGATTTGGTTAAAATTTTATTAAAACATTAGTTAAAAACCAACTAAATATTAGTGTTATACATTGTTATATATTTTAGCATTGAACAAGGTAATGTTTCTCTGAATGATAATGACGTCTTCACACTAAACCTATTGGATGGGTTTTGCTCATTGTTGAAGGCCGTACGGTGACCTATAGTTGTTAACTTCTACGTCATTTGGTCTCTAATGGAGAGTTGTATCATTGCATGGCAATCATACCACATCTTCTTATTTTTAAATAGCTTGGCCAAGAAAGAAAAACTGCAGGTTCGATAAACTGAACATTAAACCAAATAATTTATGTAGTTTCTATAATCTTATATAACATATTGTTTGTCCACGAAATATATGTTCCGTCAAAACCATCAATGGAATATGGTGTGTGCATGGTAGCAAAACAGAACGTTTTTTGGGAAAAATGCAATTGTTTATCATTGAAATGCTATAGATGCACCTTTTTGTATTCAATCAGATAAATAAATGAGCCACTGTTTTAACACAATATTATTTGTATTATATTGTCAGGTTCGTTTGGGTTTTATTTCGAAAGCAAAAATACAAAGCAATATATATAATGTATGTTTACATCTCGATATCGACATATAAACTAGAAAACTGACATATCACAGAGAGCCCCGGTTGCGCAATTTTATGCGAGCCAAACACCAGTACTGCATACTGGTGCAAACAAAACGACACATGTACTGGGGTAATATTTTCATGGATTTCAAGTTTCAACCAAATCATGAAACTGAGTGCCATATGAAATAAAATTTTCTTTATTGTATTAATCATAAAACCATGTTATTTGAAAATGGTGAAAAATAGATATTTTGAAAATGGCAGCGAACGAAACTTTTAACACAAGAAATAAGTGAATTATTACATATTCTACCTAGATACCTTTTTTTAAAATTCCAGGCACTTTAAATGTTTACGTATATATTGAATATTGACACCCATTTTGAAAATAGCGGCTGACGAATAAATTTTTACACCAGAAATTAATTCAAAATATCAGTCATATAATTTAAGACAAAGAAATTAATTTGGATAAGCATAATATTTTGAAATCATAGCGTAGTAATTTAAGAATTTGCTTAAAGAGAGGCGGAAAATATCAAAGAGATATTTAAACTCAAGTCGAGGAGAAACTTGACTCGCCATGACAAAAAAAGAAGGACAAACAACAGTATACAAAACCAATGTAGAAAACTAAAAACGGTGCATTATTAAATCCAACAAAAACCTTCGGTGATCTCAGGTGCTCCGGAAGGGTAAGCAGATGATGCTCAACATGTGGCACCCATCGATTGGCTCATGTAAGTGTCAGTTGGAATCCTAAAACACAGGTACAGTATACGACAATCAATTGAATAGACACTTAATGGAAAACGTTATCTATGCTATAGTCTATTCTGGTCGATTGAGTAACGTTGTAGGACCAATCGATTTTTGTGGGGTATTTGCTATCACTTGTATTCCAACTCTATTTATCTACTCAATCGATTCTTTACACATAGTTACATAGTGTTCACTCAATCAATTCTATTATTTCAATTTGCTAGTAGCACGATCGTATCAAATATCCATAGTTTTGAAGTTTTTGCATTTATAAAAATAAATCTTTCAGAATACTTTGAATTATAACAAAAGCATCCTACAGGTTCTTGTGTTCATAAATTATTGATGGACAGACAAATGGACGGACAGGGACATAAATGGACAGAATGAAAGATAGACCGACAAAATTGAAAATTATTTCGATCCTGTATCCCCATGCTTAGCCCTTATAACTCTTCATTTTGGTTATATAGCTTTTCAACTGTTTCGGTTATTATACATACATCCTTGGTTTCAAATATTCGGCTCTGAGCTGAAGGTATATCTAGTAAAGAGCGTCGGAAGTATGAATTCTTAAATCCGTATATTAATTAATAGTAGAGCATTTGCCTTTACTACAGAACGTTCTAATTACAATCCGGTTATGAATGTTGTTTGGATGTTTAGAGTTCCTTCGTTAACTTATATTATAGTCTGAAGTAGAACAAATTCTAATTAAAATTTCGCAAATGCTCCTGGTGTATGTTAGCTATGAATTTAGGTACATATTTCTTTACCACAGGGTACTTGTGATATGGGGAAAATGGACTTATTTTCGGCCAACTATGCTTTAAATAATTTGATCACTCTAATGAACGGTTAAAACATGCTGATGCTACTACTGAATAACTTTTTTTCCTCCCATATCTTAAATTTTCATTCATAATTTATTGTTGCAAGTGTTTACTATTCTCTGAAAAATATGTCTATCAAATGACTGAATGAATCAGAGCAAGATATGTATACTGAGTGCCATTAGAAAGACAACATCTACATTTATTTTCCATTTAATAGAATTAAAACCTATATATATCATTTGTGATTTTGAAGACTTCTTACGAGATGAATACAGAACATTTCGAGCAATTTTCAGAGATTTTTTATTTATTTAAAAAAAAACATTCTTTGCACTTGCTCCATTCTGTTCACATTTTAATAAAAACGTTTTGCATTTGAACCCTTTGGAACTAATCGCAAATTCCGAATTGAAAAAATCGGTGCAAGACCAAACTGTTAGCAAAATGATACAGGAATGCATTGAAAGAATATTTTTTCATTGTGATTTAAGGTAGATAAACTGCAAATCGCCATCTTGGATTGTAAAATAGCATTTCACAAACGGTCTTGTTTTTTGCTTAAATCTGCAAATTTTGAGACGGAATGACAATTAATGTGTAAGACTGTTTATTTAAATAATATAAAATAAGTGATTTATTGCATTATTTAGTCTGTTTTTACAAATGCCAAATAACTTTTTCGTTCGATTCATTTTTTTAAGTTCCCAAAATAAGGAGAGAAAACTCTTTTAGTAAATATTTTATAAAGAAATGAAAATTTCTTGTTTACTTGTAGCAATAACACAAGTTTGGTAACACTATTTTTTATTTTTATTTTCTAAAAGCATATAATTACACCTTTCTTCTTATATTTTATTTCAAAATTCTATCTGATAGATTTCTTTCTATGCACAAAAATGTTGGTTTTTTTTATGAATTAACTATACAATTTAGCAATTTTGCACAACTTGTAGCTTGGAAAACAGCAGTGACCTATACTTTTTATTATATTGTTTGAAAAAAAGCATGGTAAAATCTACATTTTGGCAAAGTATCAGAAAATTCTATAGAAGGAAATATTAAGTGATGATCAATCTTAAAAAGGGACAACCTACCTGTGTACTAGATGGATTGGTTAAAAGTAAAAAAATACCAACTTGTTCTTTAGCTTTCTTTCGACAGGTTTTATATATAACCTATAAAATAAAATAATTAAACGGATTCTTGATGTATACATTTGGCTATACTTTATCAATACACAGGGATTCAAGACACTATTATCAAATTGTTTGCCGAAAAAAATTCTTTTATGTCTTATGTATCGATTTTATCAGTATGTCCCTTTTATAGTAAATATGGATTCTTTTATCAAAATAAAAGATAAAATGTGAACAACTGCTAGCAAATCGACTGATTATATAAATGTTAAACACGCCTCAGATAATGATGCATGAATATTGAAGACAAGCTAAACATAATTTAAAAACTATTTAGATCTTGGAACATGCAAACACAATTTCGATTATATCAAGTCTTCAAGTTAATGAAATTGCCTCAATTACTTTTTAGACCTCAATTATTAATGCACTATCTATCAAAAATAAGACAACAAGATTTAACCTGAATTCGGCGAATATCGTTGTCAGAAAATAAGATAAAAGGTATTTTTTTAATACATGTAAATAATAAATTACAATAATGTATATGATAAATAGTCGTATATGCTGTTCGGTGTGAGCCAATGCTCCGTGTTGAAGGCCGTACCTTGACCTATAATGGTTTACTTTTATAAATTGTAACTTGGATGGAGAGTTGTCTCATTGGCACTCATACCACATCTTCCTATATCTATGTATATAAATGAGTGAAAATTCAGTCATTAAACGCAGAACTGCTTTAAACCTTTTGTGTGAAAAAAACCACCGAAATGAACCAATGACTCATTTAATAATCGGGCTTCATTTGTGGTCACAGATTGTCATTTCAAAGCATTTTCAATCAAAATTTTGAACATTTATTAACTATTCTTATGCACTTTTAAGACATTGAATCAAAAAGTGTACCAATATAAGCAAAGCATTCAAAATTGTCTTTATAACTTTTCAGTTATAATTTCTATTAAAAATGAAAGATACATTATTTTGCGACCATAGGATTGATTTGATTTGTTATGTAAATCTTGCCGATTCCATTGGTCCTTTTAGACGCTACAGGTAAAGCTGAAATAGGTTTGAAAATACGCCTAATTCCAATCGTTATCTTTCCGTCAAAGTGTTTGATTTAGGTGACAATATTTGACGTCATTAGTGCGTTTGTTGGGCAGTACATTGAGCTAAGGGATGCATATTCTAATGGAGATAACTTCCTTATGACTGCTTTGATTACTGTTTTTAAATGATCAAATTAATATATTTCATTATGCAGGGTTGGATTAAGTACATAAGAATAAAGACCGGTGTTTGAAAAAATGTCAAGCAGTCACAATACGTTGTCAGTTCAAAGATACAGGGATCCAGTTAATTAGCCCAAAAAACATTTAAATGATGTTAGCGTATAGTTAAAGAGTATTTCTGTAACTAACCTTAATTAGACTAAACAAATGATAAACAAATTGTTCATGTTTATCACGTTTTTTCTTCAAATACTGCTTTTCCAACGCTTCCAAGGCATCTGTCCACTCATCATCGTAAATCTTGCACCACTTTTCCGCTAACTTCGTTGCTCGATTTGGATCATTTAGGTCTGTTATATTTGGGTTGTTTTCTGTGAGCATTGAACCAGCCACACTGCTTAACCTTTGATCACAAATATTATCAGTTCATAAAGGTTCAAAACTAGACCAATGAACAGCTCTTAACAGACTTTAATATAAATCAAAAATCATGTTTAGTCTGTCAGACAATTTTCAGACTTATTCACTGCGGTAAATTCAGTACTGTTCATACATGTCGCTTGAAATCAATCAAGATCTATTCAGTTTTTGTTTGGACTGTAAAGTTATTTACCCGTACGATTAACAACATGATAATACTGAATTTCTTAAATGCATGCTAAAGCACTAGATTGACAAAATATTTGAACGGTACTGAAATTACAACAGGAAAAGTCTGAAAGATGACTTAAACTCTTGACCAGATTTACGTTTTTTTCATACTTTGTAAATGATGTTACAATAGAAATGGCCGTTTAAAAAAAGGTAGATACCAAGGGAACATTCAAAACACATAAAGTAGGGGTGAACTGACAATACTATGGCAAAAAACGAAAGACGACGACAAGACACACAAGTTTACAAAACACAACACAAAAAACGAAAGACTGAGCAATACGAACACAATCAAAAACTAGGGGTGATATCAGGTACTCCGAATGGTGAGCAGATTCTCCTCAACTAGTTGCGTCATATTCCTCATTATTTGTTCTAATTCGGTGATAAAATTAGTTCGGTGATGTCAACATCAAGGAAAAGAGGATGGGATTGTGATCCAGACCATTGGCACATATCCGCGGTTATTTGGGACACATATATGTCATAACGAGGAACCAATTTGTTATGGCGTCAGTTAAAACTTTTATAGGGATAATTTCAACTTTACAACAGAAGCTTCCTTGTATAAGACCTCCAATGCGCACCCATTCTGTCCACTAGTTTTTATGTACTATTACTAAATAAAGAGCCCTGTGCTGTAAACTTTACACTAACTCTGTTTTTTCAGACAATCACAAAAAGCAAGGGAGAACCATAACTACAAAATAGCATATGTGAAATAATCAAAATCAAATATAACATCATTTTTTGTCATTGTCATTATGTCATAAAAAGTGCTAAATATATCCAACTTAAATTTGTGCAACACTTACCAAACAATCAATCATGAACTGTTATAGTCTTTATCATATTTGAAAGCGGTTCAAATCTTTCATTGACTTTTTTATGTTTGTTCTCCCTTGTCAGGGGTTAGGTTTTGAGCACTTGTTATAATTTCAAACCCAGTCATTTTCTGTATTTGCTTGTCCCAAGTCAGGAACCTGTTTTACAAACTTGTTACCGACCATGTCAATCGGTGTGGAAGTTATAAAGTTGTAAAGAACAGATAGAAATATGGAAACACTCACAGAAACGTACTTTTTTTACTTGACCAGACGGCAGTATTGGACATGAGATAATATCTGCAATTGAAAGTCTAAAAATGGAAAACCACCTGGAAATGATAATCTGAATGCCGAACTGTTTAAAATAGACCCCGACTTATCAGCCATCCTGCTCTATAACACCTTTAAAGACATCTGGAAAAAAGCTCAGATATCTTACGACTGGAATAATGGCACTATAATAAAAATATCCACAAAGGGAGCATTAACTGATTGTAAGAACTGGCGCGGTATTACACTACTTTCAATCCAAGTAAGATCATGGCAAAAATTATTATAAGACAAATTGCATACTCAATTGATGACCTCCTGCGTAAAGAACAAGCAGGTTTTCGCCCTAGGAGAAGTTGCATCGACCACATCATTACATCAAGAAATATTGTAGAACAATGCACAGAATGGCAACGGCAACTGTATATAAAATTTGTCGACTTTGAGCAAGCGTTTGACAGCATCCACAGTGATAGTCTTTGGAAAATATTAAGATCATATGGCATTCAACCACATCTTATAAACCTCATAAAACCATTCTACAACATCTAAGGTGGATGGTTGGGTACAATGATATATACTTCTAAGGAAAAACAGGGGTAAGACAAGGATGTGTCATATCATAGACACTTTTCATCATAGTCATAGACTGGATAATGAGACAGACCACTGCTGATACACCAATAGGCATTATATGGGGCACCTTCACCACTTTGAAAGACCTAGATTTTGCTGAAGACCTAGCATTAATGTCTCACACACACACCAACATATTCAAGATAAGACCACAGAACTACAAAAATATTCAGGACAAATGGGACTGAAAATCAACACCAAGAGAACTGAAATCATGACGCTAAATGTAAATAATCCGAGTCAGTTTTACTGGATGGAAAAACATTACCACATGTTGACACCTTCACATACCTTGGCAACACTGTTACTACCAAAGGTGGAGCAAATCTGACATCAACAGACGACTATCTAAAGCAAGGCCAGGTCTTAACAACCTGCAGGCTGTATGGAGGTCAGGGAAATATACCATCCGGACCACACTCAAACTTTACAGCAGCTGTGTCTTGCCTGTACTTTTGTATGGATCAGAATGTTGGAGGATCACGACCAAAACAAACTGTCTGTATTCCATACCAAAAGCCTCAGAAGGATTCTACGAATCATTTGGCCACAAACAAATTTCAAACCAGAACCTTCTTACCAGATGCCAGCGAGACGATATAGCCACAACTATAACGAGAAGACGCTGGAGGTTGATTGGACATGTCCCATGGAAAGAAAAAGAGGATTTCACTAAGACAGGACCACAGAAAGTAAAAGAAAGAGAGGAAGACCCAAAATGACATGGAGGAGAACTGTAGAGGCAGAGGCTAGTCAACCTCAATAGGCATGGGATACAATACAGAAACCTGACAACGACCAACAACGTGGAAAATCTTCGTTACTGCCGTACACGCCAATGGCATGCAAGGGCAGTAAGTAAGTAAGTAAGACGGCAGTGTTGGATTTCAGACTACTTGAGATCTTCTCCCACCAAAAACAATTGGTTAAGATCTTATTTTTTGGTTAAATAGCAATTATTTACGTAACGACGCTATTTCTAAAATATCACTCTATTTAAAGGGAATGTGACCTAGTCTTCAATCTTGCAAAAACAAAATTGTGCTGAAAAATAACTGTCAGGCATATGCAAATGAGACAGTAATACAGACACAGGTTTCTATCCACTGAGTAACTAGACTTTGTCAAAAGATTTTTTAAACAGAAATTTTCAAAGATCTTTCATCGAAATCAATGTTTGCAAATGCGAAAAAGACAGGGATAGTTCACATGTACATGCTTACTAGCCGACGAGTTTCATAATGCATAAAACAAATAAAACATAAATTGCATATACAATTGGACAGCTATACATACCACATCGATCAGTCACCAACTCCCGATGACAAAAATGTAACAACGAAAGACACAAAACAACAGAGATGATAACCTCGTTTTCAGTGCGCGTAATGTTTTGACCATTTTTTTATAAAGGTAAATCCCACAATTAAACACATGAACCGTCCATCTACTAACATGATGAACACAAATATAAAAAAGGAGATGTGGTATAATTGCCAATGAGACAACTCTCCACAAGAGACCAAATGACACAGAAATTCACAACTATAGGTCACCGTACGGCCTTCAACAATGAGCGAAACCCATACCGCATAGTCAGCTATAAAAGTCCCCGAAATGACAAATGTACATCAATTCAAACGAGAAAACTAACGGCCTAATTTATGTACAAAATAATGAACGAATAAAAAATATGATACACAGAAGCAAACGACAACCACTGAATTATAGGCTCTTGACTTGGGACAGGCACATACAGAATGTGGCGGGGTTAAACATGTTAGCGGGCATTTTCTCTTTGCTGTGTCTACTTTTGAAGAAAGAGAAACAGGACAATACGCGAATGGGCTTAAGGCGAATTCAAATTGATACATGTGTAAACGCAAAGTATAAATACAATTGCTACGAAAAAGGCATTTTTCGATAAATTTGGATTACCTATTCAAATAGCCATTCTTTTCAAGTGCCATTTTCTCTATTTGTCTCCTGAGATCATCTAAACAATTTTCAATGTGTGACATGCTTTGCAAGAATGCAGGTGGACAAAGCGAATTATCCGTGGTTAAATTTCTATGATTTAAATGCTGATTTTTACAAATAATCGCCAGTCTTTCAGCTTCTTTTGTCATGGCTTGAATTTTCATGTCTGGCTCCTGTCTGGTAAAATATAACTGGATTACAATGTGCAAATATAGATAATTGAACCTGAGTGACGGATTTACATTTTAAGGTGTTACGCCACAGGACTAGAGAATATAGTTACAATAGCACGTTGATACTCGAGAGATAATGTCGGAATGTATTCTCTACTCTGTATTCTACACTATCACATATTCTTATCAAACAGAAACTTTCGAGTTTTATAAAATGGTATTTCGATGAATTTGTGTGTCATTTGTATCTCATTACAATTCATTACAATTCATTTCTCAGTAATAAAGAAAATACAGTTGACTTGACATGTCAATGTATACGTCCGTAGCATATGTGAACCGAAAACAGTTATATTATAATAGAGTTGACATGTTTCTGCAAACACAAAGTGTTCGAGGTGAGAATTCGGATTCGTTTGAGTTAATAAAATAAACTGCATGAACTCAAATTGGACATGTTTGGTCAATACATGATTTAAAGAATACGTTTGAACGAGTTCGGCCTGTTTTATCCAGACGATCACGTTTGGGGGACAGAACACGTTAGAGAACGTAAAATAAGTGCCATTGTAAATTTTAAAGATTTTTAGCATATTATGATGATCAATTGCGAATAAATTTACACAATCCGTCACACACAAACATTTGCATACATTTGTAAGCTTTAAAAAATATATCAAAACTATGAAAAAAAAGATGAGACTCAAAAGGAACATTCATAATACATCTTCATTTCAATAAATAACAAACAGGACATTTTGTCATTATACATACACTATACATTATTTCCTGAATACCTAGTTAATGAAAAGAAAGTGATATAATTATAAGTTTCAAAAGCAACAAAACTTGTTTTTAAAATGTTTCATTTTTAAAGCTAAAATACATGCTTACTAAAACAGATTATCATTTTTTTTAATTATGTTCCTGTGGTGTTGGCAATAACCCTATCTGACTACGACTGATAAGTATACACTTTTTGCTAGCAATAGATAGTCAAATATCTATAATCTATAAATGGTATTATGGGTTGACAGGCTGCTTGATAGCATATATTCCATAATCATACACTATTGGATATCAAGGTATTGCACAGAGTGTTTTGACCCACTTGAAAGTCAGGCTTTTAACAATTAACATTCTTAAAAACTTTGAACATAAACACGATCTGTATATAGCTCCAAAACACAACTAATACATTGTATTTAAAATGTACAACTTGTTGTCTAAATCATGCGAATTAAATTAAAAACCTTGTAGTTTAAAACCAGCATATATTTATATTGAACACTTATTTTATATATTGGGTTATGAAAGTATACCTAATTATGTCATCTTCATCCTGCTTTGTCCGCAAACTTGATGCCAAGAATAAAACAGCAGATGATGGTCTATCCTGTCTGAATTAGTAATTAAAATCATAAATTAGCAATAACATGTAATAAAGCAGCTATAATATTTATTAATTTGTTGATCCAACATTATAAATATGGGAAGCTAGATACATATCATTATATTAGTTAACCAAGTATCATTTCCGAATATGTTGTGTCATTAAATCATACTGAAGAGTTCCTATATTGTACGCTAAAACAGAAAAATACTTATAAACATTGTTAATAACATAAACGGTATCAATTTTTCTGCACCAGATGCGCATTTCGACAATCAGTGTCTCTTCGGTGATAAGTTATGCACATTAGATTAGTTTTATTTATCCCATGGAAGTGTCTGGGTTTCATTTACTTATGATTTGCAAATGCCCCTGAGGCATCGTCTATCTATTTAAGAGGTTTTGAATGATGCCAATTTATACGGTCATTCATGTCGAAATTGATATATAGAAATATGTTTTTAGCATAGCTATTTACATGAATATCTGATTCAACAGTACAGATAAATACAGGGCCCTCCAAAAAATAACATCGCTACATTATGATTAGAGAAATAAATTGCGTTTACTCCCTCGCTGATGTACCTAGTCATACTGTTCCCTTCGCGTTCATTGTTTTTCTCTTGTGTAATCTTTTCTATGTTGAAAGGTTTGTCAGGAAAACTGCCATTGTCTCTGTAAAACAGAAGTCTTTTTTTCAATTACCCTTAACATTGATAACATTCTTTAAGACATTTTTGTTCGATTTAGCTTGACGCATCATCATGCAAACTGTTATCATACGTTTTACAGCAATAATCAAAGCCGCTAATTTTCACTTAATTCCCTATGTCTAATAATGTTTTCTATCAATTTAACCAACTGCAAAAAGTAGTTTTTCGCTGTTCTTTACAAGTCCATTCGTTTTTTGCTCCTGTTAAACGATTCATGAAAGGTTAATAAATGCACATTACAAGTATCCTGTATTGACCTACGTTTATCCAGTATAAAGGAGACGTGGTATCATTGCAAACGAGAAAACTATCCAACAGGGACAAAATGTCGTTGATCCAAGCAACCGTAAGTCACTTTGTAAGTCACCATTTTCCACATTTGAAAATGCCTGTACCAAGTCAGGAATATGACAGTTGTTGTCCATTCGTTTGATGAGTTTTGTCATTTGATTTTGCCATGTGATTAGGGACTTTCCGATTGAATTTTCCTCGGAGTTCAGTATTTTTGTGATTTTACTTTTCACCTCTTCAAAAATGAGAATGAGAATAATACAGTCAGCTTTAAACGGCCCCGATATGACAAAATTTTAAACAATTTAAACAAAACATCAACGCCAAATTACTAACCAAATAATACACGAACAAAAAACAGAACAGACAGCAAACAACGACAACCACTAAAGTAAAAGCTCCTGACTAGACACTTACATAATGAGGCGAAGTTTACGATGTTTGTGAATAGTGGTGTTATATCACAACATAAGAATGAAAAAAAAACGGTACAAATCAGTTAACAATGGCTGGATTCATCTAACTGGCACGAGGCCAATTTACAAATTTATATCATAGCACATAAAAAACGATCCAAAGCTCATTTATACTGATATACCTTGAAGATGATGTTCTTTCACTGTCATTGGCAACCTCTTCTGTTGTAACTGCCGAAGGATGTGACTCGTTTGGTGCTGGACTCACCATTCTGTAAACAGGTACATATTTGTGTATATTAAATTGTAAATAATACGCATTACATCCTTGAAAAAAATTAATATTATGTGTTATTACTTGAATGCTTTTTCATAAATTTAAAATCCTTTTCTGATCGGTTTAATGTGCAAGAACAATAGCTATCCCTTCTAAATAATATTTTAAAAGAAAGCCAATAATTTTGCACACAAATACATTACCATAGTAATTAGGAATTTTGATATATCCAAAAGAGACAAGTTAAAACTCTAACCAAAAGTCGCAAAATTGAAAAATTCAAATGATATCATCAATCCTAATACGTATGTCAGAAAATCAAAAGTAATCTCATCATAGATACCAGGCTTAACATTTTGTTCGCCAGACGCGCGTTTTGTCTACAAAAGACGCATCAGTGACGCTTCTATCAAAAAAGGAAAAGGCAAAATAAAGAACGAAGTTAAAGAGCATTGAGGACCCAGAATATGATTATTGAGATATCTTAATGTAATAAAGAATGAATATATAACTTATGTTGTTCTTGTCCTCATTTTCCATGGACTCGTCTTCCTTCTCAGAACGGTTGAGCAAGTCTGCAGATGTTGGCCTTCTGAAAATAAACATATAGAAATACAGATAAACTATAGCTAGCAAACATGGTCGTGTTTTCAATATGCGGTCAAAATTGTTGATAACAAAAATTCAAATTCTTTTCAATGCTATATTCATATTTTCTAAAGTCCATAATTTGTCATCAAACATTTTTTATCGAGGTAAAATCAATCAATCAAAAATGTAGCACTCTGCCAAAATATATTATGTAATCTTAATGAAATTGAATACAATTTAAACAGTTTTATATAGTTAACACCAGATAGCCTACCAATAATGCTAAATAGGGGACAATGCAATATTATTAAAAAAGCGTATCTTTCTCGAAGCATATCAAAAGCATCGAGACATATTTTTTTGAAGATTAGTATTAAGCGTCCAATGGCAAATGCTACATGCATATGAGACGGTAACATATTTTTTCGAAATGAATATGAACACTGCTATGTAGTAGACGGACGAACTAGGCTCGATGTTTTAACATTTAGTTCACAATGTAATTGACCGGGCAAATTATTCTGACTCCGAGCAGAAAAGTCTTTGCTATTTCTCCTAATGCAGTGTGATAAGCGGAGACGCAGCATGTCATAGTTTTAAGTAGGTTTTACCCGGCAATTGATCGAACCCATAATCCTCCGCCACTACCAGTTTACAACTTAGATAGTATGTAACTTATGTCTCAGCTATCATAAAAAAAGCTGAAATATGTGAGGCGAGTCATTAATTATAAACCATATGCCAGCTAAGATAAAGTTCTCAAAACGCCACGTCTTTTGATAACGTTTGTAAAAAATATATCAATATCTAGAGAAAATAAAAACAACTTATTTTTACCAATTTCGTATATTTCACCTCAATCAATTCACTTGAGGTTAAACATTAACAAGGTACATGACACGAATTAAAAAACATATCATATCAGTATGTTTTACATCCAAGTGTCATATAAATGAAAAAGTTCTAAAAAGTAAAATAACAAAAATACCGAACTCAAGGAAAATTAAAAACGGAAAGTCCCTTATCAAATGGAAAATTCAAAAGCTCAAACATATCAAACGAATGATCATATAAGATCATACGCAGTTGATGGAATTCTATGTTTGTCTGAATTATATATATTGCTTAAAAGAGAGGTGAAGGATAACAACGGGAAATTCAAACTCACAAGTCGAAAATAAACTGACAACGCCATGGCTAAAAAGAAAAAGACAAACAAACAACAGTACACAAAACGCAACATAGAAATCTAAAGACTGAGCAACACAAACCCAACCAAAAACTGGGGGTGATCTCAGGAACTCCGGAAGGGTAAGAAGAACCTGTTTCACATGTGGCACCCATCGTGCTGCTCGTGTTTGTACAAACCCGGTGATAAGTCTAATTCGGTAGGTCACATACGAGGAAAACGGGACGGAATCGTAGTTACGACAATTGGAACATATCTGTTGTCATCTATGAAACGGTCTACCAACTCGTGATGGTGTCCGTGAAATTTACGAAGGGGTGATTTCAACTTTACCAATTGGAACTCTTGATCTTAACATTGATTTAAATCGACTGTATTGTTAATGAAGATAAGGGGTCAAAATAAAATTGATAGAGTTGTTTGATAATTTGCCAAAATGAAGCTGCTATGATGTTTTTTTTTTGTAAAAATATAGTAAAATAGTAAAAAGTATGGGTCACGGAGCGTGTGCAAAATTGTCAGACTATGTATAGATTATGCATGGAAAAAACGATTTTATGTGATAGTGAGAAAACTAAACGATATAATTTCAAGATAAATATTAGAAAGATATATTACATGTATTTCTTATTTTTCGCTTTCAGAAAACAAAAAGAAATATTGGGATCATTGGACTCTTTATCTTGGTACAAGACAAAATAGGTAAATTCTATGCACATTCTTTTATGAAGATCGGGGTTCTAGGGGACGTTACAAAGTTGCATTGAGGTGATAGTTTTTTTATTTTTGCTCCGTGTGACTTTGTGATGAAGTTCAGCAATAAAAGCGTTTTTCTTTTTCCTTTTGTGTGTTTTCTGCTGTGCATGTACTGATTTTGTGAAATGGGTGGATACCCTATATCTTTACTTTTTTATTATCTGAGTCATCTCTCCTTATATGGCAAAGTTGAAAAAATGCATTATACAAAAAATCAACTGTAATATTTACAAAACAGTCGTTATAAAAAGATAAAACGCATAATGTTCCTCATTTAGGCGAAAAGCCTTACACAAATTATGTTCCTCTCATAAAATGTGTTATTTCATTTAAGATCTAGCTCAATTGTGTTCTGCTGTTTTACAAACTAAAATGGCGGATGACACCAGATCTACCTTAAGTCGATTACCTTTTGCTGTTTAGTCTTTCTGCTGTTCCTTTCTTCTTCTTCTTTTTCTTCGATGGATTTTGCTTCTTTCTATATGTATCTGTAACTGTATCGTCTTTTTCATGACTGTAATAGGTAAATGCGTGAAAAATGAATATACATGTACAAAATTAGAAAAGATATAGCCTCAGTTACAAATGTGCTATATCAATTCAATCAAATTGGAGTATCCACAATATGCCACTCTCTTTTGTTCATCTACTGATTTATTATTCAAAGTCACGTTGTTGGTCATTTGATGAAACTTTAATGATGTCGTAATAAAAACAAAAAAGGATATAATTTAAACAGATGCGTAAGATTGGATTCAGCATGAATGCAAATATGTTGGTTTTTTTTTTTTATTTTCAGAAAAAAATATTCTGCTCATTTTAACCGTTGTCGTAGAGCAATCTCTTTAAATATTCATTGTATGAACTCATAAATAGGATGTCATTTATTATTTATTTCTAATCTATAAAGCGAATAATGAATAACATTTTTTAATAAAATGTTGTAAATATAGTATATTGTTTGAGTATTAGTAATATTTAATGTAGTAATATTTGATATAAACTCATAAACTCTCGGAATTTAAGGTTTTCAATGCTCTTCAACTTCGTTCTTTATTTGGCCTTTTCAACTTTTTTGATTTGAGCGTCACCGATGAGTCTTTCGTGGACAAAAAGCGCGTCTTGTGTACAAAGTTCCAATCCTGGTGTATCTATGATCAGTTTATTCATGTTCGAATCACTGTTGTACGAAACGATAATGATGTATTCGACATTTAAAGAGTATAATTTCAATACATCTTTTTCAAAAAGACTGAAAATACGAAGGTGCAATCGAAATTCATAAGTAGAAAAAAAATACAAAAACCAAAATCAACTACAAACAACACCACAGAAAACACAATCTGAATAACGCGAGCGCCACGACATCCTGATCTACATTTATAGAAGGGTTAGCGATTCCATTCTCTACTAGTGGCATCATTCGTGTTGCTCTTATAAATATTCAGTGATACATGTACATGTACATGTAAGTCTCAAACAATCTCATTCGGAAAAACACATCAATAGTGTTTGATTTGCTTTAAAACTATTGTGTTGCGACCGCCACTGATGAGTTTAAATTATGTAGACGAAACGCAAGTCTGGCGTAACAAAATATAAGCCTGGTATCTTTGACGAGTTTTCACAATCACTAGGTCGATGTCACAAGGTTTATGGCATTTGTGCATTTTTTGTCTCATTCAAAAGTTTAAGTAAAAAAGCTTAAAATATATTTATTCAGATCCGCTGATAGCATTGTTTCGTTTTGGTTTTTGTTTTGTTTATTTTTTATTTGACGCAAGGCCTCCATGTTTTGTATTTTACGTGCAAACGTTTTCGCTAAATTACAAAAAGGAGACCTAAAAGTACAACCAGATTCATTTATGGTCAATTTGCTTGATGGAGTTTGAATCTTATTTTCTTGAAAATTTCCTAATTTATTACGGGGAATTTAAGAAAACAATATTATAAATCAAGTCAGTATCATCGAGGCATTGGTTACCGGTAATACCCTCGGTGACAAACAATCCACTAGCAGTGGAATCGACCCTGTTCAAGTACGTAATAAATTCCGTTTGTTCGACGCGCTTTTCTGGATATACTTTCATCCGGAATATTAAAATCCATAGTACTAAGTTTCGGCTTTCTTCTACTTTAACTAGCTATATAAATATTGTCATTGCATGTCAGTAGCTGCTAGTAGTCCTTTGTTGATTTATGTATCATTGACATTTTACTTAGTTTCTTCTGTTACCTATTCTGACATCGGACTCGGACTTCTTTTAAACTGAGTTTTACTCTGCGTATTTCTGTGTGTTTGTTTTTTTCTACATTGTCTAGAGGTAAAGAGGAGGGTTGAGATCTCACAAAATATGTTTAACACTGCCGCATTTTTTGCGCCTGTCCCATGTCAGGAGCCTCTGGCCTTTGTTAGTCTTGTATGTTTTTTTCAAATTTTAGTTCATTTATATTTTTTCGGAATTTAGTGTGACGTCCATTTTCACTGAACTAGTGCACTTTTTTGTTTAGGGGGCAGCTGAAGCTGTGTTGAAGATCCAATTGGTGGCCTTTTTCTGCTCTTTGGTCGGGTTGTTGTCTCTTTGACACATTCCCCATTTCCATTCTTTTTTTTTATTTATTTTTAATGTCGTATTTTGTAAACATAAAGGAGATCTTGGACATACATCAGTGATTCAGTAACCTATCAAAATATTTCGGACAGTTATTGACAATAACATTACTAATTGATGTTCAGCAACATAAAATACCAGCCACAATATTCAATATCTGAATAACACTTTATCAATTTCGTGCGTCCGAAGCTCTTTTAGATTTACCTTAATCAGGAACGCTCACACCAAAATGTCTTTCTATTTTATTAATAGAATTTATTAAAAGTTCTGGTCTGTCTATATATTAGCCGTTATTATGGTCCTTATTGACAAAATATGTAACATCACTTTTAATAAGAGTTTTTAAATAACATGATGTAAACCAGACTAGAATGAAGTATTCAATCTGTGTCGTCAACGTTTGTACTTGATATTGTTTTGTTCGTAACTTGAGGAGACAAAATATCATACATACCTGTTGTCTTCTGTATGCATATTGGCATGTCGAGTTAGTGAACCATTTTGGTCCACTGACGCTGTAGATACATCATTCCTGTAACATATTTCAATAGATAGTTATAGTTATTGATTGTTGAAGTGAAAGAAGATAACAAAGGGTCACGTTAAAAGTTAAGATGAAAAGAAAAGCAAACAATACCAAAGGGACATTCAAACTCATAAGTCGAAAATAAACTGACAACGCCATGGCAACAAAAAAGAAAAAGACCACCAACAGTAAACAAAACAAAGCATTTAACAAAAGTAAAGACAACCTTAACTCCACAAAAAAATAAACAGAACACTAAAGGTTGCGCAACACAAACCCAAATTGATCAGTGTAAACGCAGCAGCTCTGCAAAGATCAGCAGCTCATTAATGTTTCATAATTGGTTTTTATGGCCCGCAACAAAGTTGTCGGGGTCATATAGTTTTACCCTTGTCCGTCATTCCGCCATTCCGTCATTCCGTCATTCTGTCATTCCGTCATTCTGTCATTCAGTCATCTTGTCATTCCGTCATTCCGTCATTCCGCAACAAACCATTATACGGACTTTATTACTAAACGCCTTCAGGTATTGGGCTGATTTTTGGTATGTGAGTTAACCATGATGAGTTACAGATCAAGTGTAAGTTTCGTTCTGCTCTGCTAATTTTTGCCGAAATTACGGGCTTTGGACTTTGATTAATTGTTGAAAATCACAGTTATACAGACTTTTTTTCTAAACGCCTTCAGATATTGGGCTGATTTTTGGTATGTGAGTTAACCATGATAAGTTACAGACCAAGTTAAGTTTCGTTCCGCTCCGCTAGTTTTTGTTGAAATTACGGGCTTTGGACTTTGATTAATTGTTGAAAATCATAGTTATACGGACTCTTTTCTAAACACCTTCAGATATTGGGCTGATTTTTGGTATGTGAGTTAACCATGATGAGTTACAGATCAAGTGTAAGTTTCATTCCGCTCCGCTAATTTTTGCGGAAATTACGGGCTTTGGACTTTGATTAATTGTTGAAAATCACAGTTATACGGACTTTTTTTCTAAACGCCATCAGATATTGGGCTGATTTTTGGTATGTGAGTTAACCATGATGAGTTACAGATCAAGATTAAGTTTTGTTTCGCTCCTCTGATTTTTGCGGAAATTAAGGGTTTCAGACTTTTGAAAATTGTTGAAAATAACAGTTATACAGACTTTTATTCTACACGCCTTCAGATTTTGCGCTGATTTTTGATATGTGAGACTACCATGATGAGCTACAAATCAAGTTTATGTTTCGTTCTGCTATGCTGATTTTCATGTCGTTTCAACACATCTTGTTAGATCTGCAGTACATCCACTTCCTGTTTGCTAATAGTTTGAAATTTAATTACTCATTGATCAAGGAAATTTTTCATCAAACTAGTATTGGTCTTGAGAGCTGGATTCTATCCATGCATGTTTGTGTCCACATGTGTTGTTGAAATTGCAGATTTTACAACTTTTTGAGACGGGGCCATTCGTGTCGTTCCGACACATCTAGTTTTTCTATGATTTTATTGCATAATCCTAAGTATTAAAAGGTCGTTTATAAACAATTTCAGACAAACTTAATCATAGCATTTAATACAACAATGTGGCGTGAGTGGGTAAAACCATTGTCATATATTGATCTACAAATGAATCTATCACGATATTTAAAGCCATAATAATATGCGATTTTGTTCCATGTCTGGTTATTATATATATATAAGCAATTAAAAATAAAAGTTACCTTGGAGACTCAATTCCATCGTTGGTTGTTTCTATTCCGTTGTTTTGAGGTTCACGGTCATTTTCCAGAGTACTTGGCACATCACTTGACGATTGATTCTCCGTTCTGGATAAAGAAGACGAACATTACAAATTGCATGCAATACACAAGAGTTTACTATGCTAAGGCATGTACACAGAAGCTCTATGTTTTTATTTTATAGTCACTGCTTAAACTTAACATTTACAACCTTTTGCAGTCATTAAGCATCTTTGGGCTTGAAATTTGTTACTACTATTCGGTACTCATGTGCCTTTGTTGGCTAAAACATTGATAGCTCAGTACAGGATAAAAGGGGACAAATATTTAACATCTTATATCATTAAATTTCCTTAGACAGAATAAACGTAATTTCTACCAAATAAAACAAACATATTTTTACAGAGTTTGTCTTTAGTGCCACGTGGAGACAGTAGAGTGCCTCCCCGTGCTTCAGGTTTATGCTCTTATAATATACAAGATAATGGAATGTGTGTCCGAGCGAGAATATAGTTACGATACTGTTGTCAGGTCATTAAATATGACATATTTTGGTATTAATATTGATTCACTAATAGGGTCTTTGCATTGGAAATAAACACATTTATTCTAAAACTAGTTGTTGGCATGATACGGGTTATGTTCTCCTCATATATTTTATGATTGTATGATACTAAACCCCTAACGGGAGGGATTGTGCTCGATTTTCATATGAGGAAGACATAATCTTTCAATCAGTTTAATTGAGGTCTGGAGCTGGCATGTCAGTAACTGCTAGTAGTCCTTTGTTAATTTATGTATCATTGTCATTTTACTTAGTTTCTTTTGTTATCTATTCTGACATCGGACTGGGACTTCTTTTAAACTAAGTTTTACTGTGCGTATTGCTGTGTGTTTGTTTTTTCTACATTGGTTAGAGATATAGAGGGAGGGTTGAGGTCTCACAAAACATGTTTAACCCATGCGCATTTTTGCGCCTGTCCCAAATCAGGAGCCTCTGGCCTTTGTTAGTCTTGTATGACTTTTAATTTTAGTTCATTTATATGTTTTGGAGTTTAGTATGATGTCCGTTTTCACTGAACTAGTGCACATTGTTGTTTAGGGGCCAGCTGAAGCTCGCCTCCGGGTGTTGAAGACCCATTTGTGGCCTTCGGCTGTTTTCTGCTCTTTGGTCGGGTTTTTGTCTCTTTGACACATTCCCATTTCTATTCTCAATTATATACTTCAAAACAGGAAGTGATGGTTGTATACAATTTTACTGTCCATCTAAGACATCGGGTGTAGGACGACTGAAATATTCAACACTACAGGTATAATAGTTGCATGATTCTAATCTTTATTTATAAGAAAAAAATAGACCGAGAAGGGTTTTTTTTTTGTGTTTGTTTTTTATATTTAGTATACAGTCGTCACATTGTAAAAATAGAATTGATATAAATATCACTTAAAGGGGAATAAGTTGCCAAATTTATGTTCATCAAATGGACTGAGCTCTTAAATTTGATTTATTACATACTAAAAGGTATTCAAGAGTCACGATTTCCCCACGTGAAAAATAAATTAAGTAAATTAAGAAATATAAAAAAATAGATGTGTCGGAACGACACGAATGGCCCCGCTCGCTAAAAAAGGCAGAAGCCATTTTTGGGAGTGGAAAATTGAGAATGAAAGTCCATATAACTGTTATTTTCACGACATTGTCAAAGTTCAAAGCCCGTAATTTCGGCATAAATCAGCAGAGCAGAACCAAACGTAAACTCAATCTGTAAATCATCATATAGTAGACTCACATCCTAAAATCCAGCTCAATATGTGAAGTCGTTTAGAAAAAAAAACGTCCGTATAACTATCATTTTGACGAAATTTTCAAAGTCCAAAGCTTGTAATTTCGACAAAAAACAGCGGAGCGGAATCAAACGTAAACTCGATCTGTAACTCGTCATCGTAGACTCATTTACTCAATATCAGCTCAATATTTGAAGCCGTTTAGAAAAAAAGTCCGTATAAGTGTTCGTTGCGGAATGACGAAATGACGGAATGACGGATAAGGGTGAAACTATAAACAATAAAAAGGATAAGCATTTTTGGTCTGCACCCATATAATTAACCATCGACATGATCTTCGAATATTGCCGATAGGCATACGACGCTAATATCAATATAAATATAAATAGTTATATACAAACAGCTCAATATGTATAGCACGTGTAATAGTATAACTGAAAATTTTTATGGAAACTTCATAACACAGATCGTTTTACCTGTCACTTTTAAAAGAATGTTTTTGACGGGTCGAAACAGTTAATGAAATCGGTCTTGATGTTGAAAATTGATTTTATTTTTTCAGATGATATTCATTTCAAAAACTTAATTTGTTGAGAACATGCGCAATCATGTCGAACTGAGTTCACATCAAAGGTTGCATGCATAGAGATCTAAATGAGGTGGATATATTCTTGTGTGCCATCTCGACAAATCATAACCAAACTGAACGCTCATAACAAATAAATATTCAATATCCCATACTTGTAAATGTTTGAAACAAAAAAAATAGTTAAATTAATTCAACTTATACTGTCAAAACTGTGGCTATATTTAAGGTATATCGGATCTTTGAGCAATAAAAAATATTTACGTGATTTACTACAAAATTTGTTCTGCATACGAACAAATCTGAGTACAGGAAAAAATGTTTAAAAGCATGACAGGACTGTAATTAAAAAAAAGTTAAGTATTTTATGTTTCAGAAATTAAAAACTTTTTTAGACCATAATTGGAGATTATTTTTTTCAAACATGCAGAAGGTGGTATAATAAATAAAAACCATGAATTTTGTTTGATACGGTCCACTCAGTCACAAAGTTTTAAATCCCATATTGTTGTGTAGATGTCTATTGTTCCTCTTCGAACAAATTTTCAATTCTTTTATAATATACCTTTCCATCAATATAGAATAAAGACTTAATTATCATCGTGTGTGTATTTAAATGAACAACACGACGGATGCCACGTGTGAAGCATGGTCTGCTTAACGCGGGCCCTTCCAGAGCACCTGGGATCACCCCGGGTTTTGGAGGGGTTCGTTTTGTTCAGTCTTAAGTTTTTTGTGTTGGTTTTTGTGTATTGTTGTTTGTCTTTTCGTCGTTTTTGTTTGTTTTATGCCATGCCCTTTGTCAGTTTGTTTTCGACTTGTGAGTTTGAATTCCCTTTAGTATCTTTCGCCTCTCTTTTCGAGTGGAAATAATAGTCCAGAATTGTCTTCTATTTGTAACTATTATTATAAAAGAACTTCAATTCTATGACAGAACATCTCAAATATTTTTCAAAACTCAGTTTACATGAACTAGTTTGAATCTAAGTTTCTTTGTGGTTTTAAGTTGATGAGTAGAAGGTTCAGCCTAACTCAGACAAACCTTTAAACGAGTATAACATCCATTTGAATAAATTTATTATATCCGGTCGCTTACTGGCATGCGTGTGTAGGTAATGCAAAGTACATGCAAGCAAAGGAAGGTATAACGCATTGCACAGTACATGAAATCATTCTTTAAAGTATAGCACATGTTATAGTTTAACTTTCTCTTCTTAACCTGTTTACGAATTCTGAACATTGCCAAACTCTGTCGCCTTAATCTAATTTGATAATTACCAATTAACCGATAAATTAAAAACATTACTATATACAAATATACCGGCGCGGAGTACAAGATATCGACATTGGTTAATAAATAATTTACCTTTCAATCTCACAATCTTTAGGAGGCTTTTCCCTCTTACCACTATCTTCTTTATGTGATTGATTTGGAGATAATTCGTGACACCTGTAATCAATATCACGTACAAAAACTGTATTTTTCAAATCTTGTTATAACTTGCAAATAAAGCGTAGCTCATCTACAGTAATCACAAGCCTGTAAACACTGAGGTTGGGAATTCGAACTCTGCGTCTGAAATATGCGTTATATTCCGATGTTAATTGACTGAAATTGCCACTTTTCCTACCGACAGTCGGTGGTATAATCCTGGTACTTTGACTTCCTCTTCCAACCGAAACTAGCCTCCCTAAAAAAGCCAAGTGTGCTAACAAATGAAAACAACTTTATAAATTGTATGTGTCCGAAGCGCTATTCTTGATTTATCTTAATCAGGAACGCTCATAGCCAAATATTTGAGAGATAAAAGGCAAGGATGTATAAGAACCAAAACACGTGAAGAGCAATATGACCAAGACAGACATAAACAAAATAGCCAAATCCATTTAAGGTCAACTTTAGAACCTTAATTTCTAAATAATTTATACATTTATAAACGGACAGTTTACGAAAGGTACGTGATACTATATGTCAGTACCAAAGCTCTGACTACTGAGCTAATTATACCCTGGGGAACTTAGTCAGCGATACAATGGGCACCAACAATAAATCAATCAATCACATGCACGGCCCGAACTGTCTGTTTGGGTCATTAAATCATTACCAGACGTAGTAGTTCATCATCTATAGTAAAGACTAGAATCTTTAATGTAAAAAGGCAGATGTATAACATGTTTAAGACTGATAAAAAATTTATCATGGCAGTGATAGGAAAATGGTATTGAACAATACTATTTCAATAGTTTCAACGCATGGACTTTTTATCATCGATAGTAATGGTACATGATTTTCTTTCAACCACACTGTCAGGAAACATTTCTTAAATAAAGCCAAAAATGCACAATAAATTTCAATAAAATTATAATGATCAAGAATGTTTGTCCATAGTAAACCATGCCCCTGTTGTCACTTTCACAGTTGCATATACAGTGAACCGCGAAATCTGATTATAAAATGAATTGAAAACATAAATAAAAAAATAAACATTTATTCTATAAAAGCACATTAATCGAATGTTAGATCACTTTATGCAGTCATGGCTGAAACTTAGTTCAGTAAATGGTTTAGTAGATTTTGGGTTAACATTTTTTTCTTGCCTAATTTTATTAGGATGTAAGAAAGATTAAAGGTATTACCATACCTGGGTATATGTTGACAAGTCCCTATATTTATTTTCTTATATAAAATGATGACTTTGAATTACTTATTATATTATATTACACATGGTTAATTGCTTTTGAAATCCCGTAGCTGATGTATAATGGTATATTATCAAAACTAGAAAAAGATGTCTTTCAATCCCATGACAAAAGAACAGTTTTCATTCAAATAACTACACCACATCTTCTTATTTATATACTAACATTAAATAGCCGGATTTTTAACTCAGTACACCATAATTATGAATATACGATTGGCGATATGATTTGAATATAAAGTCAGCAATGGTGTTTTTGTCAAGAGCGCATACAATGTAGCCAGGTTTTTATTAGTATAATAGCATGTATGCGTTTGGGTTTACAAGTGTAACATGAAATGCTGAATACTCCAGGGCACCTGATTTCATCCAGATTTTTTAAAGATGGGTCAGTTATTCAAATTTAGATTTCTGTGATGTGATTTGTGGACATTCTTTTCTGCTTTTCCGATTTTTTGTCATCAGCTATCTTTGAATTGCGTTTTTTCGAAGTTGTCATAATCCCACTCCTCTTCTTCCTCTTCATCTCTTTTTTCTCTTATTCATACATGTTTTTCACTTCTCCTGATACCTTTTCTTACTCCTCATACCTTTTCCTCCTGTCCTCCTAATACATGTTAATTCTCTTCCTTCTATACCTTTTTTTATTACTCGTACATTTTCCACCTCTTCCTCTTATTTTTCCTCTTCCTACTTTCATCCTTATAATTTCTCCTCCTCCTCCTCCTCCTCCTCCTCCTCCTCCTCCTCCTCCTCCTCATCATCCTCATCCTCATACCCTTTCCTCCTCCTCTTCTCGTCTTTCTCAAACATGTTCATCATTTTCCTCCATCATTTTAAAACATACTAGTGTAAACAGTGTTGTGATTTGGATAGGTCCGCTATATGTGTCGTGGTATATCACAAAGAATTATACAAAGCGTTTAATGATCGTATTTGCATTGACATTAAGATATATCACACCTGATTATACAAAGAATCATGGAATTCTTCAAATTTTTGTGTAAATAAAATTACATTATTGTTATTGTCGCGCTTGTTTATTTTTCTTTCTACTATGTTTGCTGTTTGCATTACATATGTGTTTTCGTTACATTTAACAATCGATTACATGCAGTTACGTCATCGATACTTAGATGGTTTACCGAAAACCACCACTACACACTAATATCGTCTTAGTAAAACAATAAACACCTGAAATCAAGCATAAACGTTCTATGCAGTCGTCATCATGATGACCCTTGATTTCTATAATTCGCAAAATATGTTTACGATTGTGTGCAATATTATTCAACAAAGAATCGGCATTCCTATGGAAAAAGCTTTTCCTCTCTTCTTGTCGACTTTTCATAGAGAAATAGAGTGAAGGATTGAGCGTTGTCCATTAACTTCAAATTCATTTAATAGATAATGCCTTTACACTGAATCCCAATCACCCCTATTGAATTTGAAATTTTGATGATGTTAATTTTTACATCGTTAACTTTCAACTTATTGGTAGCAGCATTCCAAAGCACCAACTGTATATGGAGCTTATATCTTCCAGTTGATAGAATATTCACAGGCTTAGATTACCTTTGAAGAGCGTTGCTGCTTACCAGAAATCTATTACACTAATGGATCTACATGGTAAAGTTGATGTCATCCCTTCTAAAGCTTTACGATCTCATTATGAAGTTGTCGACTGTTATTCAAAATTTGCGTCACAGATTGTCATGGCTATGATCCACTTATTGTATTACAAAGAACATATTTCTTCGATTTAAATCACTCAATTCAGATTGTCAAAGTATTTTGACTTCTCCTGATCAACACGACGTGTGCCAATAGTGGAGCAGTAACTGTTAATAATTACCATTCCTGTTTACCTGATGTCAACAATGGTTTAAGTTTGGTTGTTGTTGCTCAATCTTTAGTTTTCTATGTTGTGCTTTGCTAACTGTTGTTAATTTTTATTTATCTTCATTTAGACTAGGATGTTGTTTGTTTTTCGTTAACTTTTATATTGTATCGCCTTTTTGGTATCTTCCGCCTTTGTACAGAATCATAGTTGAATGAATTCCTAGCTTTTCAAACAATACTTACGAAATGCCACTTGGACTAGCTATACGATTTTGATTTGTGTAGGATTCGATTTTATTCCCAGTATCCTTATGTGACTGGGTGGAACAGGAATTATTGCTGAATATACAAGATAAAATTATTGTTCTTCGTTCCTAATTTGCATATAATGTAACATCTCATCCGCCCAAACATTTATATATTCAAGCATGCTAAGATTTATAAGTTCTATGCGTTTATGAATAAAAGGATTGATTGAATGATTTGTGTTTGATTAACTTATTAACACATGAAATCTCTTTGTTTTACTGTGCTATAATCAGGTTAATGCACAGCTAAGATGTGCATTGACTAGCTCATATATATACTGCACAGTTCAAATACATTTTTCACTTACAATTATGACAAAATTGATCAACAACTTATTAAAACTTTTATATATGAAGGTGTGGATGGGGGTTTACAGAAAAGAGAATAATGGGCTAAATATATAAAGAAAAGAGAAAAACGGACCAAAGAAATAAGGAATAGAGAACAATGAGGTGCTAAAATATAAAGAATAGAGAATAATGGGCAAAACGTATAAAAAAATAGAGAAAAATGGCCTTAAAATTTAAAGAATTCAGAAATGAAGGACCTCCATCCAGACCCTCATATATGACATAAAATAAAGATTTTTAAAGTGTTGGTGATGGAACAAAGCTCCTTTCTGAAATTTTATCTTTTTCATTATTTTTTGTACTATGTAAATCCTAAAATAATCCCAAATCAAGTATAACTAGACTATTTTTTTTTTTTATTTCTAGAAACATAATGAAAGTATAAGAAAATCTAAATGATTAAGATTTGATTTTTATTATTTTTTTTATAAACGGAATTCTTTATATATATCCTTGTTATGGTGGTATGAGTGTCTTCCACCAATTTTTAATTAGAGCAGTAACTTGCAATGCAGGATGGTAATTTAATAAGAAGAATGTTCATGTAAATGAACAACTTCATATAATGTTAACTTATAATATATAATATTTTACAAAAGTAGTTTTGCTTGATTTTAATTGTTTTTAATCTTACGTATTAAGGAGAGGTTACTCAGAAATGAAATAGTAAATTTTAGAAAGGAATCTAAGGAAAGACGCTATCCAAGTTCAATTTGCCGTTTTAGAATCTAATGCATTATGGGTATAACATTTTCAAAATCGTACATCAAAACGCTGTAATTGACTTACAGTGTTCCAAACAATTGAAATTCAACCAATGACGTGACGTTATTTTTCAATTTGGGGTACGAACAATGAAATTACTCATGGTCCTTTTGATTCTGAAACGGCGAATTGAATATATCATTCGCACCAAATCTCATACAAATTCAAAATTATATTAATATGAAGGATAATTATTTAAATATTTCAGAAAACTAAATTTGCATAACATATATCTGACATTGATCACGTGGTATATATCCATTTCTTTAGAGATATACTAGGGGAAAAAACTATATATTGATAGTAAACTGCACATTGCTAGGTAACATACACATGTTGGTGCCAACGTTGATAATTCAATATAAATAAACAGGAAAAATACGAATAATAAATTAAAATTACAATGATTACAAAAATGTATATCCGCTTAACGAGTCCTTGTGTTGTCTGCCTGAGTAGTGTTCATTCAAGCAGTTAACAAAATTTAGTATTTACGTTTTGCTACATCAAGTTCAAATTCGCTAAAAGAAATCAGGATATTTTGGGGATTGTGTCTCTTTTTCGTTAAATTCTGTAAGAAATGAATACGAATTTGAGTGCATTTCGATTTTGTGATTGCGCTGGTACACTATAAATCGAATATTTAACGTGTGTCGAAGTTAAAATAATAATTCTTATAATATTCTTCCAAACCACACTACTAATGAATTTATCATATTTCTTAAAAAAATTACAGCATACTAAACAATATTCTGTGAAAATATTCTGTTAACAAAAGGATGCGAATCGACATTTAACAGTAAATGATAGAAGTTTGCTGCTTTCGTTGAATCACATTGATGGTATTCTGAGCATTAATTTGAGCCCTTAACCACATCTGTGCATCATCAAATGTCGCATTAACGCAAACAAATTATCTATTTTCAAAACATTTGCTTCATCGTGAAAAGGAACAGGTTAAGTATGTACTTTATTAAGCTGGAAAAATAAAATGATAAATAAGATGCAGATCAATCGACTTCGTTCAGTTGCTGCATACAGTCAAAATTGGTTGTCGAACACAGTAGAAAAACATCGAAAAATAAAAAATATTACGTTTTTTCGTTTTACTTTTTCTTATAAATTTTGGCACATTTTCTTCAAACATTCTTCTTCTACATTCTTGAAATAATAAAACAAACACATAATGTACACTCAATAATCCTTTTAAGTTATAATTTCTTGTTAACCGATTTTGAGATTCAGCAAACGGAGCAAAGACTATAATAAAGGGACATGGCGTGTATACGCAAATAGGCAAGCAACCCAACGACAAAATGACATCACGAGGGCAATATACAGTTTTCAATATTAGACAGGTGTCTACAGAATATGTACGTTAATTTAATTGTAACTACATATAACAAGCAAGTGAGCCTGTAATTCAGTGGTCGTCGTTTGTTGCTGTATATCATATTTGGTTTTCGTTTATTGTTTTGTACATACATCAGGCGATTAGTTTTCTCGTTTGAATTGTTTTTTATATGACGTTTCGGTGCCTTTTTTAGCTTGCTATGTGGTACGGGCTTTGTTCATTATAGAATGCCGTACGGTGACTCATAGTTTCTAACCTTCTTCGTCATTTAATGTTCTCATTACCACATCTTCTTATTTTCATGAACCCTGCATGGCGGGAAATAAATTATAACCTTGCGAACATGGTATATCCAATTAAGCGATGACATGATAATAATAGAATAAAAAGAGATAAACAAATACTCATCTGACAAAAAAGGAAATCAGGCTACAAACTGCAGCAATGAAAAAGTGAGAAGATATAGATAGGGCAATGGATGCAATAGTCGAAGAAATAATACAATGGCCATCCGAAAAACGCCAGTGGTTTATGTTTGAAAAGTATGGTTATATATAAACGGACATAATAATCACCCTGGCTGTTCTAATTCGTTCTATAATATCATACAACATGTATTTTCATACATTACTCCATATTCTTTTTTAGTCACATTTCAGAAATTCGATACATTCATGCTTACGTGATTTTCTTGCTTTTTCTCGTGCATAATTACACGCATTCAAAATAGAATGTATACTATATATTTATAGAGTACATACTGTACTTCCAGTATTCCCTTTTAATCCTTTGTTAAATTTTACATGTAGTATTAAAAAAAGAAAGTATACTATACCTTGAATTAATTCCATTGGATCTTACAGAATCGTTGAGGCGTTTGTATCCCTGGCCCTGGACACTAGGTAATAATCAATAAAAGAACACTTGCACTTTATCAAAAATATACCTTAGATGTTAATACATAAATTCTGAAAAACCAGTATCCTTGGTATTCCTCAAATGCTATATGGCTGTTCAAGTGAATTACTTTCACCAATTATAAGCTTGGTCAGTGACTTCAGAAGACTGTAAGAACTTCTTCAGTGTTTTACATCCCGCCATTGTGTTATTGTGCTATGGTCAATTTTGTATGCTTGTCTTCATTGTTGCTTATGTACTTTGTGTCTATATGCCATTTTGTTTTTCTTTGTTGAAATAGTTATTTGTTTTTATAGTTATTAAGATTATAACACAATGATGACTATTGTACCCCAATTTTTTACATTTTTACCTTTTTTGTCTGTTTGTTTTGCTCACACATTGTTGTCAATATATTGTAAATCTATGCGACTGTCATACAAGTGAAAGGTTTAGCTAGCTATAAAACCAGGTTTTATCAACCAATTTCTAGAAAGGAAATACCTGTACCAATTCAGGAATATGACAGTTGTTTTCCATTCGTTTGATGTGTTTGAGCTTTTGATTTTACCATTTTATAAAGGACTTTCCGTTTTGAATTTCCCTTGAAGTTCTGTATTTTTGTTATTTAACTTTTTATATGAATATTCGTTTGACGTTATTTTAAAGAATGAGAAATATTTAACAAAAATGGCACGAATTAGTCAAATCGATTTCATGCTAAATCTATCGTCAAAGCTGGAATGTTTTGTTTGAAATTATATAGATTTGTTTAGGCAGTGGCTATTTTGCCGGCTCCGGCAAAATAGCCTCTTGGTGCAATTTACCGGCTCTGGCAAAATACCGATTTATTGATTGTCATCTCTCTCTGATTTGATTTCACCAGATCTTCATATGATTCGAACTTAGCGTTTAGTTCAAGTTTTTTTTTCACAACGAAGTGTAGTCTTCCATTTTCGAACGTCAATGTTCAACAGAAATTTTCTGCTACATGTACATGTAATTTTATGAGTGAAGTGAATAAACCACACGATGAAGGCATAGCCTGGGCTTAAAAGTAATGGACAGCTAACCATACATATCATTTGTGCATAAAAAAATTCAATAAAAAAGTTTATTTTATATAGTCTGAAAAAAAATCTGCAATAAGACCGACAAAATAGCAAAACTCTACACAAAGTCTATTTTACCAGAGCCGGCAAACTAGCACTAAGGAGGCTATTTTGACGGAGCCGGTAAAATAGCATCTAAAATATAAATGGCTATTATTCCGCAGCCGGCAATATAGCCACTGTCTTTTGTTGAATAGTTAAAAGATATAAAATAAAGAAAAAATTACAAAAAATAAATATAGAAAGTAATGAAAAAAAACAAGAACAGCAATAAATAAAAGTAATAAAGTAAATAAAATTAATACTTAAAATTTTATTCATACGATAAAAAAAATTAAGATAATTAAAATATATAAAATACAATGAAATAAAAATAAGAAATAAAAACAATAGAATAAATAAATTAAAAAAAGACTAAATAAATAGATAGAGCTGACCAAAAACTTTTGAAGAGACAGAACTGTCAGAAACTGTCCAACTGTTTTGGTAGAACTGTTCAAAAACTGTTTCCGGTTAAAACTGTTCTATGATAGAACTGTCCAAAACTGTACTAAGATACAATTGTCCTAACTAATTCATGGTAGAACTGTCAAGAAACTGTTGAAAATTGTTCTAAGGTAGACCTGCCAGAGTCTGTAAAGGTTAGATCTGTTCAAAGGTATTTTGGGTCAGGGTGGAATCGCTTCTGTTAACAGTTCTCCTGGCAGATTTTAAGAGAGGCTATAGAACTGATCCAAATTGTATTATCCCGAGAGCTCTGCTCAATAGATTATATTGGTTGAGAGTTGATTTGCTGTCTGATAACGAAAAAGCCATATTATCCACATTTATTTTATACTTAAAACAGTTGGATTAAACAATTTTTCTAGAGAATATGGACGTGTAAACTTAACCCGAATCACTCACAAACTGAATAAAAAATTGTGAATTTACAGTGACGTGAGTTTATAAGTCATCGGTTCAGTTTACGCACCAATCACCTCTGAAAAAATGTTGAATATATCCTCATAATTCTCAGCTTAAACAGGTGTCATCTTTTCTATCAACTCCAATATTCTTGTAACCCCATGATTCCATTAATGCATACCACTCATGATTATCACAGTGACATAGGGTTTACCGAGGATACGAAAGTAGTTTCGGAAACATGGTTTATCAAAATGTTAACCGATGGAAAAAAAACTCTGACGACCAATCACATTCAATTATTTGTAAATATGCAAATCATATAAGAATTATTACTAAGAATATAATAAATATCACAGTTCGTACATGTGCTTTGACTTTTATGTCAATACATATTGATATTTAAAGACAATATATAACTACAGAAGAATCAGGAACTGATACAGATGTTACTTACTTATTCGTGTTGTCTTCAGGGGATAGTTTCTAAAATTAAAAAAAAGTAGATATCACATGTGTATCCGTGTAAAATCATTATGTTTTAGAAATGTTCACTAAGAGGGAAAATAAGGAGGGTCAAACAAAGATGTCCAAAAATGTTGATATTTTCTAATCATCCTTTAGTGTTTATTTTCTATGGTCTTAAAAAAAAACCGAGAAATGTTGACGTCTATTTATAACCTTTGACTCCATATCTGTTATTATATAAACAAAAGCAATATTGATTTTGTTCCCTGGTACAATTTAAAATACTTTACAGTATTGTTGAAATTTGTTATGCGGACATTAGTGATATTTCTAAGGCGGGTCACCAAGTTCTATCTGCACAAACATGGTGATGAATCGGGCCTTAGACATTTTTAGGAATGTTTCTAGGTATATTTATTATGTTAATACTGTTTCCCAAAACAATCAGTCGGAAAATGGTTGCAGTCTTAGAAAAGCGCTTGGGTTGCATACAATTTATAAAATGTTACTTTTTTTTAGTTGATTGCAGTTTTGCAGAAAGATTTCTATTGTTAGAACTCGGCAGATTTCGGACGAGATGATTTTTAAAAAGTTTTAGTCTGCATTGGCTGTATGTTCAAATTCCTATACATTCTTACACTAAATCTATACAATAGTAACTTGCTTTACTTTTGATGTAAGATACAAATGCACATTATGTGTATATAAACTAAAAATACACAAATTTCAAAAGATTGACGTAATTGATCTTTTACAAGAACTTCATATTCAAAACATTTTGTCCAATTTGTCATTTGTAAAAAGTAAAATAACAAAATTACCGACCTCCAAGGGAAATTCAAAACGGAAATCCCTTTATAAAATGGCAAAATCAAAAGCTCAAACACATTAAACGAATGGCTTTGGAAAACAACTGTCATATTCCAGACTTTGTACAGGCATTTCCTTTCTAGAAAATAGTTGATCAAACCTGGTTTTATAGCTAGCTAAACCTCTCACTTGCATAGAAGTCGCATAGAATTCCAATATATTGACAACAACGTGTGAACAAAACAAACAGATATAAAAGGTAAAAATGTCAAAATTTGGGGTACAGCAGTCAACATTGTAATATAATCTTAATCACGATAAATACAAATAAATATTTCAACAAAGAAAAACAAATTGGCATATAGACAAAGTACTTATTAGCAAAAATGAAAAACAAGAATACAAAATTGACCATAGCACAATAACACAATGGTGGGATGTATAAGTACCGATCCACGTCAAAAGTACATTACCAAAAAATGGACTAAACAGTATAGGTAAAAAAGACCACTATAACACATAATGAAGATGATTAACAACGTCAGTTCCTACAATCTATACTTCAAGACCATCATGTATTATTTGTGAAGTTGATACGGAATATTTATCAACAAGGTCTTGATATCTTCCAATGAACTTTTTTAGAAAAAGGACGAGACGTTCTTTGACATAACCTTGGCTCATCAATTTTCTGCTCAGACACTGGTGACGTTTTATAAAGTCTGAGTAGCAGCTGCAGGCTAAAAGAGTTACATTGTAGTGGCTTTTTTTAAGGCATTGTGGAAATATGAACTTAGTGTTGAAATATTACAAATATATATATATATATATCGTCTCCATGCGTCTGCGTGTTTTTGCTGTAAAAGTTTAAGCCTGTTTTCAATTATGCGCACAAACAAAAAATATTCTTCATATTAAATGTTGCACCATGTGTTTTAGATTTTGTAAGTAAATGTGTACTCGGGTCGGATCGTCGTTAACTTTGAACCTGTAAAGTTACAAGTTGTTTTTTACTAATTTAGGGGTTTTAGATCTTTGTTACAGGCAACTTATATAAACAATAAAAAAAATGAATACAAATGTGGATTCAAAATCTTCGAAATGGAAGAAAATAATATGGTTTGAATAGTCATTTCGTGTTTTTTGCAGAAAGCTATTTATTAACTCCATTTTGCGTCTAGACGAAAGAATATTTCAAATCTGCAATTCAATTTCCTATGAAAATATTTGCATATGAATGTGTATGGGCAACAGAAAACGCACGCCAAATGACAGCAATAAAAAATACATAACACTTCGGACTAGGTGAGTTAATTAGCTGAGTTTTAAAGGAGCAGCAGCTTTTTATTGGTGTTCTATATCTTGATAGTAGTTGAATGTGTTTAACAAATAAGAATTTCCATGCTTTACAGTGAGGTTAAAATGGTTTTAGCGTCTGACATTTCACCAATTCATATATGTGAGATCGTTAATAAAAATTTATCACTAGCCAAAACCTCACATCAAACATGCTCACCAATTTATATGCTCTGTTTGTTGTATCATGGGATAACATTTAACAGACAATATACAATGTAAAGTGAATTATTATAAATGTCTCATATAATTATGGTTTCAGTTCTTTTTCTACATTTAATTAACTAATTAATGTATAAGAATATCTTTACTAAAATACTCACGCTATTTTGTGAACCCATCAACACTTAAAAGATTAACTCAGTCGCTAAAATTTTCATTATTCTCTGCTTGTCATTATTCAGAAATACATTTCTATAAAAGAAAAAAGAAAATATACACTTTTTGAAAATAAAACCTCCTCAAAGATACCAGGCGTATACGTTATTACACCAGGCGATCGTCCCGTCTATTTGAGACGCACCGGTGGCGATCGAATCAAAACAACTGTAAGGCCAAATCTATTGCAGGTTGATGACATTGGAACAAAACAATTCTAAAAATCTGAGTGTTTCAAATCATTCTAATGTTTTATTAAATTGAGTTATTTTGAAGAAATTGATCATCAATGATCCTTCATGTAAAAGAGAGGCGAAAGATACCAAAGGGACGTTCAAACTCACAAGTCGAAAATAAACTGACAAATGCCATGGCTAAAAAAGAAAAAGACCAACAGACAAACAGTACACAAAACACAACATAGAAAACTAAAGACTGAGGAACACGAACCCCACCAAAAAGTGGGGGTGATCTCAGGTGCTCCGGAAGGGCAAGCAGATCCTGCTTCACATGTAGCACCCGTCGTGTTGCTCATGTTAGTACAAACCCGGTAATAAGCTTTAGTCTAATTCGGTAGGTCACATTCGGGAAATGGGGACGGGATAGTAGTTACGACATTAGGAACATATCCGCTATCATCTGTGAAACGGATGTTCCGTAACGGTCAACCAATTCGTGATGGTGTCCGTAAAATTTACGAAGGGATGATTTCAACTTCACCACTTGGAACTCTTGTTTTAATAGCTTCCTTGTGAGCAGCAACACTATATCAAGTAAATACAAGAGCAATGACTACTGGGTTGGTGATACCTTCGGGTCAACCAGTCCATGGTATCGAGTCATTGATTGAAAATATCAATAATCTTTCTAGCTTCGGAACCGTTCGTAGCTCTTATGGTATTTGTGATATTTTCTGTACAATGTCACAGTCATCCGTTTCGTCTATAAAAGACACATCTGTGATTATATATATAAAACTTTAGAATTTCGACATATTATGTCAGGAAAGACTTGGAAAAATAAATACTTCAAGGTAAATATGGAGCTATAAAACACAAGCAATCAATCCGTGCATTTACTTAATCCACAAAATACTGCGAATATCCAAATGTGATAGCCAAATGTTGCGAGTTTATGTAGCAGTTGATATTAGACAGATGAAACACACAAACGCAAATTGACTGGTATTTTTTTTTCTCGATTAGTCAATTCTACAAGCTGCTAAAGTTGCAATCCTGACGTCTTATACATGTATATCTACACAACTATCTCAACAATTGACAAAAAAGTTTAAAGATGCATATGGTAAGTTCTTCAGTGGGTGACTGCGATATTTCAAATATGTTATACCTAAGAAAAAACAATCTTATGTTGGATAAAAATAAGTCGCACTTTAATAAAAATGACTTTTGAATAAGTTGGATACAAAGATTGACTACCACAAAAATCGAATATTTACCAAATCCGTAGGCAAAAAAATTCAAATAATTAGTATTGCCTTTCATGGGGGTTATTAACCTTAAACCTTGTATCAAACTAATTAAAAGTCATTAACTGTTTGATCATATGACTATGTTTTCTTAAAAAGCTTGAATTACGATATTGCATTGATTTACCTGAATGCCAAGAGTTGGGATGTCTTGCAAGGTAGATAACTATCAGAAAGCATTACGAAGAAAATCGGACAGGGAGTAGCGGGAATCATAATCATCGCCAGAAAGTCTTTGCTTAAGATTATGATACGATGTAAATTGAGCGTATGAGTCTCCTGACACAATTCGACATCAGGACCATTAAAAATATTTGTTTTTGGCAAAAACCACAATACCTTCCTATTTCAAAATTCGATTATCACACAGGACATTTCCAATCCTTAAATTTTAAGACATACTTGTTGTTTAAGAATTTAACATTCTTCGTATATGGGTCATTATCAAAAAACATGCAAATTTCGATGAAGTAATATTTGGAAAAACAATGTCATTGTTTAAAACATTTAAATGTGTCCCTCTATTCTATAGTATGGTAGCAACTATTTTCAGAAATATGCAATGGGAAAAATGAAGGGTTCCTTCAATTTTAACAATTTTAGGTCATCCTTTGATAGAATCGTGTCAATGGTGTTACCAATTTAAAACATGCATTTAGGTACTAAATATTATTGTTAAACATCAAACAACTGTTCCAATTTGTTGTTAAGGTTTAAATTACTACTTATTGACATTATTCCTCTAGCTATACATTCTTTTTAAACATAAATTTTAGAATACATTGTCGTAAAAAAGTTGGCTGTCCTAATTATGGCTGTTGTAAATACTAAAAAATACACTTAAATTGAATATATGTATAATGTATAGGATGAAATGATAAGAATATGCTTAATCCTTCGTATACAACCTAAAAACACTTTCATTTATGAATAAAAATTAAAAAGTATCGCATTTTTATATAGTAACACCACTGACTCTTCAGTAACTCCAATGACACAAAAATATCACCATTGACAACACATTTCAAATTTTACTTTTATTAAGTACTGAACACAAAACAGAGAACACTGAGCAAAAGAAAAAGAAGAAAAAATAATTCTTAGGCTGAAAAATCTCAAATTATATAACATAATATCAATAACTAAAAATGTCAGTAGTGTCACTAAATAGTGTCATTGGTGTTACCAGCATACACCAGTTTTTTGAAAACTTTGTATATGTAATACATGATATTGTTAAAACATTGTTAAATAAGTATTGTTTGTTATAAATAATATGATGTTTCGCTTGTTAAACATGAAAGAAACACAAAAAAATGCTGATTGTCATAATATATTCAGTGGTGTTACTAAGCTAGTCAATGGTGTTATTTTATTAAAATGGTCTCACCATTGACAGTAACACCATTGATTTTCAGGTGTATTTTAAGATTTAGTTACAAAATAAGGGCTCCATTCCCCTATTTTATATGGTGTTCCTGGTGCATGTTTCTACAATCAATATATTTCATAATTCAAAGTTCAGGAATTTAAAAAAAAAAGATTTTTATAAGGGTACACCATGGACACTATTTTCAATTACGATATAGCTTGTACTTACTTTTAATATTTTTTTACTAAATTTTCAACATAAATGTTTGTTTTCTTTTGCATAACATGCTTACAGGTAACATTGCTAAGGGAGAAACTATTGTAAATGCTGAAATATTGAGAAAGATAACTCTTACCCTACCAATTTGTCTTTTGGTTACACCATTGACTTAAAAATTGAGACTTTTCCTTTTGGTTAAATTTTTTATTATAAAACCAACATACACCTTCCAAATCATTAAAAAAATGTTTGTATGTATCAAATGCAATAAAAAGTGATAATTACAATAACAAATGATATGAATAATAGCCCTATTTCAGGTCTGAAGGGATTTATAGTAAAAAATAACAGTTGATTCTGGCTATATCCAAGGGTTTGAGAAAACATTAAGAATGTTTTTATAACATTTAATACTGTAAACTGTATATAGTGTATCACAAAACATTCATATCCTTCATATGCAATAGTTATTTTGATACATTTTGATATAGTTTCATGTCTTTTGACTTGAAAAGACCAAATAACATAGTTTTGCATGTTTTTTTGATAATGACCCATATATATCGTTTTATTTTATTAAAGTGTTCGACACAATTCAATTACGTAACGACTAGTAGCAATATGTACCAAATACATGTACTCATGATTGTAAATAAGATGCATCAAGGATAATTTACTTATACTACATCTAGTGTCTGTGTAAAATAAATAAACATTACAAGAAATATCACCCTATTTTAGATTCTAAAATGGAAAACTGTTTATATCACCGTATAATTGTATTTTTTCTTAAACAAACATAGTGACATATACATTAAAAATAGCTATATTTATACTTATAGTATTATATGTCAAATTTTAAAAGATTGTAGATCAAGATTACATGTAAGTTGCAAAATAATATAAATGTTATCCAAAACCACATCACATCGGTTTAATTTCTATTTACATAGTAACATAAGTGCCACTGTCACTTACTGGTAAGATCTTATAAATCAGATGAAACAGGGAAATTTAGAAATTTCCCTGCAATATTCAAGGCTTCGGTAAGAGCAATTAATATTGATACAAAAGCAACTTGTGTGCTCAGAGGTTGTAGTATTGACCAATCCTACCAAAATATTTGAATTTTTACCTTAATCGGTATATGTTTTTGTGATCATTGACCTTTTAACGACCAAAAGTACCTCATTAACACCAGAAACTTGAACACAATATTATAAACCTAAATCATATATATTCAAAACGTTTGATCAAAATATAGTTGTTTCCTTATATTTTCGGGTCAAATAGGAGCTTTACTGACTTTCGCTTCCTATACTAATGTGCTCAAAGATATTTGTTTTGTCTTTTTCAGTCTTTTATTTGATTGCCTTATATCAATACTTTAAATGACAAAATGCCAGGACATTTCATGTTCAAGTTTCTTCAAAATTGTCCTTTTTGAATAATCTGAACTACATAGAAAATATATCCCGTTATACATAGTAATTTTGTTTTTCGGCATTTTGAGGTCAGGATATGGCAGGAATGAAAGGATGGAATAAAACTGGTGGACATGTCCTTAATAAGTATTTAAACTGACATCAAGTGATTGCTCCCAATATAGCCTTAAGCAAAAATATCTATAAATCAATTAATAGTTAGCATACCACTTGAAATCCAAATCGTTTTTAAGGATCGATGGCACTCCTCAGTTGATGGTCAGCAAAAAGCTTGCGTCTATAACACCAAATTTGTCTTATGAGAAGTAAAAAAGGCGATTTAAATTCTTTTTTTTTTGTAGTTGACAAAAAATTAGTACAGTTGACTTAAATACGATAAAGTTGTATAAAAAAAACCACTCCAAAATAACGTCCCCAGAAAAAGAGAACGCGATGTACTCGTAGAGAATTATCTGCAATTTGTAGAGTAATGAATTCAGTTATCTATCATATGGCTGATAAAAATAAGATCTAGATCACGGTTTTCCAGAAACCTGAACAATGACAATATTTTTACTGGAAATAAAGTAACTCTTGCTTTATCATTGTCGTAGGAAATAGTAAATTAAAGTCAACACATTATAAACGATACAACATTACATATACCCGAAAATATTTAAGAAGTTTTACTTTACTTTATCATACCTTGGTAACAAGAAGCACAGAAAACAACCAATTTACTTCCCGTATGATAAAAATAGACTACCTACGTTGTGATTAGTCCTGAATTGGATCAATAGATTTGAATAAGCTCACCTTATTTAAATACTTGATCATATCATTTGATAAAACATAACGTATGAGAGAACACATTTACTAAGATCATAGTCATAGTGCCTATGTTGTCGTTTTTTGTAAACATATGCCTCATAAGGTACTAAAACATTTAGCTAAAAGGTCCAGCGACAGGATATTTAACCAGTGATTTATGGCACATTGAGCCATATAACTTATAAATCGATCAATTACCTCCCCCCAAAACGATATGGGTCAATTGAACGATCCATGACATGATTTCTATGTAATATTATACCAAATAAACAATTCGCTTTTTTAAGGGTGGGACATGAAAGAAAATAAAATTAAATTTTGCATCTTATTACTAGATGTAAGAAGATGTGGAATGAGTGCCAATGAGACAACTCTAAATCCAAGTCACAATTTGTAAAAGTAAACCATTATAGGTCAAAGTACGAACCATCCCTTTCGAGTGTAATTTTTACAGAAAAACAAATATATGCAGTGCATACCGAATTCTCCAAGCAACGCAAATCAGTAAGATATGGTATGGGACAATAACTAATAGGTAGCCTATTTTTCGTATAAAATCTTGACACAGAGATGTCTCTCCTATTTGTAGTTTTGATAGTATAAAGCAGATATTGAAATTAAAATAACAACCCTTTAAATATTAATGCAAATGGTCATAGTAACTGAACGACTGGTGATGTTATACGTTTGTTATGACGGGGCCTTTTATAGCTCACGATGCGGTATGGGTAACCGTAATGCTTATTATTGAAGGCTGTATGGTGACCTATAGTTGCTAACTGTTACATCATTAAGTCTCTGTTGGAAGTTGTCATATTTGCAATCATACCACATCATCTTATTTTTATATCATGACTGAGGGTAAAGGGCCAAATGATCTCTATCGATAGGAGATATGTTAATGCAACTGTATACAAAATATCATTGACTTATCAACAGGGATTCCCCTTAAACTTACCTTATCACAAACATTAACATGGAAACTACCCAAAATTTCAGTTAATAAACCATGACTGAGGGGGCCGGGTCTTATATTCTCCATGGATATGAGAAGTGCCAATGCGCAGTGGAGAGTTGTCTAATTGGCAATTATACCACATTCTCATATTTTTATAATACAAATATATGCCAAATATCATTGACCTACCAGTAGTGGTTTCCTTTATCATAGCAACTTACCATAGCTGCTGCAGATGCTGACAACACTAATAAGAGTAAGCCAAGCTGCCAAGGTCTTGCCTTCATGACTTCATCTAGGCAATGCAAAAACTAATGACTTGACCGTAGGTTAAAGGTTAAGGTCATACGGTTATATTTAAACATTAATATCATGAGTGACCTCAAGTTCAAAGGTCAAGTTCAATTAGTTATTATTCTATGCATCACATGCCAAATAGCACAATTCTATCATAGAAGACAGCTAAGTTAAGGTCTAGCTGCAGATAATAGGAGAAAATTTCATGAAAGGTTACCCCTCCCATTGTATTCATCATAATAAATAAGGTATGTACCTTTAAGACATACATTCTATCCTAATTTGAGATATTATTACATTGAATGATCAGGAGAAAAAGCATTAGTCCCTAAAATGTATTATTTTGTGTGATCAAATCTCTTTGTATTTTCCAGTTTGAAACTATTTTCTTAATTTGGTGATCATTCTATTTTATTTTCATTTAAAGTGTGTTTTATTCATATTAATTTTTTATGCAATAACTAAGTTTTTTTTTCATACACACTTTGTGCTGGATGATGTTGTCTGTTGTATTGTGTGATATTTTTGGCAATTATAAAACTGAACTTTTGGTTAATTTTTTTACCATCTTCTTTTTTTTATAATTGAGGACTCATATGATAGTGGCAATTAGTTTGTATGTTACATCGTTTCCGCCTACAGTTGTATGGTTGACCTTGAAGGGAGTTTTTTATCCTTTGGTCAGGTAAGGTTGGCAAGGGAGTAAAACTCATCCCTTGCTTCTTGGAGGCTTTTAAAATAGTACATCATCCTTTGGGTCCTTTTGAGTTGTTTTTATTATCAGTGATTGATATGTATATATTTCATAATCAATTTTATTTTAACAATATTTTTATGTTTTAATGCAATGGCAATATATTTGTCTTAAGTGTACATGTCAGTTTGTTGTTGATGCTAATAGACAAATATGAGACATTTTTCTATGATAAAAACAAATAAATTGGAAGAACTTTTCTTAATAGGGAGAAGTTTGACCTCTATATCCTGAGAATAGTGTTCAATGGGAGATTTCATAAATATCAAACACTAAAGGTTCTAAAGAGTCTGTGTTGTTCACCTGGATCTTTGTGCATCTTCAACAATGCCCACCCTTAAACACTGCAGACAAGAATATATTATAATGTTAAAATCTCATGCTGTGAATTTTTACTGTGTACAGTTTCTCTCTGTCTTCTATAATTTTTGCACATGATGTAACTATAGGCTCTAAAGAGCCTGTGTCGCTCATCTGGATCTATATGCATCTCTAACATTGTAAACTAGAATATAATTTTTTTCTTTAATTTTTATTGATCTTGTCTTTCTGATCATTTTTACTCTTTACATTTTTTGTTAAATGGTCAGTATGTAGATCTTCTAATTCTGACCTTTTCTGCCCATATCAGATTTTCTTTACCTATAGATCTTTTCAAGATAATGGACAAAAAATTATCTTTTGTTAAAAAAATCAATTAATTAAGATCACAAAATTAATTTGTAAAATTAAAGGTCTGAGAATGGGAAAACATCCACTTTGGAAAGCAATAATACTTATAGCATGTGTATTCAGAAAAAAATTTGGTGGATGAAATAATCCTCCATACTTTGATAAACAAAAATATTGTGTAAATTCCCTCGTTTATAAAAAATAAAATGTAAGCATAAGTAGAATTTTATTCATAAATAATTTATTTAGTCAAAACTTTAATGAATACGTCTTTTGGCACACTGATTTTTCCTATCATTCGCATTTTCTTTTTCCCCTCTGCCTGTCTCTTTAATAACTTGTTCTTTCTAGTGATATCTCCTCCATACTGGAATATATATGTATAAATAATGTGTAATTTAATCAATGCATATCAAAAATCTTTTATGATCAATCATTATTCATACATTAAGATATGGACTGACACTTTTTAATGTCTAAACATTTTGTACATTCCTTATAAATTATAGTTATCATATGTCACCTTTCCAGTATAAACTAAATGAATTTCAATTGATACTCAGACATTTAAACTCTTGAGAGTGCCTCTATGTAAGATTTCCATGTGTATTCATTTTCATAGTCTTATAACTGTAAACCATATTCTTGGTGCATGATATCATTTTCACCTGTTAAGAAAACATTCTGAAAAATTGTCATAAAACTTGTTTTCATATAAACATTAAATTTATATCATTTCTTTTAAAATCTCCAGCATAATACTGGTTGCCGAAACTGTAAACTTTTCTATGGTAAAAGACTAAACTTTCTAAGCTAAAAAACATAGGAAAAAAACTCTTCCACATCCTGATGATGATGATGTTTGTTTTACATTAAAATGAAAATAACATGTGTATTCATAATACTGTGGATTCATTTATTTTCGTGGGTACCAGTTTTCATGGAGTAAGGAAAACTTACATGTTCATGGATATTTAATTTCGTGGTTTTGCCGAAGTCTGCATACAAGCCTATAGAAAATTTGTTATTCGTTGAACATTTAATTTCGTGTTTCACCTGTATCTCTGAAATCCATGAAAATTGGTATCCAACGAATAATAATTAATCCATAGTAGTAAAACTACATTAGTCCATTTTTTTCTTTCTCTCTAATTACTTGAACAATCTGTGAAATGTAGTGTTATGTAAATAAATAGCTGTTGCCACCAGAACATACTTTGTAACAATAATATGAATTACAATAAAAGATAGACGTGTACTCAACCCTTCAAAATTAAGCAACTGCCTAGACAACAGAACAAAACAACAATGAGCTAGCATTTATGCACATACATGTCTTTGAGACTATAGATCTGATGTTAACTTACACATTTTGCAGTAACATCCTTCCTGTAAGGTTGAATATCTTCCCTAGCTAACACTTTACCACCAACACAGGCCTGTACAGACACTTTAAACAATTGTCTTGGTATAGATTTACACAGTTTCTCAACAATTTCTCTGCCTTTCTGTCTGGCTTTAGTTATATGGCTTATCATTGTAAGTTCATCTAATTCTTTTCCATTCAATAAATAGATTATCTACAAAATACATTCATGGTAATATGGGCGGCTTTTGAATTAACATACACAAAGCAGAAGGTACGATTTGGGGCCAAATTAGCCCTAATATATTCGATATACTGCAACGAAACCACTGAAAATTCAATAAATTGTGAAATTCAGTGGTTGTCGTTGGTTCATGTATAGCATATTTGTTTTGTTAAAAATTAGGCCGTTAGTTTTCTCAATTGAATTGTTCATATTTTTCCTGTCGAGGCCTTTTATAGCTGACTATACGGTATGGGTTTTTCTCATTGTTGAAGGCTGTGTGGTTGCCTATAATTGCTTACATCCACTTCATTTGAACTTTGGTGGATAGTTGTCTCATAGGCAATCATACCACATCTCCTTATTTTTATTTTCAATTAATATAGAGCACAACCATTGGCTGAAAACCTATTCAAACATAAAAATGCATTTTGTGTTGATCTTGTCACTGGCAAAAAATAGTTTTGGGCACCGGTTGTGCTCTATGTTAATTCCGCCAAAATGTTATTAAAATTAACCTACTTTTGCTAAAACTTTAATAAATCTCTCTTATGACATTGCTTTAATGACAGTCACTCCACTTAATCTGCTGAAGGAAGATTTTTTAGGAGAAACCCAAGAAGTTTAGAGCTTCACCTGAAGATCATGATAAGACTGTCGTAAAATCAAAAAGATAAGCATTGCAAGTTGATTAAATAATTGTTACTGAATACAACATTGCTTTAAAAGTTCATGAGTTATCTTGTGATGTGCAGAAAAACAAAATAACACCAAAAACTGGGAGTGATCACATGTGCTTCTGAAGTGTAAACAGATCCTGCTCCACTGATGGCACCATTCATGTTGCTCATAAAGTTTGAATGATGAGTTTATGATCTGTTTGTTTATAATTGGTGTAATTTTAGAACTACAACTATCTTCATATTCTACCAACCTTCACTAAATCTGACTCCTGATATCCATGATCTTCATAATCAAAACTGAAACAGATATTTCAAACATTTCAAAAAGCTTATGTCTGCCAATTTTTAAATAAGTCAGCTCAAAATTATGGAAAAAGAAATAAAGAGGAATTTTTTCATAAATTTATGTCATATCTGAAGCATGAAATATAAAACCGACATTAAAAACAATAAAATCCTCTAAAATCCAAATCTTTGGAGATTAAAAAAGGTCTATAAATCCGTGAATGTAATAATAAATAAAATACAATACATATTGAAGAGATCTATTGCCCAATTAATATGATGATGAAATTTTTGTTCTACCAAAATTAATGTAATTTTTTTATAAAACAACTAATCCATGAATTCAAATATAGGTAAATTCTAAGAATGACCAAATTACACATTAATTCACTGCAACTAATTCAATGTATTATAATAATAATTATTAAACATGTACTACAGAGGCAGTGTGATATGGACAATTAATAATTATCATATCATATGATGAGATACAGTGTGGGAATTCCTTTTAAATATCTACTGATTATTAGACAAGATTTCCTCAACATTATTTTTCAAAAGACAATAGCAGTAAACAGTAATAGAAAAAACATTTCAAAACAACATTCAATTTTGACCATTAAATTGTTAGTTTTTATTTAAGTAGTACAGAGTATGCTACTTAAAATAAAATTTTGTGAACTGGTCCCAGTTTAAAGAGAGCATAATGTGAAACAAAATTTGATTAAGTGAATATGATATTGATGTATAGGGAAGCTTATTTTTATTTTTGTTTCTTTCTAAAGAGTTTAAAAGATAGATTGTTAACAAGGTTAAAAGAATTTAAACAGTACTTCAGTCAACAGAAATGTGTATGTAAAAGATGCAGTTTGGACTATTTCACTTATGACAAGTCCAAAGTTGGTCATAAACATGAACAACAGGACTAGACAAAAACACAGGTTTTATGATTCATAGAAACTATCAATTCACTATATTAATCCCATATCTATTTCCCCAAAAGAAACTCAAGTATTTGCAGTAATAGTGTACCTTGCATATCCTGATGAAACAGATTTCAATTCGTCATAGAAATCTATCAAAATCTCATTTAATGGGAAAATCACTTTAAACATAATTCTTGTATCATCAATGTAGCTTTGGTCTAATATTTCACCTCTTCTTTCCTACAACATAATCAAAATCTATTATTCAGAAAGGGTCAACAAGGTCAAATTTAACACTTTATCTTTTCCATATCCTGATATTTAAAATTTGGTAAGAAAAGTTTTTTATAACTAGTGCGTCTATAAAACTTTGTTGTGTTTTGTTTTTATTTTTTTTGTCATTTGACAGTCTAAATGTTGGAATCTTCAAATTATTTTCAGCAAGTTAATCAATCTTTTCAGTTGTCTTATTAATCATACAAATTTTCCAATTACTTCTAAAACTCCATACATAACTTTAAATAGACATTTCTTCATCACATCTAAAATTTCAAGAACAGTATCTTATAAATTTTCTATCAAGTTTCAACACTGAATTGTAATACCCAATTAAGGAACAAAAGGATATGCTTATGACAAATTTGTTTTGAACTTTTTACATACTTAGACAATAGAAAAAAAAGCTGCTAAACCTTGTTAAGACAAGAGTGCATAAGCTAAAACGTCTTTTATTGATCAGGATTGAATTTTATATTATCAAGTTTTGACTATAAGTATCACATAAATTTAACAAAATCAATGATTTATGATAATGAGGTCAAACTTGGATGAACCCTGCAAGACAAATATGCTTACTTTAAAACCTTCCATACACTAAAATGGTTGACCTGATTGCTTATGGTATCTGAGGAAAATATCTTTTAATGAAACTTAATATTGACCAATTCTATGAACCATGTAAATGAGTTCAAGGTCAGATGATTTCTGCAAGACAGATATGCACACCTAAGAAACTTTTTATACACCAAATATATTGACTTAATCATGTTAATGCTTATTTGTGAGGGAATAAGCCAATACAACTAGTTTTTTAAGCAATCACTAAATATTGATACTGCAATTATGGACAACAGAAATACATGTACTGGTATGCCAGAAAGGGACGTCAGATTATTATTCCACCTTTCAAAGTTCCTAGATCTACTAACCCTGAGACATCTGCATTCAAAAATCCAGGTTTCTTTAATTTCCTTTTAAAAAATTGTGCTCAATACAAAATAGTTTACACATTTGTCACCATCCTTTCTGAAGTAGCATCCTTATGTCTTGCATTCTGTATTATTCATACTTTGTGGGACAAAAATATGAAAAAAGTTATTCAATAATTCTATTTCATTCTTTTCATCCAGGATTTAAATTGACTTCACTGACATAATGCCACAAGCTACTGTAGACAAACTTACCATACAAAGTTTTATGGAATAACTTACCAATATCCTTGAAAAAATCAACCTCAAGTACAAGCTCATTCAAAAAAGATTTAAAAAATTACTTGTTGGAACATTAAGAAGCTGTGTAATTTTATACGCATAATAATATTCACACACTTAAACTTTAAATATGGTTGAGGTAATTTGAATGATGCTAATATTATATGAATTCAACATTTTTTACCTGTTTTGAAAATTGTATATTTTATAACAGTTTCTTATTTGATTATTCTTGTGTGTGTGTTTGTTTGATTATTTTGTAATTTTCTGTTTGTTATATTTCAATGTATTTCATGAGGGCCTCAAGGAAGATTAGTGTTATAGCTAACTGTGTAACCCTCCCTAAATAAAGAATTATTATTATTATCATTACTATCATTAATGTCACCAATATAATCAACAGGAACTATAATAGTACTATACACCATAGGTTCATACTGGGCTTCTATTATATTAGGATCTGGTAACTGTAAGTTAGATATACTTACCATACAGAGGGGATTAATGTCTCCAATATAATCAACAGGAACTATAATAGTACTATACACCATAGGTTCATACTGGGCTTCTATTATATTAGGATCTGGTAACTGTAAGTTAGATATACTTACCATACAGAGGGGATTAATGTCTCCAATATAATCAACAGGAACTATAATAGTACTATACACCATAGGTTCATACTGGGCTTCTATTATATTAGGATCTGGTAACTGTAAGTTAGATATACTTACCATACAGAGGGGATTAATGTCTCCAATATAATCAACAGGAACTATAATAGTACTATACACCATAGGTTCATACTGGGCTTCTATTATATTAGGATCTGGTAACTGTAAGTTAGATATACTTACCATACAGAGGGGATTAATGTCTCCAATATAATCAACAGGAACTATAATAGTACTATACACCATAGGTTCATACTGGGCTTCTATTATACTAGGATCTGGTAGCTGTAAGTAAGATTAACATGTCATTGTACTTTGTGTAAAGACTCCTTTTATATGTTTCAATCTTTACAATCAATCATCATGGAAAGAAATAAGATTACAAAAGAAGGTTCTCTTTATACAGTTCAGTTCAAAGAATTTATATTCAATAAGAGTGTACATGATAAAAGTTTTGACAACAAACATCACCATAAAGTGACCTCTAGATGTCTATTTTGGTGAATTTGATTTGTTTGTTGTTTCTAATTTCAGTTTGCTAAAAAAATCGTCTTTTATAAGTAACTAGTATACATCTCACATAACACTGTAGTAGAATGGTACACTATTTTACTACTGTTACATTTTTTTTTCAAATTATGTACCTGTTTATTTGTAATGGATAGAATACCTAATCTATACATGGTGTATATCATATAAACCTCAAATATAAATCTTAGCTCTGAAAAATAAGATGAGAGGCATTGTCCCCAATCAAATCCTATAATAAACTGTGATAAGGAACCTATAGTTTGCTGTGCACATCTTCGAACTCCCCTTCAAGAATAGAGGCCAGAATTACTTGTATCTTTGTTTAAAATTTGTATAAAGTTCAATTTAAATTCATGTGCCCACTGAGTCAAAATCAATTTAAAATTTTAAAAAAAAGTTCCATAGCAACATTTCATGATGTCTCATTGTATATATTTTCATTTGGTGAACAATAATATGCGAAATTTCATCTGTCTCTCAGTTGGATTTGCAGTTTTAATTGACAGATAGAGGGATTAGCAGGGAAGTTCTTATATATATATATATATATATATATATATATATATATATGTAACACTCAGAAATGTGTCCTTCCCCCCAAACATGTCCGATTCCCCCAAACATGTCCACATGACGTCACTGAACTGCAAAACAAGTCTTAATGTAAAAGGGCGCCAAAGCGTGTCATTTGTTTAAACGCCCAAACGTGTCCATTTTTTAATAAACACCAATACTTGCCCAATCCCCCAAACATGTCCATATCAACCTCCATTTGTTTTCTTTTACTGGAACTATCATATGGTCCATATTATAAATACATAGGTTATTTGGTTATTGCTTTTTCAACCCTCACGTTACACTCATTTGACTTTTTCATTAAAAAATAGAAATAAATTTTTTAGATTAAAATCCCAACTAGTGTTAATCCTGAATAACGGTAAAAATTAAGGCCTAATCCTAAATTCCCGGTATGATAATAAAACCTTTCTACAGTATTTATTGTAAACATGATGTCGTTCAAACAATGCATGAAATATTTGGCACTGGACGTTATGTCTCTTGTTTGTGTGTCTTTAGTGATGCTCGAAACCTAAAATGTATTAAAAAATCTGATAACCAGTTTATGATCTATGAAGAGCTTTTAAAATACAAGAACTGTTGAAAAAAGGGAAGTCAATTCTGCTGAAAGCCCACCGTGCAATATTCGGATTAATATAAAGGCATCATCAGAGTTTATTAGTACAAAATAATTCACTTAGTAAACGATTAATTGAACTGTACTAAAATTATGTGTATGTTTACTCTAAATGAGCATGAAATACTTGCAACTGAACAATAAACAATTTCAGTCAAAAGTTAATTCATATGTTACAGATTAAATTTGAAATTATGATCATCATTCACAACCGGCAATGAACAATCTAATGATAATAAATGACCACTTCATCAACTGTGTCCCCCATCATAGAATTGTCGTAAACGTTATTGATGTCATTTAGGACATACATTTATTAGCGCTAAAAGACGTGAGACGTTCTGGCGTTTAACAATAGACACGTTTTGGCGAATAACAATTGTCGGACACGTTTGGACAACATTGAATATTACGGACACGTTTGGGGAGAATAGACACGTTTGGGGGAATCGGACACGTTTGGGAGTGTTACATACATATATATATCCCCATTCTTTATTTGCATGCAACAAAACTTTGAGAACAATCACGAACTATAAAATCTTCATTGTCACTTACTTTACATGGATTAAGTATAGTTATCTCCTCAGCACCATAAAACTTTATATTCTTGTCACCTTTTATTTTTACTACAAAATATGATAAGGGCGTGTTATACTTTTTTGGTTCACATTTGCAAGTAAAAAAAAAAGTGTCTTTCTATATAAAAAAAAAAATATGAGCTATAGAATAAATAAATTTTTTCCGGTACAGTTAACTATTAATAAATGCTAGATTATTTCTAATTGACAGTTGCATTTGACAGACTCATTAATTACAGAATCAACCTAAAATCAAAAAGTGAGATGTCAGTACTAATGCACCGTTGTGACTGCAATCATAAAAAAATGGGATATTTAGGCTCTGAGTAATTAAATGTTTTAGATGTAAGGCTTCACTGTAAAAAGAACAATATCATTAGTTACATACTAGCATATGAGTAATAAAAAACAATTGTAACTGTCAGCGGGTATAATAAAGATATCCTTAAAAAATAGATAGTTAAAGTAGGATGGGAGTAAAAGTTGTCTTTTTGATAACCAAAAAATAATTTGTATATTTCATTTAAAGGAGTAGGTCCAGTAAGACCCCTTTTTGGCCCCAAAATATAGCAGTTTTACAAAATTGTTAAAATGTAAACTTTTAGCTATTTATTGGAAAGAAGAATACTTCTGTTACATAAATATGGGCTGTTTTTGGCAATACAATACACATGTATCGGGTACTAACATCATTAAGTCATGCTAAATTACTGAAATCTTCACAATTTTAGCATTTGAGTTAATTTTTAGACGGTTTTCGTCTTAAATGGAAGTGGCCGCATTCGTGTTCATTCGTAATATTTAAATGTAAGTTGTATTTGATGATAATACATATCATATATAAAGGTCGAGGATGAACACGAATGCGGCCACTTTCATTTTTGACAAAAACCATCTGAAAAGTGTCATATTATGACATAATTGATAGATTTTTAATATTTAAGCCTGAATTTGAGCGTCTTTAGTGACTAAATCGGCCCAAATCTTTCAGATAAACTAATTGAATCTACTAAAGTAGACACTTGAGTGTTTAAAAAGTGTCCAAAATATTTCATCAGATGAACCTGAAATTTGAGGCCAAAATCGGCCCTTACCGGACCTACTCCTTACATAATACTGTAAACCAATTAATTTTTCAAACGATTTTTTTTTTGTGACTTTCACTAGTAGAAAAATAGCACGAATATAAATCGTCATGATTATGTAAATCTTGGATCTTTTCTTATGTAACTACACCAAGAAATATGATAATTGCAAAATTAAATCACCGCAAAGTTGGCTAGAAAAGGTTAAACGTGAAAATAAAGTATCCACGAAAATTAGTTGGTTTACATTAACTCATAAAAAATTATCATAACTGCAGACTTTAAAAAAATCTGTATAAATCTAAATAATTTAATTTTGGATGTAACGCGTCTTCTGATTGGCTGACGTTGTTTTGTTTATCAGCTCATAGAAATAATTTTGTCATGTGACCGTGACGTCATCAACGTTTTTTCATGGTTTACTCAGGTTTAAAATGGAATTTAGAATTAAATTATAAGAAATGACTGTAATATTTTTTCTGTCTATTCGAAATATCAAAAAATGTGGTGCACACTTTAAAATAACCCCCTACGCGGGTTATTCAGTGTGCACCACATTTTTGATGTTATTTCTTCATAGACAGAAAAAATATTACAGTCATTCCTTAAATATATGCAACTAGTTAAAAAGTGTGTGATTCTGTGTAAATTACAACATATTCATAAAAGTATAATACCATGTTCATGACATATTTTGAGTTGTCTCTCTTCCCATACAGTTTTTTTAGGTTTGCAACACATGTACACAACATTCCTAAAACGGTTGATATGCTGAAATGTTTGACTGTTTCAATTCAAGAAAAACTTTTCTATTCACAGATTGAATTTGGTTGTAACATTTGAGAAGGGTTTATGTCATGATAATAAAATCTTTGATTTTCTGGCTTTTTCTGTTCACTATTTTTGACATAAAGCAAAATACAAACATATAACTATCCAATGTAGTAGAAAATATACAATATATTTCTAAAAAATTAAGAACAGGAAGAAAAGTTTGAGAAAAAGATGGATACCACTAAACTTGATCTATTCCTACAGTTATATATAGTGTTTATATCCTGCTATTTAATATTCATACTTTTAATTAATGTTTAGTTTTACAATTTTCAATTGTTAAGTTTATTTTCATACAGATAAATAATGATAAGTCTTTGCCAGCAAAGGAGAAACATAAATGAACTGTAACATACATAGTTATTCCCATATTACTGTTAACTCATTATAGAAGCAGGGACCAGTAAATATTTGTATACCTTACATGTAAATCATAACTTGATTACCTTAATACATATCTATTAGTTTTGAATATTCTGCTTTGAGCGTTCCTCATGAAGCTTAATCCAGAAAAGCACTTCATATGCATGGAATTTATAAAGTGTTGTTTCAATATTTTTACTAGAATGGCAAATTGTATGATAGAAGACTTGATCAAGTACATACAAGATTTAAATGTTTATGTTGAATTCATATTGGATAACTTTTACTGTAGTTGTACCTTTATAAGAGACATTAGGAGCTGTAGGAATAACTGATGCATCATATTCCTGTTCTAATCTCTGATTAAATACATCCATGTGTAACAAGCCTAAAAATCCTAGACGGAATCCTACACCTAAGGCTTCACTGGAAATAAAACAAAATCATTAGTTATACACAGGCAAATTTTGCTCACATGAATTTTACCTGAATCTCATGTGAAATTCACATCAAAAATTTTATACAAATATATCATGCTTACAAGGGGTATTTGCCAAAATACAGGTTGAGAGGTAAACAAATTTCCAGATTTGTTAGGCGAGGGAAATTTGTTTACCTGGAAACCGATAATTTTGGCAAAAACCCCTTCTAAGCATGATATAATTGTTTTATTCCACCGAAAGTTCTTTGTATCCATCTTGACCTCAGAATTTTTATTGTAATCAGGTATCCTATTGAGTTTCTGCTCGACTGTATAATCTTTGTATCTACTGGAGATGTGCTATTTGTGCAGTCAAATTTACCTTATAATCATTTCTGATGAACAGTCACCGACCGTATATTGCCTTATTTTAAACGTTAACAATGAGTTTCCATAGAGTTTTATTTATGACGTCATTAAAATTACAGGTTCTCGGAATTTATACGTCATTCGCTCCAAATTCAAAAATGATGGTTTTTATCCTAAATATTTCAATTGGAACAGTTGTAGGAGTTGCAGTATATAAAGAATAACCATACATTTGTCCTATTAGAATAGATATAATCATAGTATTATTTTTAGACATGTTATTTCCCATCTGCAATGGTATTTGCTAGCAAATACCTTGGCACATAGAATTCCCTACTGACAAATACACCGGCAGAGAAAAGAAAATTTCAATAAATAGAAAATTTGTGAAAAATACCATTTCTCTCATCCAATCAAAATACAGTATTATTACATTAGGTGGAATTACACGTGATATTCACATCTAATGAGCTTATACATGAAACTCACGTGAATTGATATTCACATGGATCTCACGTGAAATTTTTCAGGTGAACTTTACAATAAAAACTAGAGGCTCTAAAGAGCCTGTGTCGCTCACCTTGGTCTATGTGCATATCAAACAAAGGACACTCTCCAACATTGTAGACGAGAATAGACTTCATGACAAAAATCTCTATTTTGTTGATCTTGTATTACTGATCTTTTAGTCTGTTTAGTTTCTCTCTATCTTCTTTAGTTTTTGCTCAAAACACAAAAGAGGGTAAAAAAATCCTCATTTAAGAGCAATCACTCCTATGAAGAGTGACAGTCGACTAACTATATCAGCAAAAATTTACTTTTTAATAGACCTTGCCTTGCTGATCATTTTTGTGATTTAAAGTGTCTATTTATCTATTATAATTTAAATCATATAAGGCATAACGGAAAAACTAGAGGCTCTCAAGAGCCTGTGTCGCTCACCTGATTCTACTTTGGTTTTGGAAATCATGTTAAAATAGATTAAAATCATAACAGATACCCTAATAATGAGTGAGGCCAAATTTGGTTTAATATTGGCCCTGTAATTTAATAAAAAATCCTGATGGCAATCTTGAACAGTAAATCAGCAATAAAGTAGCAACACTTCATCAACACCTCATAAATAAAAACATTTATGCCATGTTTGGTTTCATTCCATTCAGTGCACCTCTAGAAGAAGACATTTGTATTTATTTCCAATAAGGTTTTATGTTAAAGGAAGTCCCCCCGCTGGCAGCCATCATGGATGAAGGATCAGCTTCAAAGTAACAACACTTAGTCAGCACCTCATAAGTAACATTCATGCCATGTTTGGTTTCAATCCATTCAGTGGTTCTCTAAAAGAAGACATGTGTATGTAATGTCCATAGGGTCCTTTGTTAAACACTGTCCCCAACTGGTGGCCATCTTGGATTATGGATTGGCTTCAAAGTAACAACACTTGGTCAGCACTTCATAAGGAACTTTCATGCCATGTTTGGTTTCATTCCATTCAGTAGTTCTCTAAGAGAAGACATTTGTAAATATTTCCCATAGGGTCCTATGTTAAACTAAGTCCCCTGCAGGCGGCCATCTTTGATTATGAATCGGCTTCAAAGTAACAACACTTGGTCAGCACCTCATAAGTAACATTCATGCCATGTTTGGTTTCAATCCATTCAGTGGTTCTCTAAAAGAAGACATTTGTATGTATTGTCCATAGGGTCCTTTGTCAAACACTGTCCCCAGCTGGTGGCCATCTTGGATGCTGGATCGGCTTCAAAGTAACAACACTTGGTCAGCACCTCATAAGGAACATTCATGCCATGTTTGGTTTCATTCCATTCAGTGGTTCTCTAAAAGAAGACATTCGTATGTATTTCATGTAGGGTCCTTTGTTAAACTAAGTCTCCTGCTGGCAGCCATCTTGGATTATGGATCGGCTTCAAAGTAATAACACTTGGTCAGCACCTCAAAAGGAACATTCATGCCATGTTTGGTTTCATTCCATTCAGTGGTTCCTTAAAAGAAGACATTTGTATGTATTTCCCTTAGGGTCCTATGTTAAACTAATTCCCCGCTGGCGGCCATCTTGGATGATGGATCGGCTTCAAAGTAACAACACTCGGTCAGCACCTTATAAGGAACATTCATGCCATGTTTGGTTTCATTCCATTCAATGGTTCTCTAAAAGAAGACATTTGTATGTATTTCCCATAGGGTCCTATGTTAAACTAAGTCCCCCGCTGGCGGCCATCTTGGATTATGGATCGGCTTCAAAGTTACAACACTTGGTCAGCACCTCCTAAGGAACATTCATGCCATGTTTGGTTTCATTCCATTAAGTGGTTCTCTAAAAGAAGACATTTGTATGTATTTCCCATAGGGTCCTATGTTAAACTAAGTCCCCGCTGGCGGCCATCTTGGATGATGGATCAGCTTCAAAGTAACAACACTTGGTCAGCACCTCATAAGGAACATTTATGCCATGTTTGGTTTCATTCCATTCAGTGGTTCTCTAAAACAAGACATGTGTATGTAATGTCCATAGGGTCCTTTGTTAAACACTGTCCCAAACTGGTGGCCATCTTGGATGATGGATCCGCTTCAAAGTAACAACACTTGTTCAGTACCTCATAAGGAACATTCTTGCAATGTTTGGTTTCATTCCATTCAGTGGTTCTCTAAAAGAAGACGTTTGTATGTATTTCCCATAGGGTCCCATGTTAAACTAAGTCCCTCGCTGGCGGCCATCTTGGATTATGGATCGGCTTCAAAGTAACAACACTCGGTCAGCACCTCATAAGGAACATTCATGCCATGTTTGGTTTCATTCCATTCAGTGGTTCTCTAAAAGAAGACATTTGTATGTATTTCCCATAGGGTCCTATGTTAAACTAAGTCCCCCGCTGGCGGCCATCTTGGATAATGGATCGGCTTCAAAGTAACAACACTCGGTCAGCACCTCATAAGGAACATCCATACTATGTTTGGTTTCATTCCATTCAGTGGTTCTCTAAAAGAAGACATTTGTATGTATTTCCCTTAGGGTCCTATGTTAAACTAAGTCCCCCGCTGGCGGCCATCTTGGATTATGGATCGGCTTCAAAGTAACAACACTCGGTCAGCACCTCATAAGAAACATTCATGCAATGTTTGGTTTCATTCCATTCAGTGGTTCTCTAAAAGAAGACACTTGTATGTATTTCCCATAGGGTCCTATGCTTAACTAAGTCCCCCGCTGGCGGCCATCTTGGATGATGGATCCGCTACAAAGTAACAACACTTGGTCAGCACCTCATAAGGAACATTCATGCCATGTTTGGTTTCATTCCATTCAGTGGTTCTCTAGAAGAAGTTCAAAATGTAAAAAGTTAACGCCGACGACGGACGACGACGGACGATGGACGCCCAGTGATGAGAAAAGCTCACTTGGCCCTTCGGGCCAGGTGAGCTAATAAAAATGATTCTCTCTAAATATCATAGTTTTCATGATAATAGGCAATAAACTGCTTCACTGAGCGCAGCCTGATATGCCCGCAGAGGTCCAACCCTGAACAGTTGGGGCAAAAATGGACACAATATTCAAGCTTGATACAGGTCTGAATTTGGATTCTACTTAAATATTTGATATATTATAGGTTTCTGAATAAATGTTAACAAAGAACTTGAAATTAGTTATATGAAAGATTTCTTGCTGTTGTGCAATACACTGTGCTGTTGCGCAATACTTAGTAAATCTTTTGTCAGACTATAAACAAATAAAATCTTATAACTCTGAAATGTAAAATCAAAAATTTATAAAAATCAAAAGGGAGCTTACAAAAATAGATATAAACAATTTACCAAAGTCTCATAAAAAATGCTGAAAGCATTTTTTGAGTTATTGTCTGAAAACTGGAAAATCCCCCTTTTTGTAATGAATAAAACCCCATAAATATATATTCTGAAATTTATAAAAATCAAAAGGCAGCTCATGTCGATAGAAATAAACAATTCACCAAAGTTTCTTTCAAATTGGTGAAGTTGTTTTTGAGTTATTGTCTGAAAACTGGAAAATCCCCCCTTTTTTAATGAATAAAACCCCAAAACTCGGAAACGGTAAATCCGAAACTTATATAAAACGAAAGGGAGCTCACATCAATAGATATGAACAATTCACAAAAGTTTCATGCAAATTGGTGAAATTGTTTATGAGTTATTGTCCGAAAACTGGAAAATCCCCCCTTTTTTAATGAATAAAACCCCAAAACTCGGAAATGGTAAATCTGAAATTTATAAAAAACGAAAGGGAGCTCACGTCAATAGATATAAACAATTCACCAAAGTTTCATGCATATTGGTTAAAGCATTTTTGAATTAATGTCCGACATGTTGATGACGGACGGACAGACAGACAGACAAAAATGAAAAAAAAATGGTAAAATTTGTCATTTATGGGCAATAACTCCTAAAAGAATTTGTCTAACAGTTTGACGTATATGGACAATTGGTAGAGCTCATTATTCTGAGCATTTTTGCTCCTTTCAGATTTTCTCTATTTATAACGGTTCAAAAAATAATAGACAAAACTTGCATTTTACCCCTATGTTCTATTTTTAGCCATGTCGGCCATGTTGGTTGGAAGGCAGGGTCATCGGACACATTTTTTAAACTAGATACCCTAATGATGATTGTGGCCAAGTTTGGTTAAATTTTTCTCAGTAGTTTCAGAGGAGAAGATTTTTGTAAAAGATTACAAAAATTTACAAAAAATTGTTAAAAATTGACTGTAAAGGGCAATAACTGCTTAAGGGGACAATTGACCATTTTGGTCAAGTTGACTTATTTGTAGATCTTACTATGCTGAACATTATTGCTGTTTACAGTTTATCTCTATCTATAATAATATTCAAGATAATAACCAAAAACTGAAAAATTTCTTTAAAATTACCAGTTCAGGGGCAGCAACCCAACAACGGGTTGTCTGATTTGTCTGAAAATTTTAGGGCAGATAGATCTTAACCTGATGAACATTTTTACCGCGTCAGATTTGCTTTAAATGCTTTAGTTTCTGAGATATAAGCCAAAATCTGAACTTTACCCCTATGTTCTATTTTTAGCCATGTCAGCCATTTTGGTTGGTAGGCGGGGTCATCGGACAAATTTTTTATACTAGATACGCTAATGAGGATTGTAGCCAAGTTTGGTTAAATTTGTCTCAGTAGTTTCAGAGGAGAAGATTTTTGTAAAAGATTACAAAAATTTACAAAAAATTGTTAAAAATTTACTATAAAGGGCAATAACTCCTTAAGGGGTCAATTGACAATTTTGGTCATGTTGACTTATTTGTAGATCTTTCTTTGCTGAACATTATTGCTGTTTACAGTTTTTCTCTATCTATAATAATATTCAAGATAATAACCAAAAACTGCGAAATTTTCTTAAAATTACCAATTCAGGGGTAGCAACCCAACAACGTTTGTCTGATTTGTCTGAAAATTTCAGGGCAGATAGATCTTGACCTGATGAACAATTTTACACTCGTCAGATTTGCTCTAAATGCTTTTGTTTCAGAGATATAAGCCAAAATCTACATTTTACCCCTATGTTCTATTTTTAGCCATGGCGGCCATCTTGGTTGGTGGGCCAGGTCATCGGACATATCTTTTGAACTAGATACCCCAATAATGATTGTGGCCAAGTTTGGTTAACTTTGGTTCAGTAGTTTGAGAGGAGAAGATTTTTGTAAAAGTTAACGACAGACGATGACGGACGACAAGTGATGAGAAAATGGTTTTTTTCCTCATTTTGATTAAATTTGTAAATTCAAATGTCATTTGAATAAATTATTTTATAAATTCACGTGAATTTCACATGAAAAAAAATTATGTGATTTCACGTGAAATTCACACGAGTTTACGAGATACTAATTTCAAGTGAGTTTCACGTTTAAGCTCGTTTGAGGTGAAATTGGCGCGAGATTCACATAAATTTAAATTCATGTGAAATTCATGTCAGTGAAATTTCCCTGTGTATATACTAGCATATCTTTCAGTAATAAAAAAAACAATTCTAGCTGTCAGCTGGTATAATAAAATTATCCTTAAACTATTTTCTAGACCATACTTCTTCATAAATCTAAACTTTAATCAGTGTAAATTCTTCTATTCAGTAGTGCATGGCAAAAGATTTAAGGCTCCCAAATATCCTTCCAAAGCGAATGCACTTATTTCAGATTCAAACATTTCCAATTCAAGTTGTTTAAATCCACATCATTTGGGCTCTGGTGAATAGCTGTCTCATGAGCAATCACAACCACATCTCCTCATTTCAAATTGATATATCAATCCTTTATTGCATGCATTCAGAAAACATACACAGTACCTACCTGTTGTCATTACTGACAGATACACTGGGATCATTCATTGTTAGTTTTTCTAAAGCCATTTTTAGAGCTTGGTATTCTGACTGGTCCATAGGATATGTCCCAGCAAATACCTGTAAAATATGATATAAAATCAGACTGGTCCATAAGATACCTGTAAAATATGATATAAAATCAGACTGGTCCATAGGATACCTGTAAAATATAATATAAAATCAGATTGGTCCATAGGATATATCCCAGCAAATACCTGTCAAATATGATATATAATTTGATTGATCTGAAAATGCATCACACTTTAAAGATCCACAAGACAAAGCTTTGTACCAAATAGCAAGATGATCTCAAAAAAGTTGCTTTAACAAAGTAATCAATATATTCTTTACATGTTTTTATATTGAAGTCAGCAAAGAAAAAATGAGCAAATGACATGAAAATATTTAAGACAATATATATTTATTTGACATATTTGATTCTATTAAATATGAAGGTTATGCTTTGTAGTTCTCATTAAAATGTTATGAATGGTGTGAGGGAACAGACATAGAAGTAAACCATTATACCTCCTTTAGAGCTTGAGTGTAAATATTCAGATGGTAAGGTATATCTTAGTTACACTTTTCTTGTATGCATTCTTCCTTTGTTAGTATATTGTATTGTATTCAATATTTATGTAAAACTGTATATCTATGCAGATTATAAAGTAATATGCTGAATGCTTTTAAGAAAGGTATGTTATACAGAGATTCACTGTTTAATGGGCATCAGGCCTTAAGTTTTCAGGGCCTTTTATAGCTTAATGAATGGTATCATTTTTGCTCATTGTTAAAGGCTGTATGGTGACCAATAATTGTAAACTTCTACTTAATTTGGTCTCTGATGGAGATTTTTCTCATTGGCAATCATAACACATTTTTTTGCTATTTTAAAACTTTTGTTATAATATGACTACATAATTTAATTTTGGATGTAACGCGTCTTCTGATTGGCTGACGTTGTTTTGTTTATCAGCTCATAGACATAATTTTGTCATGTGACCGTGACGTCATCAACGTTTTTTCATGGTTTACTCCGGTTTAAAATGGAATTTAGAATTAAATTATAAGAAATGACTGTAATATTTTTTCTGTTATTTGAAATAACATAAAAAATGTGGTGCACACTTTGAAATAACCCGCTTCGCGGGTTATTCAGTGTGCATCACATTTTTGATGTTATTTCTTCATAGACAGAAAAAATATTACAGTCATTCCTTAATGAAATAAAAAGTTTTAAATTTCAATCATGTTGTGTTTGTTTCAATAGGAATCAATTATGTAAAGTTTATGCATCTGTAAACAAAAAGACATTAATTTTTGTCATTTTCAGGGTTTTTTTTTTTTTGGGGGGGGGGGGGGGGGGGTCCCCTTATTGAGCCATACATGGTTAATTCACAGTTAGTTTTGTGCAAGTTCAACTCCTAATATTGCCTTTACGGGCCAGACTTAACAAAATCCTGGACCATGACTATTCAGAACAAATAAAAATAAAAATAATACTGAATATAGTAATCAATAACCATATACAGAGTACAATTTTACCATTGGTTTAGCAGGTTTAAATCCTGGTAAAGCTTCAACAGGAGATTTTTCATGATACAATGTATCTCCTATCCACACATCTGTCATAGACTTTATATTAGCCATCATATATCCCACCTGGCCTCCATATCTACAATAAGAGATTGAAATTAAAAGCTATCTTAGGGAATACCATTATCAAGTAATGTTTTAGAATTTGATTGGTAACCGAATGTTTGCAGTCCAACCATCTGAAATTGAATGGTAAATTAGCTGCATAATCCAGCTTACAGCATAATTGTTTCTACACAATTATATCATGCCTACAAGGGGTATTTGCCAAAAATGCCGGTTGAGAGGTAAACAAATTTCCAGAGCCGTTAGGCATGATATAATTGTTTAATTCTACCGAATGCTCTTTGTATCCATCTCAACGAAAAGTCTAGAGGTCTTCAGAAGTTGCTTTATTTTTTAGACATGGTGTTTCCCATCTGTCGTGGTATTTGCTAGCAAATACCCCGGCACATGGAATTCCCTCATGAAAAATACCATTTCTCTCATCCAATCAAAATACAGCATTATTGCATAAGGTGGAATTATTTCAAAAATTTATTCTCAAAATGCAGTTTATATCCTGCAGCAGGTTAAATCTAAGAAAAGTATCAACTTGTCTGCATGGCATAAACTATCTTAAAGTTTAAATTCCTTTCATAAAATAGAGTATACAAAAACAGGCAAGAAAAACATTAAATAGACTTCATTCATATGGCGTTCTCTCATAAATCACATTTTCTATCTCTTAACTTATACTAGCCTGACCGGAGGATTAAATTTCATTGACTAAATGTTTACCTTTTTCACTGTAAGTATTAATTATAGTTGGAGATTCAGATAAAAAATTCAGATATTTCATAAGATCAATATGATCAAGGGTCGACTATTAATGTTTGAATATTAAAAGACGTAAAAAATGTAGCTCAAGATCTTTTTCTTCATATGAAAATGTCTATGTTAATTGGACGAAGAGTTTAACAGTAACACAATGTTCTCTCTATATACATGTAATCCAAAATGACAGCTCTCATTTACTGAGACTTTTTTCTTCGGCCCTCTTTCCAAAAATGTATGTATCGTCTCATTCTCTCTCTATTTATATACCACAACTCTCACTTATCACAACAATTTAGCTTGGTCCTAAAGGTAACAACATGACAAAGGTGCAATAAGTATCTTTTCCTTCATAATATGACAGTTAATGTTTTAAAAATCCCTAATTTGAAGTAATCTGAACATACAAGCAACCTGTTGATGTTTGTTCTGGATATAAAATGCCAACATCTTGAACTTCATAACTCTTCTTTGTATGAGCTGAAACTATCTTATCTCCTGAAAAAGTCAAGGTTTAATTATATTTTAGAGGTGTTCACTACATTCAACTTTATATCTTTATATCTGTGTCTTCTATTTAAAGCTAATGCTGACCTGGTACCACATCATTCTTTAAACATAATTAAATGTAAACTTATTCCCTTTTTTAAAAATTGCACTCTTAAACAAACTTGCAAGATCAGAAAATAGATAGTTTGCAGTAGCCTTAGATTAAAGTCAACAATGAAGTTCATTTATATTAACATTTCAGTTCTAAAACAAATCCTACATAGAATAACACAAACCTTTTTTAACTACTCCATCTTTGACGCTAACATTAGTTACAGCTCCTTTAAATTTCTCATACGTAGAATCAAATACTAATCCTTTAAATGGTTTCTTGATATCTGTAGTAGGCCTGAAAAACATTTAATGGCGAATATGTCAAATATGTGTTTCCTTTGGCAGAAGTAGTCCTTTGCTACAACTGTAAGTTGGTTTAATAGGAATATTTTTGTATTTGCAACACATGCACATAATTAAAGGTTTATGATTTCACTATTTAAGATATATATTTATATTTTTATGTTGATGAATTCCTGTTTCATTGTCCCATACTATACAGGCATTTCTATTTGTCATGTGTGACAGTAAAGTTGTCCATTAGAAAGTAAGTTTTGTACAAAATTTAATTTTGTTTTCATCATTTCTGATGATTCATAAGGAAATTTGTGGCATGCCTTTTTCAACTGATTTTTATAGTTTATTCTTATGCTGTACTGTTACACCACTGTCCCAGGTTAGGGGTAGGGTTGGGCGCCCGATAACATGTTCAACCGGCCACATTCTATATGTGCCAGTCCCAAGTCAGGAGCCTGTAATTGAGTGGTTGTTGTTTGTTGCTGTTGATCATATGCGTTGTTTGTTTATTGTTTTGTACAGTTTTGTATTGTTCTGTTGCACCACTGTACCAGGATTAGGGGAGGGTTGGGTGCCCACTAACATGTTTAACCCTGCCACATTCTGTATGTATGTGCCTGTCCCAAGTCAGGAGCCTGTAATTCAGTGGATGTTGTTTGTTGCTATGTTACCTATTGGTTTTTCGTTCATTATTTTATATATAAATTAGGCCGTTAGTTTTCTCGTTTGAATTGTTTTACATTTCTCATTTTGGAGCCTTTTATAACTTACTATGCGGTATGGGTTTTGCTCATTGTTGAAGGCCGTATAGTGACCTATAGTTGTTCATTTCTGTGTCATTTGGTCTCTTGTGAAGAGTTGTCTCATTGGCAATCATACCACATCTTCTTTTTTATATCTTATCATAGAACACAGAGAACACTGTTAGATATTGTATTTACTTGGTTATCAAAAACAGAGGATAAAATGTCTTATCAGTATACTCACCTAAATAAAATATTGGTCCAACATTCAAACCTGAATTTTTATTACACCAAGAGCATAAGGGCCTCTACTCATTTAAAATTCTGTATGTACTGAAGTATTGCAGTAATTATTATTTCATTATATGCATATGTCATTGGCAAAAACTCTGAGCTCTCTCCAAAAACCTTTAGTTTGTGATGCATGGCTAATTTTGGTTAATATCTATATACAGAAAAACTTGATATTTTTTTACACTTATGAATACCTAGCTTTCAAATGTTGGATTTGAGCATTCTGATTGAAGATTCCAGAAAAGTGCTTCAGAAACATTGAGTTTATAAAGTTATTTTCCTGTGATGCTGTTTGTTTTATCATAATTATGAAAGAAAACATTTCAACTCTCAAGACGTCAAAATCTACTAAAAAATAAATCACATGCATTAGCATATACATTAGATAGCATAAAAAGTGTAATACACAGTTTACTTGTTGTATGTCTTACGGAGGGATTCTATCTATCACAGCTTTTAACACGTCTTCTACACCTGTTCCATGTTTAGCTGATACCTACAATATAATAATCAACATATAAAAATAAAATATTATCAGGATATAGTATAACAATTACAAAGGAGGGAAGAATGGGAGGGGATAATAAAACTGTCAATAGTTAAACATCATAAAGTTCATACAAGGCAACCTTCTTAAGTCTTAAATTGCTAGGTGGTTACTAAAGTCTAAGTTGTTATCCGACACAGTTGAAAGTTTACATTAAATTTCAGTACATTTAAATCATACAATGGTTAAAAATATTTGAATTTCAGTAATGCTTTAGTCTATCAATCATTATAACGCTAAGTCAAATTAATTCAAAGTATTTTGCAGTTTTCATATTTTACTGTGAGTCATTCTGATATGTAGCATACAGGTAAATATATCCAAGAATGCAAAACTTTGAGTTTTTTGTGCTTGTTTTTATTAAAGAAGCATCTCAATGCAGCTTTAATCCCTGGATATTTAAAAAAGATATAAAGGTAAAAAATATTTTTTTCAGGTGTGGAGTGAAAATTGGTAAAAATGTCATATGCTTCCTATAACAGACATATTTACATTTGTATGCAAATTTGTCTGCCATAACTTAAGACCACACAAGTTTCCACAGAATATTGCATCACAATTTAACATCATAATTAAAAAGAGATTGTTTCATGACATCAGAAGCTTATTCTGAGATAGATCTATAGTAGTGTCAATCAGAGACAATTTAGCTAAAAAAAGGTTAAATATAATAATTACATGAAAAAATAACTAATGTTATACAGCCATGTTCCTATGCTTTCAGATAACAAGCTTTGACAAGCCTGTTGTACAACTACAAACTTAATCGTCTACTTTTTTCAACCTTGATATCCTTTCCATAAAAAGCACTTTTTATTAATTTACTATGTTAATCTTCATCTCCAATCAGAATTTTTATTCTATAAACCTTGACGAATAAAGCAATAATGAATATTTCACCTGTAATATTTCATCAGGTTCAATATCAAATACATTTTTCATTTGTTTCTGTACTGTCTCAACATCTGCCCCAGGTAAGTCTATTTTGTTAAGGACAGGTAAAATTGTCAAATCTGCCTCAAATGCCAAGAAAAAGTTAGCTACAGTCTGAGCTTGAACACCCTATAAATAAAATACAATTTACATAACATTTCAACATTTCTCCTTCATTTAGAACAGTTACTCAAAATAGTTTAATATAATTAAAGAGCACAAGTAAGGTAATTGTAAAAAATCTTTAGATGTGAGTCAACTATAAAAAAAACTCTGAAGAAGTAAAATAATGTTTTTTACACAGTATCATTCTTAAGAAACTGTATGTGTAGCTTTAGCTTATCAATTCAGTTATATAGATACAATGGATAAGCGTGGATTCTTGAAAAAGAAACCATGAGCCCGGAGGGCGAATGGTTTGTTTTTCATGAATCTACGCTTATCCATTGTATCTATAACTTAAACTATTGTGTTAATTTCTTTTCAAAATTAAAGCCTTTTCTTAATTAGATGGTATTGTAAGTGAGTTTAAATAACCATGTTATCGTGTCCAACGATGCATTGATAATTCTCAGATCACAATTAATTGGTTAACAAAATACAAATATAACACTTCTACCTTGAAAGATCTTTATATTATCAGGCATCTGAATATTATCTGTTTTTACAAAATAAGACATTTTCGAACTTATTTCTAATAAAATTGAGAATGGAAATGGGGAATGTGTCAAAGAGACAACAACCCGACCAAAGAGCATATATAAAGTATATATAATAAGTATATTACCGAAATTTCTAGCACTCTAGGCACATCACGATTTTCTAGCATAGGAATTTGCGAACAAATATTTGTAAAATTATGTAGTAAAACAGATGAAATCATACTATATTTATACAACAAAAATTGACAAATAGAATGTAATCATTTTTGTTTCAAACATGTGAAATAGCCAATAATAATTTAAAAAATAAACGGTAAAACACGCTATTACATGTATTACAAAAATATCCACTATAACATGCAAAATTAGAAAAAAAAACAGAATTGGGTCAACAGAGATAATACAGGGATTCGAACCTAAACCGACAAATCCCTATCTTTTAACTCATTGATTTTAAGCATGCTAACCTCGCGGCTACCAACTTATACTATACGACTGCCCATTGTGTATATATAAAGGTACAACCCCTGTGTGTCCGATGTTCATTTATATATATAAAATAGACATCTAAGTTGTAACCCATTGGTAGCCGAGAGGTTTCGTCGATATGTTGATGTCAGTCATTCATAACAGATTTCAAGGAAGGGTTCGATTCCCAGTGAAGGCATATACAAATTACAAAAATTAAAAGTAAGTTTTTAAATTAATTCCATTAGTGAATAGAAATCAGTAAATTAGCCAATTCAAACTTAATGAAATTAGACACACAAAGGATACAATTGAATATAATTTGGTGAGTCCATTTCAGCGGCAGATTTAGGAAGCGTTGATTCTAGAAAAAGAATCCACGGTAAATGAATAGGCTGACGTCACCACAATGGTTTAATTACATATAATAATTTGATTCAAGTGTTGATTTTAAGGATTTCCCAAAAAAATCATAATTCACATGTGAAGTGTAAAATAACATAAAAGATCATATAAAACTTTCAGTTTCCTATTTAAATAAAAAAACATATTTTCTCAGTGAAAAATCTCATACTTTTAAGGTTATAAAAGTTGACATCTATGTATTTTCTTTAAGGAAAAATTTAATGAAAGAACCATTTACAATAATATCATACCTGATTGGCATCAACAAGTAATATAACACCCTCACATGCCCTTAAAGATCTGGATACTTCATAATTAAAATCTACATGTCCCTGTAATATAAAATTATAATCTGACTACATATCCTTCATACTGTTACACAGAGTACTATCAATACATTATAATTGTTCTACTTGGTTCTTTTGGCTAATCTATGCATTATAATATATTTGTAAGATTCTTCCTGGCTAATCTATGCATTATAATATATTTGTAAGATTCTCCCATGTACAAATTTACTGCAGTATTTAAACACAAAAATGGCTCACATTTTGTATTTTGCAAAAGACAAATATGACCCACTTCAATTACAATATATACAGGAACTTGTCTTGGAAGACCATACCTCCTGTCACAAAACTTGGCCTATAAAGACAATTGATCTCCAAACACATTTATTTAATAATATTAATTATGAAGAATTGGCAACTCTTATTTGGTTTTCTAAAAGAAGGGACCAGTAATTGGTTGTCTTTTGTTGCAGTACATCATATCTATTTTTCGTTCGTTGTTTCGTACAATTTGTTCTTATGTTAGCACCACTGTCCTAGGTAACAAAGAGGATTGGGTGCCGGGATAAATGTTTAACCCCGCCACTTTCTGTGGATTTATTTATTGGATTTATTGGATTTAAAGCTGTACGTCAGAAATTTTCTGATGCACCACTATTTCATCTCAAATGGATTTAAAGCTAGAGAGCTGAAACAATTTTTAAACATATACAAAGGGATGGCTCAGCTACGCATACTCAATTTTTGACCTGATTTTTAATGTAGGGTTTTCCTCCTTGTACTTGATAATACTTTTAGAAGTAGTGAATAATCATGCCAAGTTTCATAACCAAACTCCAAACGGTTTGAAAGTTAAAGAGCAGAAAACAATTCTTTTTACATATGAATGGGCGTAAGATGAACCAATTATTTATTTGACCATGACTTTACGGTGTTTTGGTACTAATACATCCTTGGCTTTCACAAATTTAGCTTTTGAGTGTTCCTGATGACAGTTAACGGTAATCCAGAAAAGCACTTCTGACGTATTGTCAAAATTTATTAAGTGTTATTCAACTTTTCACTGTAAGCAACAAGCCTTTAAGAAGTAGTGACTAATCTTGTCATTTTTTATTACCCAACTGCAAGGGGTTTGAAAGATAGAGAGCGGGAACCATTTGTGACAGACAATCCCACCCACAGACAAATAATTACTAAAGGCCTTCTGATTGATGCAAAATACATTAAGTAGCTTAGACTAAAACTTGTTTGCTTGGATTGTACATTATTTGTACATGTAAATCCATTGTTATAGGTATATATCTGTACTTACTGGTGTGTCTACAAGGTTAAGGAGATATGTCTGTCCTTTATATTTATAAAATAATGATGCTGTTTGAGCTTTAACCGTTATCCCTCTTTCTCTCTCTACCTGTAGTTTGTCTAACACCTGTTCATTCTTTGTGTTACTGGATATAGTACCTGTAAATAAAAACAATAGCATAAAGCAAGATGACAGCTAATAAAATATCAACTGCTCACAAAATTATTACAATCATGAAAAAAATGCACTAAAAGTGATCTCCAGAAAACTATTATTTAAGAAATTAATAAACAAATTTAAAGACAGTATGGGACTACCAGTGTTTTATAGTATAATTTTCCAAAGATTCATATTATCAGAATATTTATATGACCAGGTCTGCTAACCCTTGAGAAACATCTCACTTCAACTCAAGTTATTTTAGTTATTTTATGTTGCTTTTGGTTTTTTTATTGTTGTTATAAAATTTCACTTTTCAATCTCTTTGTTGTTAAAATTTACTTATACAAATGGTATATAAACTTGTTAACTTTGGCGAAAAGCTTAAAGATTAGACTAAGGACATCTATAAATGTCGTATAAATGAAACCTTATCAATTACTTTGGCTAATTAGATTTTAGCATGAGTAGTACTAGTACAATGTTCGTCAGTAATGGAGAAATATAAGATCACCTGAGAAATCAAATGAAATTGACATCCTTGTCAAACCTTGTTTACATGTAACAGGAAGGATATGTACAAAGTTTAAGAACTTGGACTTTCAGGTTGGTTGAAATGTGCTGTGCATGTACTTTACCTGTAATTTCCAATAGTCTGTCAGCTAGTGTACTTTTACCATGATCTACATGTGCAATGATGCTGAAATTTCTTATAAGATCTGCTGGGAACTGTAGTAAATCTATCTTCTCCTGTAATCATACAAATAAAACGGTTTGAAATTTTACAGTGAAAGGGTTATTCGTGTATAAAAGAAGGGATTCAAGTGATGTTGCATATACATTTCTTTACTATTTTGTTAGTAATATCATCTCATATATTTTCCTAATTGTACTTGCTCTCAAATCATAGTTATGAACAGTTGTCTCATTTTTTATCAAATTCAACATTATATCATGTATATGTATTCTGTAGCCTGGCTTGATTACATTCACAGTATATTATTAGAATAGTAAGTTACAAATAGAAATAAACAATGCCTTTCAAGACAAAAACTTAAAAAATAACAAAATCTTACCAATTTAGCCTGTAGTCTCAGAGAAGTAAAAAGATTTCTTGTACTTTTACTGTGTGGTGAAATAATTCTGGAAAAAAATATATTACATGTAATAATTTCATCCAAGTATATACATGTAGCAGATATATTCATAAAAAATTTGAGTTATCTTGTGCCAAAAAGAATGCCCATGCAATGTTTCTTTTCAGCCCAAGATCAAGTTTAAAACATCAACTATCAGTTTTCATGCTTGGCCATAGGCCCACCAACCCAGGTTTATCAAAATTCACTTATTGGGCCTGGCAAACTTTCTATGAATAGGCCTATAAAATCTATACAATATTTTCACAAAAATGAGCATCTAATCATTTAAAGGCAATAACTCATGTACGGAGTCATCTTAATATGGTTTCTGTCAAGAAACATTTTGTAGATCTTCTATTTCTGATCATTTTTTTGCTTACAGTTTATTGTTTTCAACACGTCCAACATATTGTAATACAAAATTGAAAATTTGTCAAAAAAACCCATTCAAGGGCAGTAACTCATGTAAGATATCATCCATGATAAAATGGTTTCAATCATATAAGCTGTTTAGAGATCCTTTATTGGTGATCGTCTTTGCTGCTTACAGTTTCTTTATTTAATTGAATGAATACTTTGGTACTATGGATTCATTAATTTTTTGTGGGTACCAATTTTTGTGTGTGGATTGAGAAAAAAATGTGTATTTTGTGGAAATTTGATACTGTTGTTTCAGTGTTAAAGTCTACAAACAAGACATATAAAATTTGTATGTCATTGAACATCTAAATTTGTGGTTCGCCTTTACCCACTAAATCCTTGAAAATTGGTATCCCATGAATAATAATAAATTAATCACATACTACATTGTATGTATCTCAAGTACTGATTGGTAGTTCAATTTAATTTCATTTCATTAATCATGTTAATGTGACTCTAGATAAAATATAGAATATACATGATATAAGGCAATGATAATAAAAATTTAAAAAAATAAAAGTTTTTGAATATCAAAAATTTTGTTGATTTCAACATATAATCAACCTTCACTTGTAAAAAGTTTATGCAACAATGATATTTTTTTTATCTATAATCTTCAATTGTTGTCCCAATCTGATTTAAATCAGATCTTTCACTTTGCTCTCATACATTTGTCACTCATGCAAGATATAAAGACATCTCATAAGGAGCCTCATTCACTCAGTGACCTTTTAGAGACAAACAAATTTAATGGAGTAATATAATTTAAAAGACCTTTTTTTAAAAAGATGTAGCTTAATTAATACAAAGCTGTTGAAAGATCTGAATTAATAAATATGTCTGTTGTCTAAGCTCTCTCTTCATACTCAGTCTAGGTTGACATAGATATACATGTAGTTGGTCTGATTCCTCTTTATAGACAATCCGATTTATCTTTATAGGGTATGCAACGTACATCGATTTCCTGAAAACTCAACAAAACTCAATACAAACCTGAGAAACAATAGATATAACCCCAAAACTTTATTTTATATGATATAATATTGCTTTTAAAGAAAATAAAGGCTACAACTTTGAGATATAATCATATACTCAATAAAAGTACAACCGAACTTCAGGAATTTCCTTATATAACAATATGGCAGACATTATAATTCAAAAGGTAGATAACTCTATCTCAATAATATTATAAAAAGTACTGAAGGACAAGGTTCTTTAACAAATGATATTAAAAAGTAAATACATTGTTTGGAAAACTTAAATTTAAAAAGAAAGTAAGTATGATTAAATTCATCATTTTTTTTTTAAATCAATTTTCCAAATAATGTCTGAATATTGGAATGGCATAAAATGCTGTCAAGATGACCTTGTTATCTTGGACCATATAATAATATTTGAGATCATGTGTATAAAGGTACAGACATTTCTTTGAAGTTCCATTTATCAGAAATCAAGTATAATTCAAAACTATTTGCAGATATGTAGCTAGAAGAAATTCTTAATTTTTCCGCAGAATAGTGCATAAATCTGAGACTACTATATAGTAGTCTCAGATGCATCAACTTTGTACATGGATAAAGAAAGATATTAATCACTGAAAATGATGTTGTTTGATTTTTTTAGGGGTGGGGAGGGGGGCATGTACTAATATAACCCTACTAAATGACTAATACCCTACAGACGTACACAGAAAAAAAATCACTGATACGCTCTGAATTTATGTGTATGAAAGTTTAAACATGCCTAGAATTTCTTTGTATGCTAAATATTTTCTTCTCGCATCGTCTGCACATACGACAAGTCGAGGGAACAGATGGAATTCTCCATAAAAACATCATTGTCCTTGTGATGTAAATGTTGTTATTGGGAGATTATTTCAATTATAAGTGACGTCGCTCATATTTCCATCGAATACATTAAAATAACTTTAAATTCCTTCATTCCTTCAGAATACTATTTGACATTTCCAAGTGAAATGGGGGCTGACATCTTGGATTCAGAACGAGGCAAGGAAAATCCCCGAGATTGTTCCCTTACTGAACATTTCAAAATATCACGAGAACCAACAGGACTATTTTAAACAGAAACTCACCACAAAGATTTTTTCATCTTTTCTGAACAGCAGTAATTTTAAGATTCCACAACTTATAACAAAAAAAACATTTTAGAAAATTATGTTCTAAGTAAAAAGATTTAGTTAAGCTATATCACGGATTTTGGTAAATGTTTGCAACTACAACTTTTGCTATTTGAACTATATATAACTGAAAATCGAAAAAAAATAATTCTTTTATCTTTTTTATTTTCTTGAAATATCACTTAAGTTATTCTTTCAAAAAAGATGCCGATTTTTCTTAGAAAACTGATACGTTGTTTTACACATAAATTTTCATTTCATTGATATAAAATAACCATAGGGTCATCGACCTCGTTTCTGTGTATTAACCAAACTGCTACCTAGATGATAGTGAAAAACGTCAATAATCAAAGTTTTTGGGCTTACAACGCAATTTTGTTACGCTAATCAGTTCGACGTTTTGTGGTATTTAATACAACTAGAACCCCACTTTTAATTATGTATCCTGTGAAAACGAAGTCAGTGACCCTATTATAATTTAACACCATTAAAATAGAAATTTATGTATCACTATATAAAAATCTGGTAATTGGAGATTTCATGATTTCATGAAAAAAAACAGCCTGCATTACAGTCGTTATCTACAGACGAAGCGAAAATACCACAGACACTTACCTGTCTTGGAAAAAAATAATTACCTACATGTATATACTTTAACACAAGGTACCTATCTCGTACATTTGAGAAATGTCTCCCGGTCGCGAACTTCCGTTATATTTCGATTCTGCGGTTGTCTATCCCACTAAATCTTGTTATGTTGTAAATCTAAATTAAATTATTTACAAAATGGTGCATAACATGCCTATTTCTATTATCGGAAACATTCGTAACAGGCCTTCCAAGTATGTCATCCGCAATTATTTCGTCTCCTCACAGCCGAATGGAAATGTTAATCTCGTAATGAATGAAAAAACATCATTTGTTCGACCACGTTCACTATGATTTAAAAAAAAAACTAATCAAAGATACAAGCTAAATATAATTTTCACCCGAAAATTAATGTCTAAGCAGCGACAGGTTCCGAACATTTGACTATTTCAGTGGGGTATGCCTAGCCATCTGACTCCGAATTTTTACAAAAACAAATATGGTTTTGGCAGTTGGAAAGAATAAGTAACTTGTCTTTTTCACTAAAATATGTCATGGAGTTTGATAACGAAATAATATGGTTAACCGCGTCTAAAATATAGGTATAACAAAATGTATTTTGCCAACTATGATAAACAAGGATTTGAGCTAACTATATACAGTCGTACCTATGAGGAATTCAACTAAAAGAACTAGCCAAGGAATTTGTTTTTGTCCCGGCCGATAAAGCTGCTAATAATATTATTATTGTTTGACGTAAATTTTACATTGAGGTTCTGAAAAAAGAAATCACCAATTCACCAACATTCCAACTGACTCCATTTTCAGAAAACGACATCTGTAACAAACATAAACTTTTAGCTACCGCTTTACAAGCAGAACCAAATACAATGAAAGTCCCAACTATGTATTGGCTTCCGAAGCTACACAAAACACCTTACAAATATAGATTCATTTCGTCTTCAAGCCATTGTTCCACTACTAAATTGTCTATTCTTCTTACCAGTACACTTGGTACAATCAAAAACCTGATAATAAATTGTTCAAATAAGGCCTTCGAAAATAGTGGAATTAATTACTTTTGGAGTGTCAAGAACTCGTTGGAAGTACTTGATAAATTGCATGCATATATTGGTGATTTTGAATCTGTTCAAAGTTTTGATTTTTCTACCCTATATACCACATTGCCTCACATTCTCATTAAGAAAAAATTCACACACCTAATTAAATGGGCATTTAAAAAGTCAGAATGTGAATATATATGTTCAAACTCTTTTAGGTCATTTTTTAGTAGCAATAAACAAAAAAACTATGTCAATTGGACATGCTTTGATACTATATATGCCCTTGAATTTTTACTAGATAACATTTTTGTTCGCTTTGGAGATTCCGTATATCGTCAGGTTATCGGAATTCCAATGGGGACTAACTGTGCACCACTTATTGCGGACCTTTTTTTGTATTGCTATGAGTTACAATTTATGACAAAAATCAGTAAAGACCCATCGAAACAACATCTGATACACAAATTTAATAATACTTTTAGATATTTGGATGATATTTTGGCTCTCAATAATGACGACTTCAGTATGTATACTAAAGAAATTTATCCTGTTGAACTTACTTTAAATAAAGCTAATACTAACAATGACCACTGCCCTTTCCTCGATCTTGATATCTATATCATTAACGGAAAGCTTAATACTAAAATATATGATAAAAGAGATGATTTTTCATTTCCTATCGTTAATTATCCATTTTTAGATGGTGACGTTCCCTTGTCACCATCTTACGGTGTTTATATATCTCAACTTGTACGATTCGCTCGTGTATGTAACAATGTTTTAGATTTTAACGAGAGAAATGTATGTATTACTGAAAAATTATTACACCAGGGTTTTCGATATCACAAACTAGTCAAAACATTTACTAAATTTTATCATCGGTATAAGGACATAATTCGTAAATATAGCTCAACATGCAGACTTCTTATACGTTCAGGTATTTCACATCCAATTTTTTATGGAAATATTCTTTATAAAGCACAAAAATGTCAGTATTCACCTCTGAAACTAACAAAACCTTTAAATAGACTTATTAAGAAGGGATATAGTTACGATACTGTTGTCAGGTCATTAAAGATTGCATATTTTGGCGTTGATATTGATTCACTTATAGGGTCTTTGCATCTGCACTAAACACATTTATTTAAAAACCAGTTGTTGGCATGACACGGGTTATGTTCTTCTCATATATGTTATGATGGTATGATACTAAACCCCTAACGGGAAGGATTGTGCCTGATATTCATATGATGAAGACATAATCTTTCAATCAGTTTAATTGAAGTCTGGAGCTGGCATGTCAGTTAACTGCTAGTAGTCTGTTGTTATTTATGTATTATTGTCATTTTGTTTATTTTCTTTGGTTACATCTTCTGACATCAGACTCGGACTTCTCTTGAACTGAATTTTAATGTGCGTATTGTTATGCGTTTACTTTTCTACATTGGCTAGAGGTATAGGGGGAGGGTTGAGATCTCATAAACATGTTTAACCCCGCCGCATTTTTGCGCCTGTCCCAAGTCAGGAGCCTCTAGCCTTTGTTAGTCTTGTATTATTTTTAATTTTAGTTTCTTGTGTACAATTTGGAGTTTAGTATGGCGTTCATTATCACTGAACTAGTATATATATTTGTTTAGGGGCCAGCTGAAGGACGCCTCCGGGTGCGGGAATTTCTCGCTGCATTGAAGACCTGTTGGTGGCCTTCTGCTGTTGTCTGTTCTGTGGTCGGGTTGTTGTCTCTTTGACACATTCCCCATTTCCATTCTCAATTTTAAACATACTTGTGTTCCAAGTACAACCCAACACCTTTGTTTCAAGGTCTATTCAATATATTTGTGCTTAGGAGAACAACACACATTTGTTCCCATGTATGAGATATTTAACACCTTTGTTTTCAATAAAACTCAGCTACAACTTTCCATTCAATCCTATATCTTCGTTCCCAAAATAAAAATAAGGTGTTGTTGTATGTTAACATAATGCGAAAGCTAGCATTTAAAGAACAGAACAGAAAGACGTTATTAATTACAAGTCACCGTAAGACCTTCAACAATGAGCCAAACCCATTCCGCATAGTAAATGAAAATAACACTTTCAAAAAAGGTGTGTCAGAAGAGTTCTTTTAATTTACCATGTTTACCTTAATCAGGAGCGCTGAAATTGAAACATTTTAAAGCCAGGAATGTTTAAATACTGGACAAGCTATATAATTCAAATGAACAGACTTAGTCTCTGATGCATGAGTTTTTATCATTAATTGTTTTTGGCTTTTAACTAGCTTTCAGTAACTGCGAGTACTCCAAAATCGTACTTGCGTGTTAATTTGACCTGTTGACACAATTTGTAATTCATTTCTGTTATTCAATGTTAACTTATTTTGTGTTATATCTCGTCTTACTATTTTTGATATGTACCACCTTTGATAAGTATTTAGCATGACGGAAAAATGTTCACTGTTGTAATCGTACTATGATGATAACAAATTTATTTTGTAAAAGATGTTTCTGTACTCCTAACAACAAAATTATTATTTTTAAATTTACCTGTGTACGTTACTTTATTTAACGCCATTTTGTCCTAGGTTAAAGTTGCCTTTTTGACATCGAAACTTCTTTTTTATTTATATTGTGGCATAAATCAAACTTATTCGTTCAGTGTATATTTACCTGTTTTTGTGTCTTGGCTTTTTAATCGAGTTACTAAGCTATTTCAATTGATATTTCATTATGTGTCTTTTTAAGTTAAAATGTTATACCAGGTTAGGATGAAGGTTGGCGCCTGTTAAAACGTTTAAACCTGCTGCATTTTTATGCACCTGTCCTAAGTCAGGAGCCTGTTTTTCAGTGGTTGTCATTTGTTGGTGGGTTCATAAGTGTTTCTCGCTACTCGTTTTTTTTTTTTTTAGATTAGGCCGTTGGTTTTCCTGTTTGAATTGTTTTACACTAGTCTTTTTGGGGCCCTGTATAGCTTGCTGTTCGGTGCGAGCCAAGGCTCCGTGTTGAAGGCCGTACTTTGACCTATAATTATTTACTTTTTACACATTGTGACTTGGATGGATAGTTGTCTCATTGGCACTCATAACACATCTTCTTATTTATATTAGATAAGCCAAAACCATCAAATGTATACTTTGTATGAAAGAGTTGGATTTCTAATAATGGACGATTAATGGACAATTCTATAATAGCATGTCATAAATCATGTCACTGGCAAATCAGAATGACTGACTACTGGGCTAGTGATACCCTCGCGGAATAACAGTTTATACTACTAGTAATAGCGGCATCTATACAGTGCTAAACAATTAAAATGATATATTTAAGTATAAAAATTAGGTGCGTTCAAAATGCTTTTCTGGTTTGACTTTTCTTCAGGAACGCTGAAATCAATTTGGAAGCCATGATGTATGAATAATTTACGAGCTAATGACAAAAAGGGAACCAAAAATAACAGCCGAAACAATCTAAATTAAAAGTCAAATTTTCCTGAGGAGTTGGAAGTTTATAGAAGAAATCAGATATTGCTTGCAACAGCTACTAATATTAGGCATACTCGTTTTACTAGATACTTTTCTATCCACCGTCTAGACCAAAAACAAGTTCATCCGACATTCAGTGATGTTATTATACAAATAAGGTTTTATAAATTAATTAATGTAATATTGAGCTATTAAATCACATGTTAAGACACTACAGTTTCAAACACCTCCGGCAAAGTTGAGGCTGATTTGGCCATTCTTAAAGGTCCCTTTGGTAATAAATCTCTTGACGTATTTAAATATTTATACATCCTTGGCCCGAATCAAAAAAGATTGAATGCCAAATCAAACACGAAGTGGAAGAACATTGAAACCCTTAATTTTCAAATTAGTGACAAAAGTAGTTTACCCATGTTAAAATCTCAAAAATCCAATAAAAAGATACAAATCAAAGTATCAAACAAAAATCTAAGGGAATCGGAAAAAGTGTTAAAAAAATCAACCGAACTCATTCATTTTTTGAAAAAAAAACTTCATGATTTGTTTTACAGTTTATCTTTCTACTTAACGCCAGTATTTCAAAATTTGAAGACAATGAGTCACTTACGACGGAAACAATCTGATTAAAATTCTGATCACTATTAACTCGCGTGCTAGTATTATGAGGATAACGAAATCAGGTCTATATTTTAATTAGATTAGGACGTTTATCGATAGACCCTACATGTAATTTAGCAGATAAACTATATTATTAATAAGATCCCTTTTAGAAAAATTTATAACCTGCCGGTCTGCAAAATGCCGAAATCTAATGAAACAAAATGTTCAAGAGTCCATGACAACCTTATAAACAATGCATGTCAGGTATCCTGCGTGTAATACAGAGATTGCCTGTAGTGTCTGTCATATTTGTTTTTCGTTTAATAATTTGTTATAAATCAGGCAGTTATTTTCTCGTTTGATTTGTTTCTCATTTTACCATGCCTTGGTCTATGATAGCTGGCAATACGGTTTGGGTTTTGATAATAATTGGTTGAAGGTCGTATGGTTTCGTAAAGTAGCTTATATCCATGGACTTTGTGGCTAGACGTCTCATTGGCAAGCATACCTCATCTCCCAATTTTATCAAGTCGAAAACCAAGTCGGCATAAACGCATAATCCAATAACAGTCATACAGTGAAAACGTTAACAATTTAAACAATGCATGACAACAAGGTGAACGAAAGTGAAATCTAGTTTGTTCTAATTTAGAATGTCGCCGCTCATTGTATAATGTCTCTTATTGGATTAAATTATAATACATTTATATAGGCCTGTTTTGTAATTAGTAAAATGTAGGAAATATCATTGCATATTTATAAAATTTTCCCTTCGGTTCTAAGCAAATATTTATAAATGATTATGATGAGTCTACTAGTCAATTGCAGTGTTACATGTCGTTAAATGCTGGTACCTTTATAATATGTTCTTTGTGAAGTATTAAAGCAATAAGGAATAGGGGAAAATGTTCGAAGTCACAACAATCTGTTGGAATCAAATAACATATCTTCTAACTGACCGCTCTTTTGCTGGTTTTTTTTGTGTACAAAAATCGAGCTGAGCATGTAAGCCAATCACAAAATAAAATAAGGAGATGTTATATGAATTCCAATAGGACAACTATTCAACAGAATCATGGATAATATTATTTCATCAAATGGAACATGAACACTAATGTATCATAGACTAAAATGCCACTTTAAAATGTATTTGAACGACATTCAACTTGATTGATCGGTACAATATCTTAGCTGCTAAACTTTCGTTAATGAGTAATATTTGTGCTCTCAGCAATGCACATACCGGTATGGTGAATTAGAATTAATTTCTGTTTCATATAATTTCGACATATCAATTAAGTCGATAGTAGTTTATCGATATTCAATACCATATATCGATTAGGAAAAGGCAAATCAAGGTAACACACAAAGTCTGATGGAATCGCATTAGCTCCAAAATGAACGACACTGAGTGCTTCGGCAGGGTAAACGTCTCCTGTTATGCATTTATCACCCATCATGCGAATTCAAACTTGGTTCAAATGTCACAATCGGGTATAGGACACAATAGGTAAAATTACAGACCAGAAAACTATACTGGTATCTAAAGATCTAAGACCGAGATAAAATGTCGCTAGAGACACCGACATATCATATCGGTCAACATATCATATCGGTCAACATATCATATCGGTCAACAGATTCGTGATGGTGAACGTTAAAATTAGTGAGTGTCGATTTTAGGCGTTCCTCCTTATAACTCTGTTGAAGCTATTTTTGTGAATGGAGCACACTCCTCTTTATGAATTCCGTATAGTGTGAGCATGCATGGGCGTAAAAGAGAGGCGAAAGATACGAAAGGGACATTCAAACTCATAAGTCGAAAATAAAATGACAACGCCATGGCAAAAAACGAAAAAGACTAAAAGACAAACAAACAACACTTTACAAAACACAACGTAAAAACTAAAGACTGATCAACACGAACCCCAATAAAACCGTAACGTATAAAACTGTAAAGCTGAAAACACCATACGATGGAGCAGAGGGTATGTTACTGTTGAGAAATGGGAAGTTGACAATTGGAAACTTTAAATCATCACGTTTGGTTTGTCATAGATTCTAGTCTGATTTCGTCCATTTGTGTCAATTTCGAGGAGAAGATTAAGATATGAAGCAGACATTCTGCTTTTGGTAGTGTCCTTAATTTCAAGTTCACTGGGATATATGAGATATAAGCAATCATTGAAAAATGGGTTATTGACTGACAGAACACCATCAATACATCTGAAAGTGAAATCAGAGAAATTTGCAAGATACTTTTTCTCTTTGACTTTTAGAAAGTTCTATTTGAATCATGCTCTGCTTCATACGAGTACAAAAACTAGTCGTCAGCAGCACCAATTGGAACATCGACTGTCTGCGGAGATATCAGTCTCCGAACCCATTACATCCATTATTTTCCATTTAGAATAAGTACTTTATGTCATATCCCGGCATGCTTTGACATTTACTATCGCATATGACTCAAGAAACATATGCAGAGCAGAACACGCTTACCACGTCACTATATAGAATCAACACCGATTTGTATGTTTGAATCAGCCCAACATAGCTCGCCCATTGATAAACGATAATATAATTGATAACCTTTCTCTGGTGTGAACTGTCTTTATCATGGGGCAGATTTATCGGATAGCTCCAATTATCTTACCTCTTATACATTTCTAGGAATATGATTGGTTAAAAGCAACGGCGTGGAGACCGTGTATATTTCATATTAGGTAAGTAGGCGGGGCATATTTCAATACAAGGTTAGTAGTGGAGTTACGCCCCTTTATAAAAACAACACGGTGTTGAGGAAAAATCTGAAAGGTTTCAACAGACGACGAAATTGATGATGAACGATTGAAATAAATTCATAAAACACATTTAAAGCTAACAAGTTGTTATTGTTGGCATTTGTTTTTGTATAGACAAATGGAAGTAGGTTCTTCTTAATACTAAGTATTGAAGACTTAATCACTTTGTTAGACCACATGTTAAGATAGTCGGTAAGATAAATGCGTTACACAGTGTGCTAGAGACCTAATACGATATATATGGGATCAGTAAATTCCATATGGGGATTCGAGCTTCGCTCTTAACCCATAAGGAATTTAATGACCCCATATATATCGTATCGTATTAGGTCACTACCACACTATGTAACTAATAATATACATGCCGATGGGGATTCCGTGTAGTGAGCAGTTTTGAAGGGAGCAGTCTTGATTGGGGCGAAGATATGTTGGATTGGTCTAAACATCCATGAAAGTATACCGGTATTGATTCCATACAGTGTGTGTTGAAATACCAGTTGTCTTATCTGTTTTGAATTTATTGGATTCCGAATGTTTACTCTTCAATATTTGTCTGATATTGACTTGGCATTTTAATTGACGTCGGTTTAACATATTCATATTAACATACATGTGTTCATTAGTGGAATCATTCGTTGTACATTTTAGACAAAAACAAATCTTTCAAGATTTAACTGTTTTGTTTTAAACACAGAAGGTGAAACTTAACAACTTCCTAACATATTATCTTACAATTCGGTAATACTAAAATAAACTCTACCTCTACAACTACTTCTACTTCTACTTCTACTACTACTAGTATTACTATTACTACTACTACTACTACTACTACTACTACTACTTATTATTATAATCAATATTATTTTCATCTTGTCAGAATTATAATTAATTCAAATTCCATTTCATTGTAATAATGTTTGCCAAAAAATATCAATGTCTTGAGACTCCAGCTAGAATAGCTCCTGTAATGGCTATACCAAATCCTAGGAAAAGTATAAGTAAATTACGAGTGCCCTGAAAAAGTAAAGAAGACAATTAGGCTTATGTTCATTTATTTGCTCAAATGTCAAGATTTACGATACGTTTTGTAAGTTTATTCAAATGCAGGATTTGTTGAAGAGATATAAATGATTGTTTAAAATTAAAAATGGAAAAAAATGTTTGAAGAAAGCAGGCCAGGAACTATCGGATATCAAAACTGAATAGTTGAACCTTATTGCATTTTAAATACAATTGTTTTTAAACCAAACATATACATATATTCAGAGCTTCATTACCAGAAGGTCATAAAATTTATCCAAATATCTGGGTTTTTTTTAAGTTCGTACTCGAACGAAGTGCTCGTATGGTGTACTTAATTGTCAGCAAAGTATCTTTAATATTTATCATAGTGAGCAATTATGTTAATAAGTTCATATCAGCAGTGGTATCGACCCTTTGCTAAACGTTCACAAAAAGAAAAAAAACCATAATTTTTATAGTATTTAATATGAAGCTTCTTGGTAAACTCAGCTAACAGTTGGGAAGTTCAAATAAGTATGCATGCATTTAGATTGTATGACCACGCGAATCCTTTACGCAAAACCCATTGAAAACTAGCCTTGACAACACATTATTACAGAAAATTAATTACAAAAATGTAGTGATACTGCAAGCATGTATATCTATTATACCGGTAATATAGAGTTTAATGATTTTTCTGTACTGATTAGTATTGCGTGTTCTTTTGTAATATAATAATGAAAAAAGGGTCACAGGAGTTACTACATATATTGAGCGATACATCAGACTACGCTTAATAATGACCAGTTTGCCAAAAACAATAACTAGTTCAAACAGACTAAATAATACCAGAGTGAGGGTCTTATACATGTAAAATCACCGCAAAGCCGTTCATTGTTTTATATGTACCTTTGGTTTTTCCAAAAGTCACCATTACATTAGAGGAAGCTTGAAAACTCAAAAAGCTATCTAACCCCGTCAAGTGTTCTTGTGAATATCTCATGCCAGAAATCTCTTCATGGTTTTCTTTGCCACATATCATTGGTTGGTTTTTGTCTTTTCGATGGTTTGATGTTAACGGTAGATCTTTTATATAATCTCTTAAATCCAATATAAGGGCTTTTTAAAGCTAAACACACTGTTTAGACGCTGTTGTTAAAAACTGTATGTTGACCTGTTGATGTCTTTTGGAATTTTGTAGTTTTAGTTTGGTTGCTGTTTTATTGACGTATACCTGACATCTCATTGTGTTACGTTTAAAAGGATAAATACATCCAAAATAAGGATATATACTTGTAAAGTAGTTTGTCCTGCAAACAATTTAGGCAAATACATTATTATAATTTAAACGTGCGAATAAACGAATGCAAAAATCAAGTACATGTCATTATTATTCATTGTTCAGCGAAAGTAGATCTAACTCGTATATATGCTTACCTGGATTTCTTTGAAAACTATAACACCCCATAAGGATGCTACAATCGATGGCCCTGTTGTGACTATAGGAAAAGCTACTGGTATTGATAATGACCTATTTGCCACAAACCAACAACTAGTTCCAACAGACCACATAACGCCAGATATTAATCCAGGTAAAATCACTTTAGGGTATATCTTTGGTTTATTTTTCATAAATATAATATATATAACGAAAAATACTGTACTTGTTATATATAGACCACAAAAATCGGCAAAGACGTAATCAAGACCTACAAAAGACAATGATAAACGTCGATAAAGCAGGTGAAATTAAAAAAAAAACCGATGAATTAAAATGCAAAACGTTCTTTATATGGGATCAGTGGGTGACCTAATGGAAGGCTAAATTCCTACTGTTACCCAACAAACTCTTTTTATTTCAATTGAGGAAAAAATCCTGTCCATCATTTCAATGGGCCCTATGCAATTCTTACATATACATAATTAATTTGATTGTTAATTCATTTTTATCCTGAATATGTATAATTATGGCAAGCCGTTCTCGTCAAAACTATGTTTAAACCATTTTTCGAAAAATTTACACACTGAGAATTAAAAAAAAACACACTGAGATTAAAAAACCTAAAAACACACACTGAGAATTAAAATTTACACACTGAGATTTCATAAAAACGCACTGAGATTACAAAAAATGAAAAACACACACTGAGAATTGAAAATTAAACAATGAGATTTCCGAAAGACACACTGAGATGAAATAAACTGAAAAACACACACTGAGAATTTGAAATTACACACTGAAAATTTAAAATTACACACTGAGATTTGTGCGCACTTTTTATGCGCACATATCTAATTAGCATAATTAATCTGAATCTATTACGTCAAGCTTAAAACAACTAGGGGACAAAACTCTTTAGTCCTTCAATTTGGCGTTAAATGTTTTATAAAAAACATTAAAAATTATGACAACGTATAGAAAAAACTACGTTATTAAAGACCAAAAGAACAAGAAAAATACTTCTTACTCTCATTACAAAATATAACCAAATGGTGAAAAACTTTATCAAAATTATAAGAAAACATTGGAACAATCTGCAAAAATACAAACAATGCAGTGATTTTTTACCCAAGTGCCTATTATAGCATATATACGTAACAAAAATATAAAAAATTACCTTGCGAAACCAGGGTAACAGTTGAAAGACTTTTGAAAAGGGACCATGCTCAAACAGTTTTAAGCAAAAATCCCGATATACTGTTAGTAATAATCTGAATTATAGGCGAAAAAACATATGAATACGAGTAAGCAAAAAAATTTGTTAAGTCTTGAAATTTATTACGAATGTTGGTTGTAGGAACCGCATTTCATTATAATGACAAGAGTTCGGGAGACCAAGATATTAATCTGTTGAATTATTCATCTCATGAATATTCATTAGTAATTTGCATATTAATCTCAGTGTATTTTTGAAATCTCATTGTGTAATTAACAATTCTCAGTGTGTGTTTTTCAATTTATTTCATCTCAGTGTGTCTTTTTAAAATCTCAGTGTGTAATTTTAAATTCTCAGTGTGTGTTTTTCATATTTTTAAATCTCGGTGTGTAATTATAAAATCTCAGTGTGTAATTTCGATTTCTCAGTGTGTAATTTCAATTTCTCAGTGTGTTATTTAAGGTTCTTAAATCTCAGTGTGATTTTTTAAATTCTCAGTGTGTAATTTTTTCGAAAAAAATGGTTCAAACATAGTTTTGACGAGAACGGCTTGCCATATATAATGCGTTAGTGAAATAAGTTAAATTACCGTTTAAAGTAGCACCAGGATAGAGTTCTGGATGATCCTGAACATACGTAGCGCCAGTAAACATTTGACCATACATAGCACCGGAAAATATACACAGTACCAACCCTCTGAAATGCGGAAAAAGTAATTAAACCTTTATCATTTATGGAGATTAAATAGACTTTCCTATGAATTAGAACATATCTCTGAAAGTTTTGTTGTTTGGCTATTCTTTTCATTTTTGCTCTATTATTAGGGGGATTTACTTTTCTTAATTCAATTTTTCTTTATTTATGCCTTTTCATTTTTAAATGATTGAGCTTTCGAATTAGCTATTAGCAGCATTTAATAATGTTTTTTTTTTAATATTTTCCATCGTCTAGAAAAATAAAATAGGAAAAAATAATTTCTACATTGATGTCACTTACACAATTCTTTGCATACCCGGCGATAGTCTGTCTATAAAGGATTTTTCATCACTTTGGCCATCCATATTTATAGTTTTGTGCTGCAAATGGCGATTGTAATGTTAATGATAAAAACAATTACATTTCTTCTGCTTTACAATTATTGGAACTGTTATGCCAAACTGTAATAGGGAGGCGAAAGATACAAAGGGACATTCAAACTCATAAGCCGGAAATAAACTGACAACGTCATGGCAAAAGAAAAAGAACAAAAGACCAAAAGACAAACAATTGTTCACAAAACACAACATGGAAAACTCAAGACTGAGCAACACGAACCTCACCAAAACCCGGGGATGATCTCAGGTGATCCGGAAGGGTGAGCAGATTCTGCTCCACATGTGACAACCGTCGTGTTGCTCATGTAAGTACAAACCCGGCGATAAGTTCAACTCGGTAAGTCACCTTCGGGAAGAAGTGGAAAGGATTGTGATTACGACAATTGGAGCATATTTGTCGTCATCTGTGAAACAGATATTCCATAACAGTCAACTTATTTAAAGCTTTCTAACAACATTGATAACTTACAGTTTACATGAGCATATATTACGTTTTGAAAGCACTGTCATATTTGACCATACTTTCTATATTTGGCTATAAAAGCAGTTTTAAGCCACCATTTTATTCGGAAAATGCCTGTACCAAGTCAGGAAAATAGCAGTTGTTTTTGGCTTGTTCCGTTGATTGATAGCGTTTGATTTTGTCAGTTTTTATGGACTTCCCCCTTTTTGAATTTGCCTTGGAGTTCAGTATTTTTGCTATACTTTTATACTATATTTTATTTGCTTGAAACATAATACGGTATATGTTTTCGTACATCTTTAAAATTTTTTAAAATCTTAAAATTTGCATATTAAAGTGTATGTTTTTGAAATCTCATTGTGTAATTAACAATTCTCAGTGTGTGTTTTTCAATTTATTTCATCTCAGTGTGTCTTTTTAAAATCTCAGTGTGTAATTTTAAATTCTCAGTGTGTGTTTTTCATATTTTTAAATCTCAGTGTGTAATTTCGATTTCTCAGTGTCTAATTTCAATTTCTCAGTGTTATTTAAGGTTCTTTTTTTTCGTTTACAAATTATACGATCAGTTGAGTTAAGAGCAAAGATTGATTTTTCAGTATAAACAATCGGTAGGGGGAAAGGACCTCTATAATGGTTTCTATCTTCAGAAAAAAATAAAACTTCACAATCTCCTCTGAACAAAAATGTCCATTACATATTTTGTGTGTGTATATTTGGGTCGAAAACACGGTTTTGAAAAAAGCACTCTTACCTTGTCATTTTTGGACTGGTAGGGTGACTCATTGCCTTTTGAACCGTAAGTTTGTGGTGATATCTACAAAACAATATTATGCGATAGTAAGTTTCCTACACTTGAGAGTTGATATATCAGTGACAAATCAACTGTAAAGCTATTCAAGACTGGTTGATATATTGTCGGCTTCAACACAACATTTCTTCTGAATACTAGACATATACGTATTTGCTCTCGTTTAAATGTTTTAATTCTGTGAAATCATTTTCGTTGACTATTTTTGTTACGGTCACAATGAAAGGTTTGTTGCATTTGGTGATCATGAACGAAGAACATTAATGTTCATCTATTATTCAATATTTTCGCTGTATATTTTTGGAAAATTGATGTTCCATATTAATTTTATAATTAATTCTTTTTTTTTTGTCGTCGCTGGTGTACGTGGGTGTGTAATTTGTATGATAAACAGGCTAGGGTTTTCTTCAAATTCCTGTATATCGATGAGAAGAAACTGCATGACTTTGTAACATATATGTAGACGTATATATATCTGATCAATACAAATAAATGATTGTAACTTTAATTTAGCAATTGTGGTAGATTTCAATTATTTAGACAATAATTAGTGGATATAGCTTAATTTGGCTGTATGTTTCTCAATGCTCATCAAATTCGTACTTCATTTCGACTTTTAAAATTTTTTGATTCGAGCGCCACTGATGAGTCTTATGTAGAAGATACACGCGTCCGGCGTACACAATTTAAATCCTGGTATCTATGATGACTTTATCCCACTTAATATAAGCGGTCATTTTAAGAAACCACAAATCACAGTTCTAGAACAATATCATCATCACACGTAAATTAACTTTACACGAACTATTAAGCCTAAGAAGCCTCCATTAAATGAGAGTGTAAAATAGTTTGTAAGGAATATACCTCTGCTGATACTAATGGTTCATTCTCAGTCTCAGCAGGTGTTACATCGTTTTTAATTAAAGAGAAGACAACAGCACTGAAAAGAAATATTGTTAAAGGAAGGATAAAGGTGGTGTACTTGGAGAATCAAGACGGATCATGATACAAGATATAGACCAAATAATGCCAATGATATAATCTCATTAAGATTGGTAAACTCTAATATGCGCGTGTTTGAAGAGGACGTCCGTAAATACGCTGTCACGTCCGATTAATGGGAACTTTACATCCGTTGCCTCGTTAAGAGAATGCAAAGCTCTCTACACTTTAGAGAACCCTTGCAACAACTCTCTGAGTGGTCGGTATATGGTCTGTTGATAGCCAAAAAGTTGTCTCCTATCCAATACACCTTTTCCAGTGGCAGTTGAAATGTAAGCCTTTCAGTACGATCGAACCACTTTGCAGAACTTCTCTATATTGCGCAACTTGATAATTTGTTCTCTTCCTGAATATGCGAGAAATATTTGCCACTGATCTTTAAGCAACCACAATCAACAGATCAATTATTGCGTCCGGCCGTTTGTTATTTTTTTCAACATTTGTTTTATTGCAATTGCCAAACTATACTTTGAAACATTACTTAATTTTTATTTCGTTCTAATAAAATTTTAACTTGGAGTTTGCTATTGACATTGTACTACATCGTGTACGTAACATATTAAAACGTTGATTTATGAAATATACTCCGACCATCATGGTTGAATTAATAGTTTGTTATATAGTGTTGACAATTTTCTATAGATCATATTGTTAAAAAACATCGAGTAAATGAAATACTGCCCAAGAAGATGTCATATCTGGACGATTTAGAGCTTGACCTATTGAATGCACACATGTTTATTGTTGAAGACTGTAAAGTGCACTCTAAATGTCTTTTGGTTATTGCTGTCGTGTGGTTACTGTCTCATTGATATTTCCCAATTATTTTTTATTCAAAACTAACAGGTATTTATTAGGTATATGATTATATTATATGATAAAAGCAATTTTGTAGCTGTTCTTCCATTTCCCGGTTGCATTGACAATATGTGTAATTAAGCATATCATCAAACCCTTTGTATGAGTGCCTTTTTTACTTTTTTCACTATACAGACCTCGCAACACACAAAGCGACACCAGCATAATTCATGGCCTTGTTGTTTGGTACTGCTTTCGTCACGCCAAAGAATCCAAATCTACGAAATATATAAGTTATTTACTGGACCTAGCCGAAAGACGTCGTTTGGTTTAATGAGAAAAACAAAGATATGCCCCGCCTACTCATATTTTGGCCTTATTATTGTTTCGAAGCTTCTTGCGATTATAATTTGTTATCGTATCTCTAGCTTTGTAAACTGACCATAATCTTAGATTTATTTTATTTTATGCATTGAAATTATTTACACAAATTTAATTTACCATGGGGATTGTAGAAAGAAATTTTGTATGTGCACTGTTCAAGCTGCTGTATTAATTAGATATAAGAAGATGTGGTATGAGTGCCAATGAGACAACTCTCCATCCAAGTTACAATTTATAAAAGTAAACCATTATAGGTCACAGTACGGTCTTCAACACGGAGTCTTGGCTCACACCGAACAGTAATCTATAAAGGGCCCCAAAAATTACTAGTGTAAAACCATTCAAACGGGAAAACCAACGGTCTAATCTATATAAAAAACGAGAAACGAGAAACACTTATGAACCACATCAACAAACGACAACTACTGAACATCAGATTCCTGACTTAGGACAAGTGCAAACAAATGCAGCGGGTTTCAACGTTTTAATGGTACCAAACCTTCACCCTTTTTCTGAAACAATAGTGTAACATCACAACATAGAAAGACACACTATAAAATATCAACCGAAATAGCTTAACTCAATCAAAGGACATATCAACACCATTGAACATACACTGAACAAATAAATTTTACCTATGATTCAATGTAAATACAAAATAAAGCTATTTGTAGGTACAGCGAACAATATTAAAATATAAGGATGCAGTGTTTACCTTTGGTCTCGAAAATTTTAATTATACCAGTCCATGATGTTATTACCTCAGGACTCTTTAAATGTACTTGATTCATAAACACAAACCTGCCAGTAGACCATCCACTGAGAAGATTGACCATTGACCAAATACATAACCCAAGACCTAAACCAACTGTCTTTACTATTGGTACAACACATATGTTACCTACAATATAATGCATATCAATATTTGTAGATCAATCGTAAAACTACGAAAGGATGGTAGGCGCTTATCGTCTGGCGTAAAATATTACATGCATATTCAGAATGATAAAATTTATATGTGAAAGAAAGATAACAGCTTTGCTCATTGCTGACAAACTAAATTGGATATGTTTAACATGAAGTCCGAATGAAGACATGTCATCCTACTCTCAAATAAATTAATTTGCCTTCGAGACGACCAGTCTTCACAATTACTTATACATGTCGAGTGTTTACTGAAAATGCAACATTAATCAATTTAACAGTCATTCAATTTGGTTTGTTTTAATTCAAACCAATGCATGTATGTGTGTGTCCAAGTTCCACAAGACCAACCTTGCAAAAGAGGAAATTGATGCTTAGACAAACAACGATGTGGTATCATTGACAGTGACAAGGTTAACAACCAACAGATCATTTAGCATTGAAGTTAAGGTGACTATATATGAGAAAACGATCTCACAATGGTGGCTCTTTATCGTGTTATGCTCTACAAGAAAAACATACAAAAGAGAAACACATTTTACTGAAATTTAATTGTGGTTTGCTGGAAAGGCAAGAACGAACGACTACATGTCCATTTCGATATCGTATCAGCTTAGATAAATCATAAGTCGTTTGGACCAACTGTTGTCTAACTTTAGTTCATGCTGTTGCCGTTTCACACATTTTGGCAACTGATTTATGAACTTAACAAACAAACTTTACATTTATCTTAACATTTCCGTAGAAAAAACATTAAGATTTATAATAGAAAATGTTTATACCTATCTCCCAAACAACACCTCCAATCATTGCCATAGGAAAGAACGGTGGTTGGTTACGTATTAATTGCACAACAATACCTGCAAGCATTGCACCGCTGCACATTATCCACTGGAAAAACATACCTGTAAAAAAAAACTTTGTAAAACGTAGTTTTCTTTTATGTAGGTTGACCCTCATCAAAACTAGAAAAACAAAATGGAAAGCAAAATATTTATCTATAAATTATTGCTTTTTCGTATGTTATCAATATTTTATTGTCTCGGTTGGGTTATACCGTAATTTAGAAACCGTTTTTCTTTTACATTTCAATGATGTTTGACGAATTCATTTAAATTAGGAATGATTTGACAATGTATACATGTACATATTAAAACTTCATACCATCTCCAGTTTCGTATTGTTTTACCGGAACAAAATTGCTACCATAAAACAGAATTGCAATACCAGCTGCTATGAATCCCCAGTACTCTGGGATCTCTCCTTGTGACGGTACAGCTGTAGTTTGGAAGTCTGTAGAATTTGTCCATGATGTCATTGGAACGTGTGTACTTTGCCAAGATGTTATGTTCTGAGATTGGTTGAAAGTTGTTAAATGAGTTGTGTAATTTGTTATCGTGTCTGGTGTGGCATGCTCCATGGTTTGGTTCTTTTTACCTAGGCCAAGTAAAAAAGCACTCCATGATTACATGTAATTGTACAAATGAATAGATATCTCAGTTAACAAAAACAAAACTTTGGTCAATAAAATTCAAAAAATTAAATTAAATAACAAACAAAAAATCAAATGCTTTTTGTAAAAATGTCAAAATCTAATTTTTTTGATTTTTATTTGTAATAATTATAACAAATGATTGTTGTAATTACTGGGGATAATCTAGAAAATCTCTTTTCCAACGATAAACCAAGTCTTTAGTTTCGAATTGAATAGTATTATGTGCCTTTGCTCATTCCTTACCATGTGTATATTCTTGTACACTGTAGGGACAACCCAGAATATATATACAAAGCTCAAAGTCTACAATCTTCTAATTTAATTACATATGTTATCACTGAATTGCATGCTGGAACTTTTTCGGAAAGAAGCTGCTCAATGACATGTACCTATTTTTACTCTTATGTATTTGACAGATTAACATGCGTCATTGACTCAACTCTTTGCATATGGAGGTCCTAACATACACTGAAAGATAACCCGAATGCTACACCTTTGACAAAGTTTTATCCTTATCTACTTCTTGCTAAACTAATTTAAAAGTTTATAGGTTGATTTTTTTTTTGCATTTACATGTTTAAAATTTACGAGAGAGCGATGCCACATGCTAGTATTCAACAACCAATCAATCAATTCTGTAGGAAGATACATGTACAAGATCAAGATTTCTCTTGTCGGACTAGACCAGTGGGAGATATGAACCAGCAGTCTATAAACCAAAGGGTAGTTTCGGCGAATTTTTGTAAAACATCAGTGATAAAATCATTGCTTTTGAAGAATGACATATTTCTTTTACACTAATTCACATTTACAAGTATATGACAAGTTAGCATAACTTCTATATTTCTTCTATAGTTACCTTAATCACAGGGAACAAATCTTAATTCGCCACATACTTGCAAACCCTAATGTAAACAATTTGATTACGTTAGAACTATTCAACGCCAGAAAGGCCGGCCAATTTGACTAAAAATCATCAGTCTAGTGAAAGATATATCACAGCTGTAATCCAAGCAAGCATGTGCACATTTTGTCTTTAAAATGTCCGCAAATAGAAATATGTCTCTTTAGGAAAATGTCTATAATAATTCATTGGTTGCTTTATCAAAGAGGACACCATGGAATAAAAACTGAAAAGAAAAGTACTGAAAAAAGAATAGGGACTTCAGGAACTCAAAACATATATTGAAGTAATCACTTTACGTGCTCCCTTGTGAAGATTTAAAGAGTTGTATATATGTTTTTGTGATGTCATTCTGTCGATCTAATTTGGTTTGATTTCGGAACATATATAATAAGTTCAGTACCAAAACTATCAGATACCTACCTTAAATCAGAATGATGGTCTTTAAATTGTTTATACTCTGCCAATGGATGCTTACATTTATATACATCGTTTTGAACACTACATAATTATATTGATTTCTGAATGCAATTGTGTATTTCTTATTGTATTTTCCCATTAAAAACACCTGTTACAGATCAGTGTAATAAAAATCGTTACTCCGTTGTATGGACTTATTCAAAATTATGAAACTATTTTGTTTACTAGGCGGGCGGTCAAAATATTAAAAATGATAAATTCAGTTTCAATCTTTTTTAATAGATGTAATCCCCCTCCCCCTCCCGTTTTGGAAGATTGCTAATCTCTGGGGACGTAAAAGAACCTTTTCAAACTTTTGAATGTGCTCTGTATGTTTACCCCTACCCAACGTACCAGTTTTTTCAATGGAAAAAAAATCCCGCTTTCATATTGAGCAGTCACTTTGAAGAATCCATCTCAAACTTTTTGGTTAAATTGTACTTAGTCTGAATATGCATGAAATATTTTCCACTAGACATTATGCAAACATCACATTCGATTCTTTCTCTTCTCGGAACTACGTAACCATTTTCAAGTATCTGTGAAGGTTGCATCAGGAAGCCGACAATCAAACATTTGCTTTCGTTAAAACATTGTTATTATGATCATTTAAAAGAGGATTGAAAATAATAAAATCGATTAGAACTCAATGAATGAAAATACGTAAGACGTCATTGTGATAATGAATTACATTATTATATTTATTCGGCATATTATGATACATATTTTGCTAGTAATTTCTTTTTACAAATTATCATACCCAGGGGCGGATCCAGGATTTAAGTTTAGGGGGGCGCAAACTTAAATTTTCGCCGAGCGGATATCCGCCCTGATACCAAAAAAGTTTGAAATATAGTTAATCATACTTCTTATAAAAGTTTGATTTAAAATAACATCGTTTTCGATAGAAAGATTAAATTTGTAAAGCTACAGGAATGTTTAATGAGAATGAATCTCGTTCAATAATGTGTATATATAGAAAAGAAAGTAAATGAATTTCACATAGTAAGCAAACACAATATATATCTCTGGTCTCACCATTTTAATTTAACCATGATAGGTTTTAAATTTCACACAATCATGCAATTTGGAAAGCAGAAACAAAAAAGTTGTTACGAACTAAAATTCTTTTTATATAAGAATGTTTTTAATATAATTGTGAATATATATTTACCTGAAATTGTTACATACATTAAGTGTAGAGATATAGTATTCCATAAAAGAGGTCAATTTTATTAGTCAACAAATACATGTATCATACCGTAATCATGATAATCATATGATAATTCAGTGCGTTATAATTTTATAACATAAATATAGATATTTGACTATTTACAGTATAACTTTACAAAGATAAATTTTTATACATGGTGGTATATATATAAATTTGTATTGCACATGTTAAAAATTAAAAAACCGGAAATCGATTAGACTGTTCGAATTCTTATTTGAAATAAGATAAAACATAATAATTTTAACAGAAAAAATAAGTCCTTAAAAAAAAAAAAACAGATACGACCAAGGAAGACCCAAACCTTAATTGTTGGTTGATAAGAACTATAAGAACTATAAGAACTATGGTATCAGTTGCACAGTACAAATCCAACCGTAAATATCTCGAACAAACGATTTGGAATTGAAAAAAAGTTTTGCCTCTGATGGAGTAGCGAGAAAATCAAGGGTAAAACCAAGTAAGTATGTTCACATGACTTTATATCTTTTTCCATCTATTATAAATAAGTTAACATAGATTTATTTTAAATTCGAGGTTCACTGACTATAGATTTCTGCTGCTTAATCCTTGAGTAAGGGTCAATGTTCATCTAGGTTTATAAAATGTCTGGCATAAAAGACATAAAACGACATCGTTGTTCATAGCAAACTCTTCCGAAATTGAGGCGTTCTTCGTAAGCTGTAGTGTAACAAAAAAAAATTAAAATAACTCGCTCTTTATGGTACTGTCTTTCAAAATTAGTGCTTCGATACTCCAGCCAGAATTGCTCCAGTGATGCCCATTGTAAATGCTATCACTAGGATCAGTAAATTATATGTACCCTAAAATAAAAATGATATAAATGCAGAGGTGAAATAAATAAATACAATGTTTCTTATTCAGCGTTGCTTCCTATCACTAGAAGATATTTAAACGCCCTCACCTAGTTGAACTAGTAAAGTACTCCGTTAGGCAGCTCATATAATTTGCCAGACAGAAATGTAAAAATTCACTTTACATTCATTTATACGAACATCTTTTGAGACAAGAGATTTGTTTATTGATATGCCCGACAAGAGTGTCTGATACAACAAGAGCTAGAGATACATAAAATTTTGTAGACAAAAACACAATACGGGAATTCTACACAAATATTTTTTTTTCTGAATCATATCACGATATTAATCAATTTATGAACTGCGCGAAATAATCTCCTGGTTAAGGTGTATAATATGTTGATAACTAATAAATAAAGGGAAATATAAATAGATAGATAGATAAACATATGGAAAGAAGGAAAGAAATACACAGTCCACGTGATACATTTGTAACATCAGTATTGATATCATTGGTCGTCAAAGTGTTGATCATGTAGAACTCAAATATCAAAATCTTCATCATTCATCATTAGAGAGATGTCGTTTATCTGTATGATTTTAATATATAAACTAACCCGCTGTATTTGTTTGCACCTGTCCTAAGTCAGGAACCTGATGTTCAGTGGTTGTCGTTTTTTGATGTGATACATAAGTGTTTCTCGTTTCTCGTTTTTTTTTATGTAGATTAGACCGTTGGTTTTCCTGTTTTACTGAATTTACTGTTTTTATGTATTACTGAAAAATTATTACACCAGGGTTTTCGATATCACAAACTAGTCAAAACATTTACTAAATTTTATCATCGGTATAAGGACATCATTCGTAAATATAGCTCAACATGCAGACTTCTTATACGTTCAGGTATTTCACATCCAATTTTTTATGGAAATATTCTTTATAAAGCACAAAAATGTCAGTATTCACCTCTGAAGCTAACAATACCTTTAAATAGACTTATTAAGAAGGGATATAGTTACGATACTGTTGTCAGGTCATTAAAGATTGCATATTTTGGCGTTAATATTGATTCACTTATAGGGTCTTTGCATCGGCACTAAACACATTTATTTAAAAACCAGTTGTTGGCATGACACGGGTTATGTTCTTCTCATATATGTTATGATACTAAACCCCTAACGGGAAGGATTGTGCCTGATATTCATATGATGAAGACATAATCTTTCAATCAGTTTAATTGAAGTCTGGAGCTGGCATGTCAGTTAACTGCTAGTAGTCTGTTGTTATTTATGTATTATTGTCATTTTGTTTATTTTCTTTGGTTACATCTTCTGACATCAGACTCGGACTTCTCTTGAACTGAATTTTAATGTGCGTATTGTTATGCGTTTACTTTTCTACATTGGCTAGGGGTATAGGAGGAGGGTTGAGATCTCATAAACATGTTTAACACCGCCGCATTTTTGCGCCTGTCCCAAGTCAGGAGCCTCTAGCCTTTGTCAGTCTTGTATTATTTTTAATTTTAGTTTCTTGTGTACAATTTGGAGTTTAGTATGGCGTTCATTATCACTGAACTAGTATATATATTTGTTAAGGGGCCAGCTGAAGGATGCCTCCGGGTGCGGGAATTTCTCGCTGCATTGAAGACCTGTTGGTGAACTTCTGCTGTTGTCTGTTCTATGGTCGGGTTGTTGTCTCTTTGACACATTCCCCATTTCCATTCTCAATTTTATTGAATGGTTTTACACTAGTCATTTTTGGGGCTCTTTATAGCTTGCTGTTCGGTGTGAGCCAAGGCTCCGTGTTGAAGACCGTACTTTGACCTATAATGGTTTACTTTTACAAATTGTGACTTGGATGGAGAGTTGTCTCATTGGCACTCATATCACATCTTCTTATATCTTCTCATTGGCACTCATATCACATCTTCTTATATCTATAGATGTGTCGGAACGACAGCCCAGCTCGCAAAAAAAAAATTGTTCAAAGTCCAAAGCCCGTAATTTCGGCAAAAATCAGTGGAGCGGAACGAAACGTAAACTCGATCTATAACTCCTCATAGTAGACTCACATACTAAAAATCAGCTCAATATGTGAAGGCGTTTAGAAAAAAAGTCCGTATAATTGTTTGTTGCGGAATGACGGAATGACAGACAAGGGTAAAACTATATAGCTCAAACCACTAAGTGGCGGGCCCATGAAAAAGGATATGTAGAATGATTGCCAATGAGACAATTATCTAGCAAAGACCAAATAACGTCGAAGTTAGCAACTGTAGGTGACCGTATCAAATATTAAATGGACATCGCTATTTCGTATTTTGTTTCAGAGGCATATAGATGTTATAATAGGATAAAAAAACACTGCCCCATCTTGTTTATAAAATATGTTATAGTAAAACAAAATTCAATGTATTACACTCCAGTATCTTCTTACCTTAATTTCTTTGAAGACAAGAACGCCCCATAAAGAAGCTACAATCGATGGTCCAGTTGTGACAATAGGAAATGCTACTGGTATTGATAAAGATCTATTTGCTACAAACCAGCAACTGTTTCCAATTGCCCACATGACACCAGATATTAAAGCAGGTATCATTACTTTTGGGTAGACCTTTGGTTTAAACTTCATAACTATTATGTATGTAACAAAAAACACCGTACTAGTCACATATATACCACAAAAATCTGCAAAAACATAATCCAAACCTGAAATATAAGATTGTTTGATTTAAACCGGACATTTGTAGTCAACTTGAAACTAACAAACATTACATCATTATAAAAACACTTAATTCAAAACGAGTGATCGAACAGCATATTTACTCGTGATGTAATTAATCATTTTATTACATCGATTTTTAATATTACTGTAAACTAAAAATAAAATGCGAGGAACTCGTCTATTTTTTCTTAGCGTCTTACTTATTTTTGATGCAACTAACATTGTTGACAACGTGCTTACAACACATATTCTGCACTTGCATGAAATCAGAGTAGTAAAAATACATGATTTATTTAACATTTGAAATATTTGTTTTACTATAGTTTATTACAACCAATGTAATAATTTGCAACTACAGTCATATAGCTGTAGGCTTTTAACGGTACTCTTTTCGAGTTTTTCACTCTGCAAAACATTTTTCAGACTGAAGTAAGTACATCTAAATTTTGTTTGATACCATTTAACGTTGCCCCTGGGTAAAGTTCTAGATGATCTTGTACATATGTAGCTCCAGTAAACATTTGTCCATACATAAGACCAGAAAATATGCATAGAATCAGTCCTCTGAAATGAGAAAGAATGATAAACAATGTGACGCTTTTAGTAGAATTTGATAGCGTTAAGTAAAGTAGAAAATGAATCATTTTATTAAAAGAGGTACTAGCAATAGCTTCGAAGATTTGTCAAATCAACATGAGTCAGTTACTGTACCGTAGCTTCATATATATTGATCAAACCTTTTTTAAAACTCAATCTACAGCTTCGTACACGTTAAATAAATTTAGAGGGAAGAACCCCAGGCCCCTTTCCACTTCGTGCATTCGCCAATGCATTAAGGATGATATATTAAGATACTTCTTTTTCGGTTAGGTTGTCTTATTTTTTTTTTTGCGTTCATTTATCATTTCCTCTTCAGCGAAAACCGGTCTAAATAATTATGTGATTCAATCGCATTTATCATACTTCCATAATTATGTACATGCATAATATAATAATAAAAGTAAATTGATATATTGATAATTTAGAAACAGTTCGGCGGTAATAATAGCATACGAATCAAGACCCATGCAAGTGAATTTGAGTGCTGTATATTTCAAAATCACATTCTTCATGCTATAACATAATTGCTCATACTAACACAATTCTTTGCATACCAGGAGAGAGACTGTCAACGTAGGATTTTTCCTCACCTGCAGTGTCAAAGCTTATGCTACTGGCATTTTTTTGTAATTCCTGAAAATATTGATGTAGACAAAACATTGTTTTGTTATTTTGTTCACAATTTCTACTTCGGTAACAAACATAAGTTTAGGTACATTCTAGTTCATTAGTGTTCAAGAATCATTTATCAATTAAGTAGATCCAAATCAAGATAATAAAGCAAAAAAACAGAGGGAATCGCATGAATTCTAAAAAGAACGAGACCAGGAGCGTCGACAGGGTAAGCGTCTACAGTTCTGCATGCATGAATTTCCACAATTTGCCAATTCAAACAAATTAAAGATACGTGTGTATTGTTTGTGTCGTTTGGTTGCAGACTCAAAGACATATATCTAACCTCTCCTTTTATCCATAAACTACACGAAAACAATTGCCATACATTTCACTACTCATATAAACAGAGAACACACGTCCTCTATAAAAATGAATGGAACATAAGATAGCATTAACAGATACAGAATTAAAAAAAAAATAAAATGAAGAAGAAAATCTGAAAAGGTGAAAATATCATGACTACCTGCAGGATAAGACTTTTGATTGAACCCTGTCAAATCTAACGGAAGTAATTTTGTATCGATGTACAATAACAAAACTCTTGTGAAACCTTAGAACACATATCAGTTAGAAGCGCTGGTTTTACTATTCGTTAATATGATGGAATTTCACCAACGATGGACTAGAATGCTCAGACCTTAGGTCAAGATCAAGATGAGTCTTGGCATTACAGTAAAAGCGTTATACTTTGTTTGTTTGTCATTTGATAACAAAAATAAATAGGACGTTCATTAGCAACGTTCAATGAAATAATTTAGATTAAGCGGTATCTTCTTTGGCAAGTTATGTCTGAACATTGATTTGGGAATACTGAACGTAAATCAGAAGTTGAAGGGTCGAAACATTCGAAAAAGACCAAGAATGAATAAAAAAAAAAACATCAATGCATCGGTATTTATTTCAAAGTAATATATTTCCAGAACCTACCGGTCTATATATTTATACACTTTGGGATTTGTAGTCCATTATCAGTGGCTTCGAACCAGTCATCAGAGAATTTAGATTAACCTTACATATACAAAAATTAATTATTTCATTATCATTGTTTTTATTATTATCATTGTTTTTGTTATTATTTTAGATAATATTACAATTGATGACTTGCTGATTCCTATATTATTAACTAACTACTAGTATACATGCATCCACTGTTTTGAATTAATATATAAATATATAAACAGACCGTTACTATACATAACTGAAATAATTACTGAAAAATCAAATATCAAAAGTCTATATTTTCATAACATACCTTTGTCAATAAAGATTCTTTCTCGTCTTCTTCTATTGGTGAAACTTCAGTCTTCACCAAAACAAAGACAAATGCACTAAAAGACATTAAGAGAGAGAGACGAATGGTAATACTTTTATATGATTTTAGGTGTGTTTTCTCAAACAAAAACCAACTTCGCCTACACCATAATAAAACAAAATTGACTGTGTTCACGTAAACAAACAACATTAACGATCAAATCATTTAGATTTACGTGTAGTCATGCTTTCCTTGTGCTTACGGGGTAGCAGCCTTTAACACTCATGCTTTGGGAGGTTTCAACTGCTTATAAAAATACCATATCACATGAATCGACCTTGCGTGTGTTAGTCTATCATTAATTTTGATTTTCGCAGATCGAGGTAATTAGAATAAGCCGAGAATCGGGAATTTCGTCAGTGGTTTATTCCGACGAGTGAAATATGTTCAATAGTGCTGATCCCACCCGAGCTCTATCCATTGTTCATGAGTGGTGCTTATTGCTCTATTTCAGTCTTCTGCTTCAAGGTTTGTAATGTATTATTGCTGTAGGACTTTTCAAGACTTTAGACATGACATTTCTCTAAGATTTAAAACCCCTTCACAATGTAATAGTATCTTGTTTTGTTGTTAAGCTGACCTTAAAACACAAATTGCAACGCCAGAGTAGTTCATGATCTCATTGTCTGGTTCTGATTGTTTTACACCAAAAAATCCAAATCTGCAAAATGAAGATTTTTTTTTTACATTCTTTGATCAGCGATCTATTAAAGTTAAGAAAAGGTAAGCTCTTATTTCTTGTCTCGGGTTGGCTATATTTTTTGTCCTTTTCTGTTATATTTGCTCTTCTCGAGCATCACTGAAGAGCTATTAATTCTCGAATCGCTTCATATATAAACTTTTTTTTGGTATGGGTTTTTATCATTGTCGTACGATTGCCTATAATTGCTTACATCGACTTCATTTGAACTTGGGTGGATACTAGAAGTTGTCTCATTGGCAACCATATCACATCTCCTTATTTTTATATATTTAAGGTTTCTTTTCATCAATTTGCTTTATGAATGAGGCTCTCTATGCAAATTTCTCTGCCCGTTAATGAATTAGGAAATAACAATGATTTTTAGTGATTACTGATTTTAGGATAAAATGTTACATTTGTAACGGTTCGGTAAAAATATTAATTTACATTTTTTTATACTCAGATAAATACATAGAAAAAATAAGATATTTGGCGGGTAAATCTGGGGATCATGCTATTTGTAAGGGGGTGTTCTAAGCCTGGAAAACTTAATATGAGTATAATGAGATAATTTGCACACTCTTTCTTCAGGCGTGATATAAAGTATTACCGTGGTAGTCGTAAATTAGCAGGCGATAATTCAGTGTCATCTTTTTAAGACTATTTAGACGAAAATTTAAACATGGGTACGTGATAGATTGTGGTCGATTTTATAGAAGTTACATTGTAATGTTACAAATAACAGGTTGGGGGTGTTATAATTAAACTAATATACTTGTACAAGCTGTAGCAGAACAATATACTTGTACAAGCTGTAGCAGAACAATATACTTGTACAAGCTGTAGCAGAACAAGTTGATGCTTGTAGGGTTTGATGCTTGTAGGGTTTGATGCTTGTAGGGTTCCAAATTGTACCATATAGGACAAGTCGGTCATTACCTAAGAACACATTTGGGATTAGTTGTATATATTTTGAAATTGAAAACTAATAGTTAATTAAACGATTAACATAAATAGCAGTTCTGTATACCTTAGTTCATTGTTATTTTATCGATTAGAAAAGAGATGTAGTATGATTGAAAATGAATGAGACAACAGTTCACCAGATCTAGAGTCCAAAAGGCGTAGATGTTAGCAATTATAGGTCACCTTACTACCTTCAACGATGAGCCAATTCATAAAGTATGGTTATCTATTACGGATCCCTAATTACAAATTTTATTTTAGCTTAGTAGACTTATTCCATAATTCCATGAAGTTGAAATCATCCCTTCGTAAATTTTACGGACGCCATCGCGAGTTGGTAAACCGTTATGGAATATCCGTTTCACAGATGACAACGGATATGTTCCAATTGTCGTAATTACAATCCCGTCCCCTCTTCCTCGAATGTGACCTATCGAATTAGACTTATCACCGGGTTTTTACGAAAATGAGCAACACGACGGGTGCCACATGTGGAGCAGGATATGCTTCCCCTTCTGGAGCACCTGAGATCAACACCAGTTTTTGGTGGGTTTCGTGTTGCTCATTCTTTAGTTTTCTATGTTGTGTTTTGTGTACTGTTGTTTGTCTGTTTGTCTGTTTCTTTTTTAGCCATTGCGTTGTTTGTTTATTTTCGACTTGCGAGTTTGATTGTCCCTTCGGTATTGTTCGCTTCTATTTCATATATCTTGTAAATAAAACAGTTTTACTACAGTATCAAAGTGGTAACACACCTTTTATATATTTGAAATAGACACGCTAATCTAGTGTTCACGTTACATCATTACATATCGTCTCATACGACGAGTAGATGCTGTTGATAGGAACAACTACACTACATATTGAAACGTTTCATATTAATCGTCATTTTTATTTTCTTGCTGGTATTTCTTTTAAAAAAGCACAGGTCTGACAGGCTTTTCGTTTCATTCATTCTTTTAAATTTTGACAAGATATCTTATTATTAATTTCTTTTTAGAATATGACCAACCTTCCTGTTGACCATCCACTAAGGAGACATACCATAGACCAAATACCAAATCCAAGGCCCAATCCAACAGTCTTCACAATAGGAACAACACATATGTTTCCTGCAACAGTAAAATAAATACAAACCGAGTAATATAGCATGCGAACAGTGTTGGCGAGGGAATCGTGAAGTATAAAGTTGGGAAAGGGAAAAGGAAGAGTATCCGAAATAGAAATGGATATAATGAATGAAAATGAATGTGTATTCATGTATTTGCAATATAATGGATTCATATAGCAAAGTTTCAAGCTACACATTCTTGTTAAACAATCAGAACTTAGATTTTCCTTTTGAAACTGGCAATACAGACATAAATATACATATAATTGTTAGTTTATCTGTGAATAATCAATATTGAATCTGTAATCATGTTTAAATAAATTTAAAACTTAACGAGAAATATAGTTATGACAACAGAAGAGGAAAACAGATTTACCGAATGCAAAAACAACTCCTCCAGTCATCGCTATCGGGAAGAAAGGAGGTTGTTCTCGAATTAACTGAACCACAATTCCTGCAAGCATTACCCCACTACAAAATATCCACTGGAAAAACAAACCTGTAGAAGTAGAAAGACATTCGTATGTAAAAATATCGCATGTAGAAATTTTCATCAAAAATTTGTATGGATACTAGGATTGATTTCTTGAAATATATCAATGAACGCTTGCTTATAGTTTAAAACCATCTTTGCAACTGAATAAGCAGTTCTATTTTTATTATTTTGTTGGTTGGTCGTCAATGAAATATATAACGTTTGTGTTATTGCGGTTGATAATGCATACTTCACATCTACATTATTTGTCCACTTGCTGCCTTTTCTTTAAAATGCAACAAAACCATCTTGATATCATTCACGAAAGATAAGATTTTAGAAAATCACAAATCCGTCCTTCCATCTTTATACTGGATACCTAATCGTCACAAATATCCTTATGAAGATTTGATACTTAAAAATTCTAAAAATCTACTCCAAAATTGCAATCACAATCTTTATCATTTTGATGCAATATCAAAACCTTTGATTTTTCTACGCTTTACACTGCTATTCCCCATGCTCAAATGAAAGATCAACACGAAATAACTATTGGGTCACAATCTCAAATGAGTTGACCGATACGATGTGTCGGTGCCTCAACTCACTTTCCACGTGTTCTCGCGATCTTAGATCTTAAGATACAAGTATAGTCGTCTGATCTGTAATTTTTACCGATTGTGACATTTACACTAAGTGTGAACTCGTTATGGCGGGTGATGCATGCATTACACTATACGCTTATCTAGTCGACGCACCCAGCCTTACTCCTTTTAGAGTTCATGCTATTTCCTAGGTTTTTGTTAACCCGAACATTTGGTTTGGAGCATACAAGATGACAGCTTTTCATAATACCCACGTTGTGTGCACTGAAACTTATACCCTAGCCCCGAGAAAAAGACATAAATAACATTGACCAAAACGAAACCAACCAAAATATTGGTATTCAACATCCATTCTGATATGATAATATTATTCATAAAGCAAAAAGTTTGGGAATTGTACTTTTACTCTTTATTTTTTGACTTTATAGAATATATCACTATTTGTGATTCTGCGAATTTTGATCCGAGATTTTGCGACAGGTGATTTGTGTGTTTCATTAAACAATCACCTTTGGTTTGTTGCGTCAGACATTTTGACTTGTAAGATGAAAACTGTACGGGACGTCTATTGTATCCAGCAATGGTGGTTGATAATGTGAGTAGTCTTATTGAGAAAGATTATAATTATAAACTGTTGTTCGATAATCGAGTAGTTTTTTTATCAATTAAAACGAATTTGAATTTGATATTAATTGTTTGAAAACAAGGACTAAAATATTTCTGAATTTAACTGCTCTGATATTCTGAACAATATATATATATATATATATATATCTTTTGAACTTCTTACCATCACCCGTTTTGTACTTTTTCACAGGAAGTGGAACACTGCCAAAAAAGAGGACGGCGATACTAGCTGTTATGAAGCCCCAGTATTCGGGTATATCTCCCGTTGATGGTATATCTGTTGTATGAGTATCTGTTGTATATGATTCTGTAAAATTCGTCCAAAATGATGTCATATTCTTTGATACTGATGATGTCAGTGGAATGTGTGAGCTCTGCCATGATGTAATATTTGAATATGCAGTAGTCAATGCCATATCTGAAGTCCAATTTGTTCATGTATCTATAGTGATGTTTTCCATTTTCTGTGTAAACATTCAAACTGATCATACATGTTTAGAACATTATATGAAATCTAACAACATTTTCAAAAACACAGCTTATTTAAATGTCGAATGGTTAATA